TCCATAGAGCATGGTACTTTAGCTACGTATGAATTCCCGTCTGCAAACAAAATGTAAAATCCCATATTATGTCATTGTGTTAAGTGCAAAATGACTCCTACTGTAAATATGGATTAAACGTGTACGTGTACCAGTAGTCGCAGTTTGGGTTATTGTCTCGTTTTCAGCTTACCGATCATGCCGGGTCGAACGTGCAAGTGCCTTATCGTTCAACGGGACGAGCGATGTGTTTTAATAAAAGTACTCTCAGAATACATATGGAAGAGGGGACATTTTCATTTTGATCGGAACGATGCTCTAAGTAAAAAAGAGAAACTGAATTAATACGTCCGATAATCGGTCATTTGTCATTCGGTATGAATATAAAAAAGTACATCGTACCAGTATTCTCCAGTAGAAAAAGAAGAAGGTAAATTGTTCCTTCGCACAATTTGCAACTGAGATTAGATTATCTGTCTGAAAGCGATTAGCAGTACTGTCTGATGATGAAGCTCCTATCCACTGCCTTCATTGCCACCCTCTTTGTACCTGACATTCATGCAGCAATACCTATGAGGGCAGATCGAAGAAGGCTACTGAGCAAGCTCGAAGATGATGGTTGGGCTGGTGTACTTCAGTCATGTTCCGACGTCGAATACGAGACTTCTCTCTTTGTTGACAGCCATGTTTTCGTGGTATCAACACCAGTCATAAAATACTATTCTGATTGTCCAAGCTTGGCTATGGAGCAGGGTGCTCCCTTTGCCAAACCGACTGACACTGATTTCGTAGTTCGCAGCGTCAATGTCCATAATTTTACTTCCACAACAGAAGAACCACATCTGTCGATCGGGACATTTCCCCTTTCAGAGATCGCAGCAGCATTCCACAACGCGCAAGCGAAAGCTCTTTCTGATCCAGACAGCATGAAGAACTACGATCCCGTCATGCAGAACTGCGGTGACTTTGCAGCTCTCATGATGACCCTTTTGAAGATTGATGATTTCGATCATGAAAAGGTTCGATTCATTGCCAAACAGCTTCAGAAGCGACACCCTACATTCATTCGGAGCGTTCGCATCAGTCCCAAAACAGTGAACTTGCTTCCCAGCAATACCAAGGTTGATGAGCTCACAGATCTACAGTTGCTCGAGTTGCTTGTCGAGTATAAAGTGAAGCATCTCTACAGTCCATCTACGACAATGCTTTACAATAGCTACAATGACCCCTCTCAAGGCCATCGAGTACTGGTTTCCAAAGAGGAGCAGGATGATGAACCAACAGCTGACATCTCCACCAGCAGGCGTCTTGTTGAGGTCGAATGCGGCCAATGGTACTCCTCAAGCTGTCTAGCGGAAAACGATATCCGTTATGATTCCACCGCTTCCAATGCCATTGCCGACCAGAACGCTGCCTGGAATAAGTTCGAAGGATTCTATGAAGCAACCGCAACTGCCTATGGTCCTGATGGCCGGGTCATAGAACCATCCTTTCTGGAACAAGACGCAGCTACTTTTGCTCCCAATCAAAGACCATACTCCCAAGCTCCCTTCAAAATGTTCATCAACATTACATTGAGTGGCTCTAGACTGTATGAACAAATGCAGGCGATCTTTCCCCCCCCACCCGAAGTCTTCTGCAACCAATCTGTCCCAGACGGAATGCAAAATGTCCTTTCGCCAGGTGAATGCGGGTCGAGTGGAGCCTCTGGAATCTATGAACGTTTTGGGACCAGTACCTTCGAGAAGGATGGAAGTGTCACCATGTTGCCCTTTGGGATTACAATGTCTGGGACCGAGCTAGATCGCAAGTCATATGTCAGCCTTCCTGCTGGTGAAAGCAATCACTTCTCGAGCTACTGGGAAAACGGCCTGCTTGTGCAGTACGCTTCGGCATGTCTTGATGCCGAATGCAGCCAGCTCTCCACTACCATCGATCAGTATGACACCTCTACTCCGGCAGGCGAAGAATATACTTTTTTGGCGTCCACTCGCATTTTCGCCACCCGACTTGCATCCTCGCAGCAGTTTCGCGATGCAGTGGATGCTGCCTTCCTCGAGTACAATGTACCGTCTGATCACAGACCATTTGAAGATGGTTGTCTCTCTGGCTTTTGTCCTGACGAAAGCGATTGGTGTGAATACGATCCCGAGTGTGCCGTCTCTCCGTATTCCGAACCAGAAGCATACGTCGTGGCGGGACCAGTGGTTGGTGTTGTTGTCGCTGTCGCGGTGGTCATCTTCCTTGCATTGTTCGCTTTGCACAGACGTCAAATGAAGCAAAAGGAAGGCGTTGTGCGCAAACAGTTTACCACTCGCATTGCTGAGGGCATTACCGTCAGTGGCACTCGCGGTCCTCTCTCCCCCGATCAATTGCTCGCTGAGTTTCACAAGATTGATGAGGATAACGGGGGCACCCTTGAAAAGCAGGAGCTTTGGGCGTTCTTGGAGTCTGGAAAGGTTGGTAGTATGAGCCGAAGTGACTTTGATTTGTTGTTCTCCGTGATTGATGTTGATAGGAGTGGCAGTGTTGATTTCAACGAGTTTGTCGCCTTCTTTGCAAGTGCAATGACAAGTGATGGCTCCAGGCGCTCTCAAGTAATGTCTTTGCAAGGACAGACATGATCTGATCGTGAGCACCAAATCCAAATGCCGTGGCCTTTTGTCTCCAAACAATAAGTGAAATAAGGAAGTAGTCCTATCTCTATGATTGTGCTTAAGCTTCGTCTGAGAGAAGGTACATGTGTCATGATGTTGTGTCTGATGTAGATAGTGTGATCACGATGTCCAGGGTAGGCTTGGAAATGGGTAGACTGGGCATCACTCTCACCGTGATATAGTTCTTCTTCTCGCTGTACACATAGTCTCTTGTTCTTTTCCAACAAATTGCATTGCATCGTCGTTGCAGAAGTTTCACAAAATTGACCAGGATAAAAGAACTTGCCATTATTGGCATTTTCAATTTCTACTATATACTTTGGCTCGTTCCGAATTTATTAGCAGCTGTTTGACTGTGAAAATAGAAAGTCCGACGAGGGCACTCTTCGTAATGTTCTTTGGACTTGACAGATGATACAAACTCGGGCCTAACAAGGATGGTGATGGTGATGGTGATGGTGATGGTGATGGTGATGGTGATGGTGATGGTGATGGTGATGCCCTGTGATCATGATCATAATCATGATGTCATGATGATCATGATCATAATCATGATGTCATGATGATCATGATGATCATGATGTCATGATGTCATGATGATCATGATTTGATGGCATGAGATCGTGAAGATATTCCATTTTGCCAAACCATACGGTGTACCGGTTCAAATGGCATCTATAGATTAGATCTCCTGAATAAATACTGTAGTACCTATAGGAATTGATATTTATCCATTGGTACCGGTAGTATTGTAAAATAAAGTAACGTCAGTACGCGTCAAGGTACAACGTCCATACAGTAGTGTACCAGATACCGAAGTAAGATCCGTTGCGTGGTTCTTACATTATTTCCATCATTGTTTCTTTCATAACCTACGATAATTGAAACCCAACACGCTCTCAACAGCCCAAAAGCCCCAACTACTGCCACCATTATGATTAGCGAGGGTACTGCAGAAGGCATTGGTTCCGCCATGGCAACAGGTGGAAGTCAAACTTCGACTACCAAAGCCTTGCTGGTCTTCATTCATGTTCCCAAAGACTTGCAGGTTTACATTGACAAGCAGGAGGCCAACAAGGAGGTTGTGGACAAGATGGAATCCTAGGATGATTCCATCTTGGAGGAAACAACAGACAAATACAGGAGTTTTTACCGGACAAATTGCCGATACAGGATCGAAGAAGAATATACGGGAAAAAACGGATGGGAGTACATACCATTCCTGTAAATCTTCCAGAAATCCCGTAACTTCTGTCCGCAGTGAAACCAGGCCACAAAAAGAATTCATCGTCCATTGCTGCTGCGGCCAATAAAAATAATAGCAATAACAAACCAAGCCACAAGAAGGCTTCGTCGTCATTGATCACGGCTTCTACTAACAAATCAGGCCACCGCAAGTCCAATTCCATATTGAGAGGACACCGCAAGACGGATTCCTTTGCGTCCACCCGCAACAAAATCCCCATTTTGCCACTGGACGACTTGTCATTGGACAATTATAATAATAGCAACAACGATAATAATGGAGCCACCACGAGTACCACCCGGACGGTTCACACGGACAATACCACGGATGCCACGGAAAAGATCTTACCAAGGAGCCGAGCCCCGAGCATTGATGAAACGGTTACAGACTCTGAAATTGTTCCCGGGCAGCATGCCATTGGTTATGTCGAGTCGGAAGATATTGATAAATCTACGAAACAGGCCGTCATTGAACACATTGTGACGGCTGAAGAAATGGCGGCAGTCGTCAGTCTAGAATTGGAAGATGCCAAGGAAGAAGGAGCCGTATGGGTATCGTTACCAACAATGACGATGAAGTTACGTCCCGTCTCAATCGAGAAGAAGTCATTCAAATTGTCAAGGCCCAAACGTCTGTGGCCATTTTGCCAGAACCCAAACCAGCCAAGGGTCCAGCGCCAAATACATAAATCAAAATGCAAGCCTTGCTGCAACTGACTTGTAAAAATTTATTCAAGGAAGGGTGTTTCTTTACGGCTCCCGTCACGATTGACATTACCAAGGGTGGGGGAATAGCATGGACACAATTTATCATCATGTGCAAACCTAACAGTATCGATTTGCTGCTCGAGCGCCTCGAGAGAATTGGTGTGGGAAGCAGTGTCGGCATGATTTCCGTTTACAAGTCGGAACTCTTAAAGACGGCAGACTCACCGGACGAGACGGCCATTAAAATGGAGGTGGAGGAAGAAAATAAAAAAGAAGCCATGAAGCGTGGCATCAAGGGAAGATTGGATGACGTCAAGTTGGAAGAAGTCAAGCAAGAATGGAAGAATGCGGCCAGTCGGATGCGAGTGGAACAAATTAAGGAGCAAATTCATGAACAAGCGGTACGTTACAGTACTATCATATCTGATTTTATGTTATTTGGCAAAGAGGTTGCACCTTGGAATGCTTTGAATACTCAACATCATTTTTATTATTTTCCTTTCACTGCATAGGGAATACCTTTGACTTTTTGGCGCTTTTGCTCATTGCCAGTATTCTGGCTGGCGTTGGTCTTATTACCAATTCCACCGTGGTGATTGTTGCTGGTATGTTGGTGTCGCCCATTATGGGTCCCGTCATGGGGATTACCTTTGGGAGTCGGGTCTTGGACTGGAAGCTGGCACGAGAATAGGCAGCACTCGCAATTGCCGTCTTGACGGGGGCAGTGGTGGGATTTGCTGCGGCCTTTTCCCAGTATGCCGATGAATGGCCTACCCCTGAAATGGGGTCTCGAGGGGATGTCAGCGGATTAATCACGGGTATTGCCATTGCTATTCCAAGTGGAATGGGAGTTGCCTTGTCCATCTTGGGAAACAACACTGCTTCTTTGGTTGGAGTTGCTATTTCGGCTTCCGAACGAAACCTTTTTTCTTCTTCAAAGGGATTTAACACCAACTCACTAATCCAGCAGACTTCCATCAAGATGGGCTCTACTCTCATTGATCATTGCTGCGATTCAATGATGAACTGTCATGAATGATTGTTAAATGATTATGACATCAAATCTTGGACCTGAACTGAAAATCCTGGAAATGAGTTGGAATTTGGATTGTGAGTTAGGGTTAGTATTATGTTTTTAGCACTACTTCAATAGTTCTACATAATTATATGCCTTGACAAGAATGGTGTAGGTGGTTCCCTCCAACTTGGGAGTGTCGACACTACCACTCGATGCCATCCATCCTCCCCCTGACGGATAGCAAAACCTCAGGACTGCCAACAATGCCAATATCCAGCTCCTAAACCCAAGGACACACCCACACCATCAGCTTGTCATTGAATTTATTTGTGCCTTGCAACTCTGTGGTGTCCCAAAACCATGCAAAAACTCCAATTATTTGGACATTGATGGTGGGCTTCAGCAGCGGTCTTTTTGGGGACCCAAAGAAACCTATGAGGCCAAATCACTTCATATGAGTACTATGATAGCTAATGTCAATATATAGCTACTGTTAGCTGCTCATCAACTTTACTGTTGTCGACGATGAATGCAAGTGCCTCATTTGTGAATCTAATGGATTTCAGGTAGGATTGATATGAATATGTAGTTAAGCTATAAATAGAGATATAGTTACTGAGTTGTGATGCCAAGAGATCTCTTCTCTTGACGTCCCTTAGTCATTATTCATTCTCCCACCTTCCTTTAGGACGGCATACAGAAAAGGAAGTAATGGACAAAATGTTACCAACCAATAAGGAGATAGCAGAGAGCAATGAAAGTGGCGGCGTTGAGTGGTTTTGTTCCAATATCTGCCAATTGATCCTTTGTATTGATTTGCTGAATGGAAACATCCCCTGTGCCGACTGCCCTCTTGAAGTGATGATACTTGATATTGATGTGTTTGGTCCACGGGCAAAGCTTTATCAGCTGTCGCGAGTTCAATTGCTCCATTGTTGTCTTCGAAAGCTTTACATTTGAAGATCGGTTTGGTATAGCTGAAAGATTTGACCTTTCTTGCAAGTTCTTTTAAAAAATCGGATTAGAACGAACACTGTTTGCAGCGCCTGGAAAAGACAGATGTATTCAGCGTCCATGGTACTTAAAGCAATTTCCATCTGCATCTTGGAATGAGAATAAATCAAGCAATTGTTGAACATGATGTGGTAAGCTGTTCGCAATTCCGCAGTTGCTGGGTCCTCAGCGCTGTGCTTATTGAATCCACCTGCAAAATCTGCGTCTGCGTATACTTTGAAGCCCTTTCCAGGTTTTCGCTTCATCAACCAAACACCTTGCATTGCTTTGTGCCCTTTTGGCACAGATTTTCTTGGAACTACCTCCCAATGACCTCCTTTCGTGTGATCTTCAATCTCTTTTACCATAGTGGTGTGGAAGTGAATCTAGTCCTTTTCTCTTTGCTTGGTGCAGATACATCATATCCTCGTCTGCTAAGGTTGCAGCAAAGGCCATGGATTGGCGGTGACGCATTCGTCCACAAGTTCTTGTGCATGGACTTCCCTTGCGATTACTGTCTTATAAGAATGTAAAGTTAGTTCAAATTCAAGATGCTTTTTGTCGAGGGTACTTCCTGTGTTTTTTTCCCTTTCATCTTGTCCTCGCTTTTGCTTTTGAGAGAGAGATTCATGGGTCTTCAGTGCTTGTATTGTACGGGTTCCTGCATTGTCCTCCCTCTGAAGAGCTGGATGTTTGAATGCCCACTATTGAATAGCAGTATTGTTGGACCTTCAGCCTTTTGGGAGAGCTGTGGCAGCTTTGTGCTGGTATCCCTTTGACTCTCCCTCATTTCTCGACCTTGGGTTTGACCTTCAGCTTTTTGGGAGAATTGAGGCAGTAAATTTGTGCTGGTGGTCCTCTGATTCTCCCTCATTTCCCGACTTGGGGTCTGGCAGGAGAGTTGAGGCAGCAAGCTGCTGGTGTCCCTGTGACTCTCCCTCTGACGCAGCAAGTCTTTGCCGTTGTCCCTCAGATTCTCCCTCTGAGGCAGTACACTGGTGTCCCTCGGGAATGGCTTTCCGTTCTCCCTCTGAGGCAGCACGTTTCTGCTGGTGTCCCTCGGGTTCCCCGTTCCGCCAGTTTGAGCTAGTCTATCTTGACCGTTACCCTCAGTTGTCAAGATCTGTCAGCTTTGCGCTTCCAGGTGTCCTCTCTCATCAATGGTCTCTGATGTTGGAGCTTTGAGCTAGTCTATCTCGACCGTTACGCTCAGTTGTCAAGAGCTGTTGGCTTTGCGCTTCCAGGTGTCCTCTCTCATCAATGGTCTCTGATGTTGGAGTCAAGAGCTTGTGGCCTTTTGCTTGGAGGTGTCCTCTCTTGTCAATTGGCTCTGAAGTTGGAGTTTTGGTACCACTTGACTCTGGCACCTGAGTGGGAGAAACTTTTTTTCTCTTGTTTGGCTTGGGATTGTTCGTGGATCTCTTCTCATGAATTCGAGTCAATTCCTGCCATCATCCAATATTTTTCATTGCTTCCTCAAAGCGCACCGTTGTATGATAGAGCAAAATCAAATCCATAATATACTTTTAACAGCGCATCCGCCAGTCACGGTACTAGGTAGAGTGGAGAATTTGTGAAAAAGTCACCTTTCGACCTTAGCCCATTTTGTATATATGACCATTTTCATTGTTAAAACCCATCAGACCTTTTGGGGTGACCCTTTAGGCCTACTGTGTAGGGTCCATTGCTTGATGTGTCCTTAGGTTCGGTCGCTGGCACCATATTAGGCCAATGGTATGACATAGCTAGTAAAATGTAATTTTATGTCATTTCCTTTGGTTGTATTCGAGGATGCCAGTGGCGATTGATGGGCTACAAACTTGCACCTAGCTCATAAGTAGCAACATGGAGCCATATGTGAGCTGTGGGGACTACCAAACTATGTTGGAGAGGGGGTGTAAGCTCGAACAGGGCAGCATGTTTTTGAAGTAAGAAAATGTGATTTTCGTGTCATTTTTGTTTGGCCTTATTGGAGGACCACTATGGCAATTGGTAGACTACAAACTCACATCTAGCTCATAAGGGACCAATGGGGAATAGATACGGGCTGTAGGAACTGTCACACTAGGTTGGATGGGGCAGCTCAACTCCAAATGAAACGAAATTACATTTTGCTAGCTATGTCATACCATTAGCCTAATATGGTCCCAGCGACCGAACCTATGGATATACCAAGCAATGGACCCTATACCGTAGGCCTAAAGGGTCACCCCAAGAGGTCTGATGGGTTTTAACAATGAAAATGGTCATATATACAAAATGGGCTAAGGTCGAAAGATGACTTTTTCACGTGACTGGTGTTCCTTGAGTCGCGGATGCGCTGTTAAAATGCATTGCCGGTAGATTTTTACAACCAAGACTCATTTCTCTTCTTTATTATTTTTTTGCGTATGTAGTAGCATAGGATGCTGTATTTTCAATATACAGCATGGAAGAGGGAACATTTTCATTTTGATCGGAACGATGCTATAAGTAGTAAAGAGAAACTGAATTAATGCCCGCGTTCGGTATAGATTGACCAGTAGGTACCAGGTACCTCGTACAAGCGCAAAGCCTCCCGTACAAAAAAATAGGAAGTTATTCCTTCGCACAATTTGCAACTGAAATTTGATTATATATCTGTCTGAAAGTGAGTAGCAGTACTGATGATGAAGCTCCTATCCGCTGCCTTCATTGCGGCCCTCTTCGTACCTTGCATTGATGCCGGTATAAGAAGTGAAGTAGAGAACGCTAGACGTGGGCTATTAAGCAAGCTTGAAGATGATGGTTGGGCTGGTGTACTTCAGTCATGTTCCGAAGTCGAGTACGAGACTTCTCTCTTTGTTGACAACCATGTTTTCGTGGTATCAACACCAGTCATAAAACACTATTCTGATTGTCCAAGCTTGGCTATGGAGCAGGGTGCTCCCTTTGCCAAACCGACTGACACTGATTTCGGCGTTCGAAGCGTCAATGTACATAATTTTACTTCCACAAAAAAAGAACCACATCTGTCGATCGGGACCTTCCCCCTGTCACAGATCGCAGCAGCATTCCACAATGCGCAAGCGAAAGCTCTTTCTGATCCAGACAGCATGAAGAACTACGATCCCGTCATGCAGAACTGCGGTGACTTTGCAGCTCTCATGATGACCCTTTTGGAGATTGATGATTTTGATCATGAAAAGGTTCAATTCATTGCCAAACAGCTTCAGAAGCGACACCCTACATTCATTCGGAGCGTTCGCATCAGTCCCAAAACAGTGAACTTGCTTCCCAGCAATACCAAGGTTGATGAGCTCACAGATCTACAGTTGCTCGAGTTGCTTGTTGAGTATAAAGTGAAGCATCTCTACAGTCCATCAACGACACTGCTTAGTGATAGCTACAATGACCCCGATCAGGGTCACCGAGTACTGCATGCCAATGAAGTGTCGGATGATGCGCCGACTGCTGATACCACCAACAGCAGGCGTCTTGCTGAGGTCGATTGCGGCCGATGGTACTCCTCAGGCTGTCTTGCGGAAAACGATATTCGTTACGATTCCACCGCTTCCAATGCCATTGCCGACCAGAACGCTGCTTGGAATAAGTTCGAAGGATTCTATGAAGCAACCGCAACTGCCTATGGTCCTGATGGCCGGGTCATAGAACCATCCTTCATGGAACAAGACGCAGCTACTTTCGCTCCCGATCAAAGACCATACTCCCAAGCCCCCTTCAAAATGTTCATCAACATTACATTGAGTGGCTCCAGACTGTATGAACAAATGCAGGCGATCTTTCCCCCCCCACCCGAAGTCTTCTGCAACCAATCTGTCCCAGACGGAATGCAAAATGTCCTTTCGCCAGGTGAATGCGGGTCGAGTGGAGCCGCTGGAATCTATGAACGTTTTGGGACCAGTACCTTCGAGAAGGATGGAAGTGTCACCATGTTGCCCTTTGGGATTACAATGTCAGGGACCGAGCTTGATCGCAAGTCATATGTCAGCCTTCCTGCTGGTGAAAGCAATCACTTCTCGAGCTACTGGGAAAACGGCCTGCTTGTGCAGTACGCTTCGGCATGTCTTGATGCCGAATGCAGCCAGCTCTCCACTACCATCGATCAGTATAACACCTCCGCTCTCGCAGGCGAAGAGTATACCTTTCTGGCGTCCACTCGCGTGTTTGCCACCCGACTTGCATCCTCGCAGCAGTTTCGTGATGCAGTGGATGCTGCCTTTCTCGAGTACAATGTACCATCTGATCAGAGACCATTTGAAGATGGTTGTCTCTCTGGCTTTTGTCCTGACGAAAGCGATTGGTGCGAGTACGATCCCGAGTGTGCCGTCTCTCCGTATTCCGAACCAGAAGCATCCATCGTGGCGGGACCAGTCGTTGGTGTTGTTGTCGCTGTCGCGGTGGTCATCTTCCTCGCTTTGTTCGCTTTGCACAGACGTCAAATGAAGCAAAAGGAAGGCGTTGTGCGCAAACAGTTTACCACTCGCATTGCTGAGGGCATTACCGTCAATGGCACTCGCGGTCCTCTCTCCCCCGATCAATTGCTCGCTGAGTTTCACAAGATTGATGAGGATAACGGGGGCACCCTTGAAAAGCAGGAGCTTTGGGCGTTCTTGGAGTCTGGAAAGGTTGGTAGTATGAGCCGAAGTGACTTTGATTTGTTGTTCTCCGTGATTGATGTTGATAGGAGTGGTAGTGTTGATTTCAACGAGTTTGTCGCCTTCTTTGCAAGTGCAATGAGAAGTGATGGCTCCAGGCGCTCTCAGGTAATGTCTTCGTAAAGACCGACATTTGATGTGATCGTGAACAACAAAACCAAATGTCTCGGCCTTATGGCTCCAAATAATAAGCGAAATAAGGAAGTGTCTCTGTAATCTTGCTTAATGTTCGACTTTTAATTAGTACATGTATCCTGATGTTGTGTGGTGTGGATATGGTACCGCGAGTATAGATTGGTCATCATACCCTCACCGGGACATAGAGTATAGCCCATCTCGTCTTGTCTCCTGATGAATTGCTGCAGGAGTCTCACAAAATTGACCATAATAAGGAGGATACCTCACCAAAGAAGAGCTTTGGGCAGTATTGCATTCTGGATTGGTTGGTATAGTATATGAGCCTTACGGACTGACGTTTGATTTGCTTTTCTCTGTGATTGATTTCAATCGAAGTGGCAGCGTCGATTTCAACGAGTTTGTAGCGTTTCTTGCCAAGGGCTCCAAAACTAGAGTATATCTATAGTATAGTAAGGTGAACCAAGACGGCATGTTAAAACAAGGGTTCTTTTTAATAGATGATGTACGACGAAAGGCAGTAACAAAATTAGAATTGTGAAACATCATGTTGTGGTCGTCTACGAATCCGTCAGCTGCGGGGTCTATGAAAATTATGTCCGAAGATGTCACTCTTCATGTTTGGGTTCGATGATTGAGATGAGCTCGGGCTTCGTTAATTAGCAACTCTTTCTGTAAGGCGCGATGATGAGGACGATCGAATGAAATGATTTAACAAAGATGGCCGATGGGAGCTCGTCCTTTAGGTCTTCCTACGGTTGCGAGGCTGCGGTGGCTTGGAAAGTGAGAAGCTATTTGTCGAATGTTGTCATCTTCAATAGTAGTCTTGGTTTGCGCCCGAGACTGCCTTCGAACGATGAATGGAAGGGTTTGTTTTGGATCTTCGAAGAGATTTGACACCCACTTATTGTCTTGAGCGATTAAGTAATCCAGCTTGCATTGGCGAAAGCCGAGAAAAAAATCTATGACCTTGACATCATGGTGGAATCCTCGTATCTATCACTAAGCGGTGCTGTTGATGGACTGTAGAGATGTTTCGCTCTTGACTCAACGAGCAACTCGAGCAACTGTAGATCTGTTAGCTCATCAAGCCTGGTGGTCTCCTTTTTGTTGGGCAACAAGTTCATGACGTTGGGATTGGTGCGAACAAATCGACCAAAGGCGCGGTTTGTTTCTAGGAGCTGCTTGGCAATGAATTGGACCATTTCGTGATCGAAATCAACCTTCAAAAGGGTCACCATGTGACTTGTAAAGTCTCCGCAGTTCTGCATAACAATGTCAAAGCTCTCCATGGTGTCCGGATCAGCAGCTGCTTGTGCTTCCGCTGTGTGGAAGGCCTTTGCAATCTCTGAAAGGGGGAAAGTTCCAATTGACAATCGTGGGATATCCCTTGGGAGGGTGAAATTTCGAATATTAACTCTGCAACTTTGGAAATCAGCATCCATAACCAAGCTGGGACAATTAGAATTGCCTTTCGCGACTGGTGTTGATACCAAAAACACATGCCTGTCAACAAAAATAGAAGTTTCGTATTCGACTTGTGAATATGACTGAAGTATACCAGTCCAATCATCACCTTCAAGAAGCATGCTCGGCAGTCTCCTAAGATCCTTGTATGGTGCCGAAAAGGCATATAATCTAGGTACGCAGAGGGTCGCAACAATGGCCAAGGCTAGGAATTTCATTGCATGCCACAGTAAAACTGAAAAATAAAGTTTCAATTGTTTGGTTGCGCCATTCGCCCATGCAATACTAGTACCGCACGAACATTGTGCTTCGCAGAAATCTCAAGTCTGGAGCGCAAATAGAACCGCGGCTATGCGCCACGGCACGCATACTGTACCATTCTTGCAAACTCTCAGTTTGATTGGAAGGGAACGATGTTGCCCGCGACAGGCAGATGCTGGATTACACATTTATGGTTTCAGCCAGTACCGCGGCACTACAGTATGACTTTATCTTTTAGTCCGGTACACCGCGTACCGGGTATGCAAGATTTGAGAGAAATGATGCAGTACCGGTACGAGAGTGTCTGTGATTACTGACATTCCTACTTTCTTTGTCGTAGAAAACGGAAACAGGAAAGCTCCACCGCGGTATGACTTTCATCTTTGAGTCCGCTACCGCTATGCAAGATTTGAGAGAAATGATGTGTGAACACTCCGGTTTACTGACATTCCTACGTGCGTTTGTCGTAGAAAACGCGACCAGAAAAGCTCCAATAAAAAATACTTTGAAACTTTTCATTTGTGCAAGCGATTAGGATGAGGATGAAGCTCCTAGCTCTTGCCTTCGTTGCGATCCTCCTCGTACCTAGCATTGATGCCTCTTCTGCAGCCTCGCCAACACTACGACGTAGGCTATTAAGCAAGCTCGAAGATGATGGTTGGGCTGGTGTACTTCAGTCATGTTCCGAAGTCGAATACGAGACTTCTCTCTTTGTTGACAACCATGTTTTCGTGGTATCAACACCAGTCATAAAACACTATTCTGATTGTCCAAGCTTGGCTATGGAGCAGGGTGCTCCCTTTGTCAAACTGACTGACACTGATTTCGTTCGTAGCGTCAATGTACATAATTTTACTTACACAAACGAAGAACCACATCTGTCGATCGGGACATTTCCCCTGTCACAGATCGCAGCAGCATTCCACAATGCGCAAGCGAAAGCTCTTTCTGATCCAGACAGCATGAAGAACTACGATCCCGTCATGCAGAACTGCGGTGACTTCGCGGCTCTCATGATGACCCTTTTGGAGATTGATGATTTTGATCATGAAAAGGTTCAATTCATTGCCAAACAGCTTCAGAAGCGACACCCTACATTCATTCGGAGCGTTCGCATTAGTCCCAAAACAGTGAACTTGCTTCCCAGCAATACCAAGGTTGATGAGCTCACAGATCTACAGTTGCTGGAGTTGCTTGTTGAGTATAAAGTGAAGCATCTCTACAGTCCATCCACGGCATCGATCTACAACAGCTACAATGACCCCTCTCAGGGTCATCGAGTACTGCATGCCAATGAAGAGCAAGATAATGTTCCGACTGCTGCCACCTCCACCAGCAGGCGTCTTGCTGAGGTCGACTGCGGCCGATGGTACTCGTCAGGCTGTCTTGCGGAAAACAATATTCGTTACGATTCCACCGCTTCCAATGCCATTGCCGACCAGAACGCTGCTTGGAATAAGTTCGAAGGATTCTATGAAGCAACCGCAACTGCCTATGGTCCTGATGGCCGGGTCATAGAACCATCCTTCATGGAACAAGACGCAGCTACTTTCGCTCCCAATCAAAGACCATACTCCCAAGCTCCCTTCAAAATGTTCATCAACATTACATTGAATGGTTCCAGACTGTATGAACAAATGCAGGCGATCTTTCCTCCACCACCCGGAGCCTTCTGCAACCAATCTGTCCCAGACGGAATGCAAAATGTCCTTTCGCCAGGTGAATGCGGGTCCAATGGAGCCGCTGGAATCTATGAACGTTTTGGGACCAGTACCTTCGAGAAGGACGGAAGTGTCGTCATGTTGCCCTTTGGGATTACAATGTCAGGGACCGAGCTAGATCGCAAGTCATATGTCAGTCTTCCTGCCGGTGAAAGCAATCACTTCTCGAGCTACTGGGAAAATGGCCTGCTTGTGCAGTACGCTTCGGCATGTCTTGATGCCGAATGCAGCCAGCTCTCCACTACCATCGATCAGTATAACACCTCTACTCTCGCAGGCGAAGAGTATACCTTTCTGGCGTCCACTCGCGTGTTTGCCACCCGACTTGCATCCTCGCAGCAGTTTCGTGATGCAGTGGATGCTGCCTTTCTCGAGTACAATGTACCATCTGATCAGAGACCATTTGAAGATGGTTGTCTCTCTGGCTTTTGTCCTGACGAAAGCGATTGGTGCGAGTACGATCCCGAGTGTGCCGTCTCTCCGTATTCCGAACCAGAAGCATCCATCGTGGCGGGACCAGTCGTTGGTGTTGTTGTCGCTGTCGCGGTGGTCATCTTCCTCGCTTTGTTCGCTTTGCACAGACGTCAAATGAAGCAAAAGGAAGGCGTTGTGCGCAAACAGTTTACCACTCGCATTGCTGAGGGCATTACCGTCAATGGCACTCGCGGTCCTCTCTCCCCCGATCAATTGCTCGCTGAGTTTCACAAGATTGATGAGGATAACGGGGGCACCCTTGAAAAGCAGGAGCTTTGGGCGTTCTTGGAGTCTGGAAAGGTTGGTAGTATGAGCCGAAGTGACTTTGATTTGTTGTTCTCCGTGATTGATGTTGATAGGAGTGGTAGTGTTGATTTCAACGAGTTTGTCGCCTTCTTTGCAAGCGCAATGAGAAGTGATGGCTCCAGGCGCTCTCAAGTAATGTCTTCGTAAAGACAGGCATTTGATGTGATCGTGAACAACAAAATCAAATGTCTCGGCCTTTTGGCTCCAAATAATTAGTGAAATAAGGAAGTAGTCCTATCTCTATGGTTGTGCTTATGCTTCGACTGAGAGAAGGCACATGTGTCGTGATGTTGTGTCTGATGTTGATAGTATGATCACGATGTCCAAAGTAGGCTTGGAAAGGTACACAGGAGACTGGGCATCACTCTCACTGTGATACAGTTGTTCTTCTCGCCGTTCTAGTTGTATTCTCTTGTATCGTTGCAGTAGTTTCACAAAATTGACCAGGATAAATGAACTTGCCATTATTGGCATTTTCAATTTCTACTATACTTTGGCTCGTTTCGTTTGGCGAATTTATTGGCAGGCAGCTGCTGTTTGACTGAAAATAGAAAGAAGGGCCAAATGATAGGAATTGGGGCTTCCTTGTGAAACGAACAAAATTATAACATAAATAACATGGATGATGATGATCGAAAAGAGAGGTTTTGATGATATGATATACTCGTATGTGATTATTATCGTGATTTATTTATAATCCATTGGTCCAGGTAGTATTGTAAAATATATCAAATTCTCAGTGGTTCATTCGCTTTCGTGACACAAGTCAGTCATGAACAGACACAATTCCGAACTGGTAAAATTGAAAATGTCAGTACGCGTCAAGATACGACGACCGTACCGCAGTAAGATCCGTTGCGTGGTTCTTACATTTCCATCATTGTTTCTTTCATAAGCTATATTTACCTACGGTAATCGAAACCCAACACGCTCTCAACAGCCTAAAAGCCCCAACTACTGCCAACATTATGATTAGCGAGGGTACTGCAGAAGGCATTGGTTCCGCCATGGCAACAGGTGGAAGTCAAACCTCGACTACCAAAGCCTTGCTGGTCTTCATTCATGTTCCCAAAGTCTTGCGGGTTTACATTGACAAGCAGGAGGCCAACAAGAAGATCGTCGACAAGATGGAATCCTCGGACGATTCCATTTTGGAGGAAACAACGGACAAATCAGGCCACAAAAAGAATTCATCGTCCATTGCTGCTGCGGCCAATAATAATAATAACAACAAGCCAAGCCACAAGAAGGCGTCGTCATCCTTGATCACGGCTTCCAAACCAGGCCACCGCAAGTCCAATTCCATATCGAGAGGACACCGCAAGACGGACTCCTTTGCGTCCACCCGCAACGAAATCCCCATTTTGCCACTGGACGACTTGCCATTGGACAATTATAATAATAACAACAACAATAATAATGGTACCACCACGAGTACCACCCGGACGGTTCACACGGACAATACCACGGATGCCACGGAAAAGATCTTACCAAGGAGCCGAGCCCCGAGCATTGATGAAACGGTTACAGACTCTGAAATTGTTCCCGGGCAGCATGCCATTGGTTATGTCGAGTCGGAAGATATTGATAAATCTACGAAACAGGCCGTCATTGAACACATTGTGACGGCTGAAGAAATGGCGGCAGTCGTCAGTCTAGAATTGGAAGATGCCAAGGAAGAAGGAGCCGTATGGGATGCTGCCCCTTTGGAAGAAGAGGAAATCAAAAAGGAAGTGGCATCACCATCTGCCGAACCCGCATCTCTCAAATCAGCCATGAACAAGTTTTTTGGTATCGTTACCAACAAGGACGATGAAGTCATGTCACGTCTCAATCGAGAAGAAGTCATTCAAATCGTCAAGGCCCAGACGTCTGTGGCCATTTTGCCAGAACCCGAACCAGCCAAGGGACCAGCGCCGAATACGGAAATCAAAATGCAAGCCTTACTGCAACTGACTTGTAAAAATCTCTTCAAGGAAGGGTGTTTCTTTACAGCTCCCGTCACGATTGATATTACCAAGGGTGAGGGAATAGCATGGACACAATTTACCATCATGTGCAAACCCAACAGTATCGATTTGGTGCTCGAGCGCCTCGAGAGAATTGGTGTGGGAAGCAGTGTCGGCATGATTTCCGTTTACAAGTCGGAACTCTTAAAGACGGCAGACTCGCCGGACGAGACGGCCATTAAAAAGGAGGTGGAGGAAGAAAATAAAAAGGAAGCCATGAAGCGTGGCATCAAGGGAAGATTGGATGACGTCAAGTTGGAAGAAGTCAAGCAAGAATGGAAGAATGCGGCCAGTCGGATGCGAGTGGAACAAATTAAGGAGCAAATTCATGAACAAGCGGTACGTTACAGTACTAGCATATATTTTATTTGATTGGGCAGGGATATTGCACCTTGGAATGCTTTGAATACTCAACATCATTTTATTATTTTCCTTTCACTGCGTAGGGAATGACCTTTGACTTTTTGGCGCTCTTGCTCGTTGCCAGTATTCTGGCTGGCGTTGGTCTTATTACCAATTCCACCGTGGTGATTGTCGCTAGTATGTTGGTGTCGCCCATTATGGGTCCCGTCATGGGGATTACCTTTGGGAGTCGGGTCTTGGACTGGAAGTTGGCACGAGAATCGGCGGCAGTGGAATTGGGGGCACTCGCGATTGCCGTCTTGACGGGGGCAGTGGTGGGATTTGCCGCGGCCTTTTCCCAGTATGCCGATGAATGGCCTACACCTGAAATGGGGTCTCGTGGGGATGTCAGCGGATTAATCACGGGTATTGCCATTGCTATTCCAAGTGGAATGGGAGTTGCCTTGTCCATCTTGGGAAACAACACTGCTTCTTTGGTTGGAGTTGCTATTTCGGCTTCCTTGCTTCCTCCTGCTGTAAGTCATAATATATTATGCAAATACGTGGCAAGAGACGCGATTTGGTTTGGATTCATTCATTCATTCATTCACTAATGTACTGCTTTCCATTATGTTCTTAGGTAAATGCTGGAATTTGTTGGGCATTCGCCATACTCATTAGTGCAGGAGCAGTCGACGACAACGGCGAAGATTTTGTCACGATTGGTGCTATCTCATTTGTGCTTACGTTGGTCAATATTTTGTGCATTTGGGTCTTTGGAATTGTCATGTTCACCATCAAGGTACGATTAGAATTTGATTATATTGGTGGGGTTGACTGTATGATGCTGTTCTTTTTGGTCTAACCTCGAATTATTTTCACTTTTTGCAGGAGGTGACACCGTCCGTGAAGAAGAGCGCATTTTGGGCACGGGATATCAAAGTGGCAAGAGCAACGCAAAAACATGGACCTCCGAAGAAGGAAGTTGACCTTGATACAATCAAAGCTGGTTTGCAAGAAGCATTGGAGCAGAAACGAAATGAAGCGAACAAAGTGACTGGACCTGCAACTAAAAACTTGCGACGACGACGTCGCCATCGCAGCCATCGGCCTCGTGATTTCTCCTTTAGTCTGATTGAAGACGACGACGAAGAAGACGACGAGGTGGACCTTTTGGAATTTTTTATGATGGGGTTAAATCCAGTTATGGAAGACACTGCAGGAATGGATCCAAAAGACAGAGCTGCCTACTTGGGATTCCGGTCTTCACTCCAAGATTTTGCAGTGGAGGAAGAGGTTGCCCCAGTGGTTCCAGAGAGACCAGCATGGCTGTCTTTCTTGGGCAGGTAATAGCTCCGCTGTGTTGGTACCAAGCAACCGCCGAATAAAAAGTAGTTTTATTTTCATACATCCCAAAAGTATACATGCCTTTCGTTGCAATCTTTCTTCAAATGATTGTATGGTTTTGAACTTTTTTGTCATGAATGCTGAAATAGGCCTACCAGTGATTACAAACTCTTTTCCTTTGTGACGATCAATACTACCGAAAGAACTACAAGAATCACGTCGAAGAACCCACAAGTAATCTCCACGGACCAAAGACCTCCCCATTCCAATAATCGAGTTCCGATTGTCGGGCCAACGATGCGTGCCAGACTGAACAAACCATGTTCCAAACCAAGCAAGGCACCTTGCTCTTCTTTGGAGACCATTCCGGTCGTCTGTGTGGTTAGTCCGGTGGCCAAGGTATGAGATGCCAATGCATGGAAAACGGCAACCGTAATGACGTTGTACAGCACAGCGGTCTCTTCGTCGACACTGCTGCCAATCGAGGATACAATCCAAGCCATTCCACAACCCATTACAGCTCGAAGGAGCAATCCAATTTGGATCATCCCAAAGAATCGAGCATTGTGTAGTTTTTGTGTCAGAGGTGCCATCGCCACGGCACCAAACGCCGCAACGACAAACATGCTGGAGGACATGACTAATCCCAGCTGTGAGGGTTCCAATTTGAGTTCGTTGGTCATAATGAGGGGCATTGAGGTGGAATGCATACTGGCAATGATTCCCCCCACAACCTTGATCATGAGTAATGGCCACAATCCCGAGCGAACCAGCAAGCTGCCCGAGTGCTTCAATTGCTCAAGGAATGAAGAGCCGGATTTCGGTCCTAGCTTCTCCCCTTTTGACTCGGACGCTACCTTTGCCGTGTCGGGCAAGAACCAAAGCGACAAAACAACCGACACCACTGATCCCGCTACCGCCAACTTCGCACCGATCGAATAATCCCCTTGATTGGCCAGATTCCCACCGATAGTTGGGCCCAATGTTGCCCCAATTGTGTAGGCTGTAGTCATACGACCCAAAGCTGCAGCCCGTGCTGCCGCCACTGCCGAAGCCGAGTTTCCAAAGTCAGCTTGCAAGGTGGTAGTAGCCGTGGCCTGAGCCACAAGAAAGGCCGCCATGAGAACGGTGGGCAGCTTGCTGAGAAACAAACTTGTCATGTCTGTCGCCATGGCCAAGAGCGCATAGGACAATCCGGACGCCAGAAAGACAAGAGCCGAGGTTTTTTGAATGCCCAATCGATCCAGCAAAATACCCACCAGTGGAGATCCAACGGTTTGAATCGCCTGAAAGAATGATTGCAGATTGCCATAAGCCCGACTGACCTGCATGTGTTCACCACCATTCCCACTGTCTTCACTTTGCTTGTCAATTAAGGACTGGACCAAAAATGGTTCCACTGGCCTTTGCAATTGATAGCACAATGCATACAGGACAATATTCAGATAGGTCACCCATAGAATCGTGTTGGTTTGGACAGAAGTAGTAGGCTTGGCCACCTCCTCTTTTTCTTCATCGTCCTTGGATCGCGCGTTTGTAACTTCTTCTGAAAAAGGTGACTCGTTCGACGGTGCAGCTGGTAATGGTTGGTATTGGCCCGAGTTCTCCATTTCAGACATGGATTCAAAGCCCGTGATTTCTGTCATGGCGTCCAGGTCAAAGTGCTCTCCTTCGATTTCCGCCTGGAGCATACTTCGAACCTGATCCATGTGTGGACGCACGGTATTTTTCTCCAACAGACATTGCTGCAATAAGTTGCGTAGATCCGCGGAAAACCCAAAAGGTATCGACTTGTTGGTTGCTTCCCAATTGCAGTCCATCGTTTCAGGAGACCTGAATTTCTTGAGGGTAAAGATTTGGTACACCAGTACTCCAAAACTAAAAACGTCAGCCGTTAGATTGTACTTGTCTCCTCTTTTGACTTCCGGGGCCATGTATCGCGGAGATCCAACATTGGCGGTAAGTTGAAAGAGCTGATGGCGTCCAAGGGGCAAAACTCGGGCGAGATCAAAGTCGAAGATTTTCAGAGTTCCGTTCGAATCGAATCCAATGTTAGCTTTAGTACGTGGTGAATAGGCAGAAGGTTATACAGAAGGTGAGAAACCAGTGGAGCAAAGACATACTACTTCCAGCACAAATGTTACATTCATAGTACTCACCAGCTTTGATATCTCGATGCAAAATGTGATACCCATGCAAATGTTCCAAAGCTCGAGCCAAACTCAAAATATGTTGACACTTTTCATGTTGGATCGATGACAGTACACCGATCCTACGCTTTTTGGAATGATAGAACTTTGGCTTTCGCTTGGCCCATTGGCCAAAACGTTCTTCTAGGGTTCCTTCCAACTGATCCAAAATTAGATAGGCCGACACATGACTACCATCCAAATATCGTTGAATCATTTGGGGCCCACTCCAGGCTCGTAAACGAATGATATTGGGATGGTCAACCGAGGCCAGTATCTTTCCTTCTTGGTACAGATCCGCGGCACAGGCGGCAAAGACGAGAGGATTCTTGAGGACTTCTGGTCGCAATTTCTTCATGACAAGAGGTCCTTCAGGTGAAGACGACGACTCGGCCAGAAATGCCGAACTAAAGCTTCCTGTCCCCAAAAGCTTTCCTAGTCGGATATTCTTGTATTCCATTACAGGAATGGGATCTGGAGGCTCAATCGCTTCGGTTGTCTTCATTCGATTCTTGACAATTTCGTGCACTTTTGTAGCAATGACACGTGGGACTTGCGTTCTGCCATGGAATGTAAAGGTGGACTTTTGATTGGTTTTCGGGTGAATGGAATCTGACATGATATCACTGAGTCTTTCTTCTATCGATTATGGTAGCAATGCGGCTATATATCGGTAGAAAGAAACCAAAGACTACCCACTCTTTCTTTTGTTTTATTAGCGAGATGACGGCATGTTATGCACTAAACACCGCGTTCATCATCTTGTTCCTGAACACACTACATCAGTATGCGTGCGATGCGATGCGGCAATGCAATCTTCATTCGACTAGTCCGAGTACAAAGCTTACAAACTCAAAAGCTTATTTGTCAGCATGGATATGGCCACAGCGTATGAAAAGATTGCTGCTGCTAATGTCAAAAAGGGTTCGCTGGAAGATGCCGTTGTTGTGAGTGCAGAAGCCCTCACAATTGTTCGCAGAACCCTTGGTGAACATCATGCTGACACGAGGCTGCATGTCAACTTTATTCCTTGCTTGGGTTTCAGATACTTGCACCCACTCTTTCGCTGCTTTCTCAAATATCAGAAAGCAACACTCTTGTTCTTACATGTGCCGCACCAGCTACAAACATCAAACAGTCAGGTTATGGTGGAACGCGAGATGATATACTCTCTGAATTCAACGACCATATGCATCACGTACAAGTCGCAAATTGGAAAGAACTTCATTTTGGTGAGACCTACAGGAAATGCTCCGGTATGGTCTGCTAAGTCTGTATAATATGACAAACAATAGTTGAGGAATGATGATGCTTATAGCCATATGCACTCCAACCATATGAACCCGACAAAATGCTGCAACTTCGGCAAGAATACATTGCAGTACTCGAACCGATTGAGTCACAACGTTCCATAAAGAATGCGAGGTTGTGAGACTGCATGTGCCTGTAGTTTTGACAAGATCTATTTCTTCCAACTTCCGTGATTTTTCCCACAAAGCATGACGTAACGAAGCAATCGCGATTTGCAAGCTCTGTTGAAGTAGTACATTTCAGCTTGTTGTTGGCTATCAAGGTGGGGGTACTAGGCAACAAATAAGGCTGGCAGCTAGAGATATGTACGACTGAAGCAACTATCTTACTAGCTAAAGTCCTAATCATACACCCAATACTCGCATAGGTTTGCGTAGCTCACCATCTATGGGCACGGGGGAGATGCTACCGCGGGGCAGCTTGATGGTGGTGATCCTAGCACAGGTCAAGCATCACGTAAGAGTGTGGCTCTAGAGCCGGAGTGCGTTGCCTTAGTTGCGAGCTTCCAAATGACTGATCCCTTCTCAGAGTTGACGCGTGTAACCTGCTTCATCGCTTGCCTGTTCAAGTTGTAATGTACTGGGGAGGACAAGGTTCTGCATAATCAAAGTAGCCAGCCAATCGGATGGTACCTTCCACATCTGAACCCACATAGATGATCGTTCTACCCGACACTATTTCAGTACAGGCATACAAAGTAGATGAGGCCCCGGCGTACCCCAGTCCCCCTCCCCTTGAAGTGATTTTGAACTGTATGGAAATGGAAACGAGGCCAAACGCACAGGTTTCTAGGAGGAGCAGCAAAGGCTTTTATTCGCTTGGTGTACACGCAGAGTATACAGAACGTTACACAAAAGGCTGCTGATCATGTCAAAAGTGACCGTCGGATCCTGGTTGTTCCAGGACTGACTGAGGCACAGGCTTGTGTGATGAGTGGAAGTTTCTGCGCTCGGTTTTATGGAGAAATTCATTTCACCAAAAAGGCAAGGATCATGGCACTTGTCGTAATCATTAAATTGGTGGGTTTATGATATGGACAGCGAGTCCATGGGTATAAGTTCGGACAAAATCTCCTCTTTGTGTTCTGTTGTTGGCCGCAACGTATAATAAAACTATGCCTGCACACCTGCACTGACCAAGGACACCAGTTGCTTGTCCGAAATGTAGCCATTTCTGGGCCGATGGCTGTCTAATTATCACACCCCACGTGTAATATTTAACATATATACATACATTTAACGATCACGCAAGATGCAAGGCAAGTCGTGCCGCAATCCACTTCATTCCTGATTTATTTATTCTCTGGCACCGCGCGCACAAGAAGATCGAAATCATAAACCACAATTTGTACCTTGAACACAACACAAGGATCATGAACGAAAAGCACGGATTCAGCATGATTATCATGCGACTGGTGGTACTCCTCGTGGCACTTGCCGTCAAATGTTTTGACGGTGTGCTTGACGAAAAGATAGGAAGAAATCTTGTTGACTTGTCGTGGGAACACGAAAGCGGATGCATGGTCCTAGTACCACAGATTTCAGCGAGCCAAGAGGAGTTCTACAGCCTTTCCGATCCCAAGGAGGGCACTGTGTGTACAAGTCCGATGGGACTAAAGATGTTTTACACTGACAACGATTTCGAGGGCAACACTGGCGAGTGTGTGAGTGCGAGTGTCTGCAGCTATGAGCTGAGATGTGAGTACCGCGACTATACAGAGCTGTGTGGAATAGAAACCGTCGCGGAGCTGCAAAATTACAGGCAGAATTGCGTTGCACTGGGAGTTCTAGCAAACGGGGTCGATGATAAAGTGTTTGAACCTGGAATGGTATGCAGACCGGAAGATATCGATCAGAATACCCCCAAAATGACACCCTCCCCAACGCTGGACCCAACGTCTGTGCCGTGGGAACACGAAAGCGGATGCACGGTCCTTGTGCCAAAGATATCAGCGAGCCAAGAGGAGTTCTACAGCCTTTCCGATCCCAAGGAGGGCACTCTGTGTACAAGCCTGATGCGACTAAAGGTGTTTTACACTAACAACGATTTCGAGGGCAACACTGGCGAGTGTGTGAGTGCGAGTGTCTGTAGCTATGAGCTGAGATGTGAGTACCGCGACTATACAGAGCTGTGTGGAATAGAAACCGTCGCGGAGCTGCAAAATTACAGGCAGAATTGCGTTGCACTGGGAGTTCTAGCAAACGTGGTCGATGATAAAGTGTTTGAACCTGGAATGGTATGTAGACCGGAAGACATCGATCAGAATACCCCAAAAATGACACCCTCGCCAATATCGGGTACAACGATGCGCCCAAGTACACCGCCCCCAACGTCCGTACAGGAGCCAGCTGACACGAGTGGAAGCACACAGACGTTCAATCGGCTGTTGCAATATGCGGCACTCCTGCTTGCAGCGTTTTACGGAATGTAATGATGACCTTGTGTGTGCTAGATAGCATTTTAATAGTCATGATCATGGCAGCTATCGATACCCTCTCAAACACTGCCAAGGAGTTTGTAACACTCGAGAATCAAACAACCAATATCAATTTTCGTTGGTCTCCAACATTTGAAATCTACTCAGTGGCTATTGTTAATCAACACCACTGCTCTATTCTGGTTTCTAGTTACCAGCTAAGTTTCGTCCTTGGATCAAAAATGGTCAGTCGAGGCCAGTATCTTTCCTTCTTGGTACAGATCCGCGGCACAGGCGGCAAAGACGAGAGGATTCTTGAGGACGTCTGGGCGCAATTTCTTCATAACAAAGTCGAGGTCCCTCCGAAGTCAACGAATCATCGGCAAGAAATGCTGAACTAAAGCTTGCTGTCCCCAAAAGCTTTCCTAGTCGGATATTCTGGTATTCCATTGCAGGAATAGGATCTGGAGGTTCAATGCCTGGGTAGTCTTCATTCGATTCTTGACGATTTCTTGCACTTTTCTAGCAATGACAGCTGGAACTTGTGTTCTGCCATGAAACGTATAGGTAGACTTTTGATTGGTGGTTGGGTGAATGGAATCTGACATGATATCACTGAGGCTTTCTTCTATCAATTGTGGTAGCGATGGTGGGAACCAATGACTGCCTACGTATACCTACAATCTTTCTTTTATTGTTCTGCGATTGATATGATAGATGACCATAGCATTATAAATCGACTAGTCCGAATTCAGTTTATTTCGCATGAAGGACCGTATGTACTAAAAAAGGCTCAAAACTCAAAACAAGATTTGACCATGATTTGAGTGATGACACAGCATCATCACATCATGATCATCTTATTGTGGAATTATAAAGCAGACTATACACGCCTATTATAGAAACAAAATCAATATGTAGAGCAGCGAACAACACTCGGTTGAGGAGCTCATGATGAAATTGTGCGATGTCTATAATCGTCAAGGAAAGTATCAAGAAAAGGCGATGGAGAGAGTGTTGGGGACACAAACCAAAGACTTGGGTGAAGATGATCTTGCTGTGGCCAAGACACTGATTTCCATGGGATTTGTGCGACGGATGGAAGTCCGTTTTGATAAAGCTTTGGTTGGAGGCACTGGAACGAACTCTTGAGATACAATTGAAGAAATTGGGAGAAAAACATATTGATGCAGCAATAACTTCCTTAAATTTCTGTGCGAAGTCTTTCTGGATCAAAGTTGTGAATCTCAGAATCGAATTGTGTCCGCAAGAATCATTTGGTTTGATGAAACTAAGCCAAAAGCTAGCGCTATCATTGAAAATGAAAGGCAAGCTTTCAGAAGCAACCAGCCAAGATACAAAGGGCCATACTTGCGAACGTGGAGGTCCACCACGGTATTGTAATTGTATACATTTCCATTGCAGGGCTATTGCAAGATCAAAATAGGCTGGACGATGCCCTTCAGATGCTTGATAAAAGCATCGGAATTTGTAATCGGCAAGGAAAACTCGGGTGCTTCGACTTGGGTATACTGGGACTAAGCGCTCGAGGGCAAAGCAGAATGCCTAAAACAGCAAGGCGACTCTGAAGGTTCCACGGAGGTGCTAAATGAGTTACTAAGGGCACTACAGGCAGCGGCACTGGACTACGAAAGTGCTGCCGCCCTAGCAAATGTCCGACAAGATAGGACAGAAAAAGCCATCAATATTCGCAAAAGGGTGCTTGACGATGATCATCCCAGCAGAAAAGAGCTCATGACTAGCGTTGAGTTGCTAAGTTGCAATAAAATTGCAAAAGAACTCAGATTGGATGGACTGGCAATGAATGCGCAAGGCAATTTGGGAAAGGCGACACAATTATTGCAGCAATCGCTTGATATTTACATGGAAACCCATTCTGCTCATGGCAATGATATGACTCATTCCGCGATCAGAAAGAATTCTGGACGAGTTTTGTTGTTATTAGTATGGATATGGTAACAGCCTACGAGAAAATTGCTGTTGCCAAGGTCGAAAAGGGTTCGCTGGAAGTTGGCGTTGCTGCAAGTGCTGAAGCCCTCAAGATTGTTCGAAGAACACTTGGGGAAGATCACGCTTACACAAAGCTGCGTATGCAAGCGCATAGATCTTTGCTAAAACCTTTCTTGGAGGATCGCCGGACCTAAACGGCGCCTTCCTTGACAATGTCATACTCTGCCAATGGAAGAGAAACCACGTGAGTTTTTGCGCGAAGACAATATCGTTCGGTGAAACGAGTCACCGCGTGGAACGACTTACCATCAGACGCTCAGCCAGTCGCTGCAATCGAGCGCATGACGAAGCTGGCAGTGCCAGTATAATGGTTCGCAGTAGGGTAGCAGGACGCCTCATTAGAACATTCGTCGGAATGACGGAAGTGCCACCTTCCCTCTCCCTGGTTTCATTCGATCAACTATCACTACAAGAACTGTAATTTAAAAAAACGTTAACCTTTTCCCTTCATCAGTGCTTCTATCTGTTATTGCTTCCCCTCGAGTTTTCGTACTCTAGCAACTTCCAATTCGTGCAATAGCAGAGTATTCGCCGCATCCATTGGTCCAGGTTGACACCAATGCAAACAGTCCTTTTCACTCATGTGATGATCCGGTCTCAAGATTGCCAAGTCATAAAAGTCCAAGAAGGATATTCTCAAGTCCTTTTTCGCAATGAATTGTTGAATGAGATCTTCCACTTGCCTGTTTTGTTCCTCAAATTCCCACCAATGAAACTGTTGACGAAATTCTTCTTGTTCGTACCAAGTTTGATTGCCAATGGCCGCTTTGGCCTGAGCTATACTGGTAATCGGTCCCGGAGTTTGTTGGCAATCGGGATATCCTGGCGCCGTCGTTCGCCACAATAGGACACAGTCTCGTTCCTTTTCATCGCAATCCTTTTGCCATTCCAATGCGGTTTCGAGAGTATCTTCCAGTTCGGTTAGCATTTGATTGGTCGGAGTGTAGTGGGCGCCCCGATTGAGAACCACAATTTCGGGACTGATGTTGCGGATCATGGTGGTCCACTTTTCTGCCGTGGCTTGATTGTCACGGAGCCAATACAATCGAGAAGTCGTGTTGGCGCATCCTTGGCTAAAGCATTTGGACGGAAACCGAAGAATGTCTCTGGCATCCGTCAAGTACGCGAGGGAATTGTATTGCTGAAAAGTCAAGGAGTCGCCCAAAAAGGCGATGGTTCGATTTTGAAGTATGTGACATAGTCGTTCGGCATCAAACTGTCGAAATGTGCAACCATATTCTTTTGGTATGACCCATTGATGTTCCACATATTGGAACCCTGGAATCTTTTCCATTGCCGTTTCTTCTTTTTTCCAACAGGTCTGTTCCCAATTCACTTTGGCCAGATATGATGCCCCTTGTGGTCGTTCGACTGCCTGCCATGAACCTTTTCGGATTTGTTCTCGTGTGCACAAGGGTAATGACGACGATGAATCCTCATCGTTACCATTTGTCGTTGGAGCTTTTCCGTTTTCGCCAATCACAATGGTATACTTGTTGTTGTTTGTGGTGGTGTTTGTGGTGGCAGTATCGTCAAATATTCCTCTCTCTTCTCGGTCGATGTCTATATCCTCGCCCTCGCTCTGAAAGCTGTTAATGATGGACAAGGCTCCCTCAAACTTCATGAATATGACTTGGCTCGCAAAGAAGACTACCATACCTATCGCAATCAGTGAACATCGAAGTAATGGCTGCTGAGAAGACGTTGGTGGAATCATTTGTCGTTTCCGGTATGTTTTGTGCGCAGGTCCTTTGCTTTGACTGATGATGACAATGCTTGAGTCGGTCGTCATGATTTTAATGATAGTGATGTGAGGATGTTGGTCTGTCGATTTTGAAATTGGCGATTGTAATGAATGGTTATGATGTGAGTATAGCTCTGCCGATTGATTCTGAAGCATACAGCGTAGAAACACGAGATGAAGGTATTGTGATGGACAACCAACAACACCCTTTCTCAGAGCAAACGATAACGTAAGAACTTGAAAATACCGTTGATTCCATAAAGATTCAAATTGTCGCCGGACGATTATGATTTCAACTGATATTTTTTTGGCCAATCATATTCGACCTGGTATTTCTGTGAGATGAGAAGTGGTACCGCGCGGTAGGACAGACGGAGACGAACGTTTCGAATTTCGAAAGATGACGAATGATGACATGTGATGACGACGTTTCTATTACAGTGTTCTCAACATTATCTGGGGAGTGGCTTGATGGCTGCATTGGGAAGCCTATTTCTTGCACCGCATGTAGCTGCAGTAGTAGACTTATTCTGAAACATGCAACATTACGGATCGATAGAACAAGAAGGAAATATTCCTACAGATAAACACAATGCCGCACGAATACCACCACCTCCATCCTTGCATCGAACAACAAGTGGTCTTCAGCCGTACAAGGAGCAGCGTAGTCTCGGAGACGAATCTGATGATTCTACACGAATGAAATGGAGCTGGGATATCCCAAAAGGCAACTCTACGGAGCCTCTCGCTGTCCTCGCCAATGCTTCCTCCATTTCGAATAGTGGCAACCATAGCCATCATCATCAGGGCAACCAGTATGGTGGTTACAACAAAGGATTGTTCAGATGGATGCAGTCGTTTACAGTAGACAAAAGTCTTCTGCGAGCGATTTGCATGCTGTTGGCTGCTGCCATTGTTATCCCTATTTTACTGCAATCACGCGAGGATGATGATGAAACCTATAATTCCTACTCTTCAGAATTTGAATTCTCGGGTAGTGGGACCTATGATTACATTGTGGTCGGTGGAGGTCCAGCAGGAATCATAGTAGCCACCAAATTGGCGCGAGACTTGGGTACCTCTAAGATTCTTTTGCTTGAGGCTGGAACAATCAGTCAATCTTCTGTCATGGAAAAATTGTATCGAAGAAAAATGGAAGACTTGTCGTCAGTTGCTGATAGCTCGGGACCTTCCTCCTTTTCTATATCATCACTGTCTTCCTTTCCACAACTATTGAACCAATTGGATATTCCTCTATTGTGGAGTGGGGTGGCCAGCAAAGCTTCGTCAGAAGATCCAACGAGCACAACAGTCTCGGACGATTTGCACCACTGGCATGTGCCAAAGACTCTACTTGCAAAAGCACTCGGAGGGTGTGGAGTCCACAATGCCATGTAAGTTCGGGGATTTTATCACCTACACAATGAGTTGTACAAGAAACTATTTCTCACACTACTTGACCTTTCACTTGTCCTAAGGCTATATGTTCGAGCTCTTCGAACGGACTTTGAAAAGTGGAATATGACAGGATGGTCATCGGATCGAATGTTGCAATACTATCAAGACTTGGAATCCTTTGATAGAACTCCTCAAGCTGGAACCGAATCAGATCAACGCAGTCCCGCGACTAGCACAACATTCCAACGAGGGACTAACGGTCCTATTCGGACACATCCAGCTGGACCAATACTGGACAATGTTGGCGAACTATTTCGGCAATCATCTTCTCGGACCATTGGGTTGGCATCGTCACAAGGATTCAACCACCCAGATCCCTCCGCTCGGATTGGAGCTGGCATTTACGAGTTCAACATTCGAAATGGGGTTCGTGATTCTGTAGCCCAGGCAATTTTGGGTGATCAAATTGCCCAGGACAGCAATGATAGAAGCAGTGGTATCCCAAAGAACTTGGAAATTATATTAGGGGCAAGTGTGACTCGCGTTTTGACCAAGGCACCAAAGCAATCCGATAATGGGCTGCTACCCAAAGCAATCGGTGTCGAATTCATGGATGAATATGGCCAGCTTCGTCAGGTGCTTCGGAAAGGACACGGTGCTGATTCTTCATCCTCTGAAGTAATCTTATCGTGCGGGGCCATCATGACACCACAAGTTCTCAGTAATTCTGGAATTGGCGAGAACGGATCGGTGGTGAATTTACCTGGAGTCGGAAAGAACTTGCAGGACCACCCAGTGGTTCCAGTTTTGTTCCGATTGGCTCCAAACATGACTGAACAAGATGGATCGAACTACTTATTGGGGCAACAATGGCAAACCTACTTGGATGCTGTCCAAAGAGTGAGATCGGATGGTGTGTCCATGGATCAGCAAACCCGAAATAAGTTGCTGCAACAAATGGGAACTATGGGAACTGCTGGATTTTCCGTTGGTGCTTTCTTACGATCTCCATGGGCCAAAGACGAAGCACCCGATTTGCAACTCACTGTCTTTCCCCGATCGATAGAGCCTCATTTGGTGGACAAAGAACCTCAGTCCGAGTACAGTCGCAGCATGGCCTCTAGTACCATGTTGGTGACAATTGCGTTGCTGGATGCCGATGCCAGATATGAACTCAAAGCGACTCATTTTACAAGGATCAATCAAAGTCCACATGAGTTCAACTACATGCCATCGTCGAGTCTTGGGATTCCATCCATTGTTTTGCCACAAGATTCCAAGGAATACTTGTCTGACATGGACATTCGCCGCTTAACATGGGGCATTGAACAAGTCAGAAGGGTGCAACAAGCCCCACCATTGGTGTATAATACCAAGGAAGAAGTCGTTCCTGGCGCCAGTGCCGATCTGGAGGAGTATGTTCGATCCCACCACCTTCCAAACAGCCATTGGACCGGTACTACCAAAATGGGCCACGCCGATGACCCGCTGTCAGTGGTCGACGAAACATTGAAAGTCCGAAACATGAAAGGGCTTCGAGTTGTGGATGCTGGTGTCATGCCTATCATCCCAAATGGTAACACACACAGTTCTGTGACAGTTATTGCAAGTCGAGCAGCTGATCTCATTCGAAACGGAATTCAGGCTACGACGTAACTTTGCATGGGCGGATGGATTCTTGTTGTATTTCAAGACTGAGAGCTAGAGATACTAGATGACAAGCTCATCGACTCATTGATTGTGGAACATGGAAATCTTCTACTCCACAGCTCGTGCAACATGTAAGACTCGGCTTGCGATGGAAAATATTATCATCGAACCAGTTGGCTCGACGAATTCGATGCGAACGGGCTCCTATTCGTTTTGACCATTGCAACAAAGTTTGTATCGAGGTTTGTTCTTCACCGGTACCAGGTACCTGGTACAAGTACCCGTTTTCATCTCTGGTGATGTTTTTTCAGAGATATTGTGAAAGATGAGAACGATGCAGAATTAGCACGGTCGGAAGAATTCCATTAGGATGTCTCCGAAAATAAATAGCGGTACACGTACCAGTATTAATTAAAAAATTCAACGAGTACCCCATACTTGATTGCGATGTGGGTTAAATGTTTCGAGAAGAAGAATACGATTAGGTAACAAATGACTGTGCTTATGTATCAACATTTATTGAAGTTGACGTTAGAATCGTAGAAGAGACAAAAACAAATTACTCCGTCAGAAATGATTTTTCTCAATCATCCACACCCCTCGCGCCCTCACCAAAAACACCGCAACTGAATAATATATAACCTGACAATGGTGTCTACTGATGTTGGAGAACCTCTGTCCAAGCAAGAGGCAAGGACAAAGGCATCTTCTAGAAGCAGCGAGCTTATCGATAGTCAAGACGATGACGAAGAGATGGGATCATGTTTCACAATGGAGTCCTTCTTTGATTCATCAATGGTGTCTGGGTGCGCCATAGAAGAAACCATTGCTATTGAGGAAGAAGGTGCTCGGCATGATTATGAAATTGCACTGAAGGATGATTCATATCCCGAGGAGAATGCCGCCTCGCATGAGGAATCCATCAAATCGAAATCAGAAAACAGGAACCGGCATAACAATAGACGACGATACGTCAATCGCAGTCGCCTACAAAAAACAGCTCGACCAATAAGGGATGCTGGTGAAGATATGGATGATACCATTCATACGTGTCATGACTCTGGAATGATTACAGAAGGAGATATATCTTTCATCATAGTGGAAGAATCTGATGAAGAATATGAAGAGAGAACTGTAGAAGACTTCTTTGGAAGTTCGGGTGACTTTACGGAGTTGGAGATGACAGAAACGGAAGCGGATATACCAGAAGACGATGATATTCAGGATGATGCGCAGTCCGCAGGAGAGTTTTCACTGAAACTTCCAACGTTCAGTGGCCATGGCTATGGTAATTATGATTCAGTGTCGACCATTTCATTTGCCTTCGATGATCTGGGTCGAAGTTTTAGTTCAGAGTTGACAGATTACGATCCAATTGTCTTTGTGACGGGCGGTGCTTCTGCTATCTCTCGGCAATCGGCATCTACGGCCCAGACTCCAACATCGTCGTCGATGATGACAGAGATGCAGTCAACGAAACCACTCTCTTTCACATTGCGAACACAAGGCACCATGGCTTCTTCAATCATCTCCACTGTTCCAACTGCTGTTGCTGCCAATGGCGCTATGGCTCCGAGCGGAATCACTACCAAAGAATTGGATAGAAGCAACGCAATCATATCCAACGTAACCAGAAATATCAATAGCAACCGCAAGAAGGGGGGCAAACACATGCCACTCTCTCGAAACTTTCTGCAGCCTTTGAGTGTCGTTGAAGGAGATTCCAGAAGCCGAAGTAGATCATTGGGCCCAATCAATCAAAGGCGACGATCACGGGAACGACGTGGAGGGGACAAGAAGAGTGTCCCGATCCGACGAAAGAGTTTGGACGACGAGGACTTTGATCCATCTGAAAATGATACCTTTGATGAGAAGCAAACAGATCAAACAGGCCAGATTTCCAGCTCGCTCCACAATTTGAAAATAGGAGGACCGATGCGACGAGTTTTGCGAACGAAGAGTAGTTCCAAACGAATCATAAGGAATCATTCCGGCCAGGTGCAGAAGGTGGAACTGCTGCAAGTCCTGGGAGAGTCAGATCGCAGTATCATCTCCCATGGTTGGTCTCAGAGTAGCAGCAGTTCACCTCGACTCGGCCGTCTTCAAAAAGTTCAGTTGCTGGGTGGATCTGATCAGAGTATCATTTCTCAAGGTTTCTTGTCGCAAAGTAGCAGCTCTGATAGACTCACTAAAAGCAACAGTTCCGGTAGATTATCGCGAAGCAGCAATGGCTGTGAGCCGTCTCGGAGCAACAGTTCCGGTCGATTGTCTCGAGGGAATAGTGGCAGTCGTCTCGGTTCTAACCCTAATGACACCGGTACTGCACGAAGAATGCTTTCCGATGCTGGCAGTGGCAAGGTTCTCAGAGAAGACTCCAATCCTATGGCATCCGGAAGTTATGGTGGTCGTGTACATGTAGTCCCCATTTCCGTGGGTTCTAGCAACCGTAGAATACTGGCACGAGTCAACAGTGCCAAGAAGCTAGTTTTGGATGATCAGCGAAGAACTGGGTCTCATTCTCGAACGGGTATCTTCAAGATTGAAGAAATCAAAGATTCGCGTTCTGCAAAAAGCACACAGTAAATTCAAAATATAGATGCTATACTCTGGAGGCTAATGATTTCCAAAACTGTAACATCATAATAGTAAACAAGAACATACTACTTGCTTGAATCAATTATTAAAGATGATCATGTTTGCCATTGAGAGTGTAGATGGTGCAACAGAAATCGGCTCAAAGAATCAGTCCGAGCTCCTTATTTTTCTCTTCTATTACTTGGACAAGTAATTCGGCTTCCTTTTTCGTAAAGGAAAGCGCCTTGAAATGACGAAAAGTCAAATCACTAAACCTAGGTCCATCCGACAAGAGACCAAAAGACGAACATTTGTCGACAATTGTTTTGTCCAGGCTGGGATGAGATGACAGCCATGATTTAATGGAAACTCCAGACCAGGGATGCTGTGGCTTTGGTGGGGCATTTGAGTCGGGTCGCCTCCAAAATTTTGTCTCATAATAGTACGTTTCGGATGCTTCGTCATATTGGAAACTTGTTTGCCAGTTGCAGCTTGAACATCTGAAGACTGTTGTTCCATACGCATCACCATTGAGTCGGCATCCAGCAACATGATCTTCTGAAGCAATAGTGGAATTTGCTCTTTCTCCAGGCTTGGAACTCCTTCCATCACTATTGTTGGAACATTGATTGGGACATTTTCGGAAACCAGATGCCCAAAACGTTTCTCGTGCAGATGGACTCTGATCTCCGGTTGAAAATTGAGAACCAACCACTGCCATATTGAAATCAAAAAATTAAGATAGCATTAGGACATGAGAGCAGGCTGAAGTACATGCGACAGAGGTAATAACTGGCACCTGAGACGGTCCGGATGGTACAGCTGCCGCAAAGCTGACTGCGATATTACCAAGGAGATATTACTTATTATATTATACAGTACTGTCCCGCCGCGCCGACGAGTTACAGTTTCAACGTTGCGAACATACCGGTATACATACGCGTACACATCGCATTTCGCTCGGGTTATACGATTCAGTGGACTACAGAAGAGAAAACTTGAAATAACTCTCGCATATCTTTCATTTCCAGCCAATGATCACGTATCGATTAAAATGAACTATCAAATATAACTAGCTGGTTCTGTAGTTGCAATATCGCATAAATCTTTTTTTAAAAACATTGCATACTCCTGTCCTTAGATCATCATGGCCATGACTACCAACAATGATGTGGCGACTCCTGCCATCATTATAAAGAGGCTTGAAGCACCACTGACGTTGACGACAGCCCGCCGATCCAAATCCTCACAATACTGAGCTGTGTTTCCATTCGCACCTGTACAAGAGCAAATAGAAACCTCTCCACCATTCTTACTTTCGTATTCAAAACCCAAAAACAAAGAACTTCCATAGGATTCGCACTTGGCCTGGCAAGTTTCCTGTGATGTGATGGAAACATCAGCGCACTCGGGCAAATCGACACGATCTGAGAACAAGATAGAGTCGCTGCATTGCTCCACTCCACTGCAGCGGCAGGAGACGACAAAGTAGGCTTGGTCTGGAGTTGCACTGGTAGCAGTTGCATATCGGACGGAATCTTCGGCTTGGACAGTGGTACCCGAGGCGCAAACGGATCTGCAGCCTTGCTGAGCGGATCCGGGAAAAATCAAGAGGTCGGCACAAGATGGGTCTGTCATCAGTATATTGGTTTGGTGAAAAGTGCGATTAAAATTGAAATGACGAGAAAACATCATACAGTAGTGAGATGAAAGTACAGCCTGTTATATAGAGCACATGTATTCAACTCACCATCGTCACAATATTTGCCGCCTGTGCTACAAGAGCATTCGTTTGAACCGTTGGCGCCACGAAACAACAAAAGCGCATCGCCCTTTTCAGTACACTGAGTGCTGCATGTGAATTGACTTGTTACACCGACGGAAGCACAAGATGGAAGAGGAGTTTGAGCCTTGACAAGAAGACTTCCGTTCTGAACAACACTGATGATGATCACGGCAATGATGAAGGAATGAAGGGACTTGATCATGATGCTGGCTTTGGGTTTGTGTCGGATGTCAAGCTGTACAGTATACTGGTATGTATTGCATCTCCGCTGTATATATATCTGAAAATGTCCCCCCGCAGCTCTGCCAATTGACTGCCTCGAACAAACTTAGTCTTGTCAGTCAAGAAAGCCTAGCCTAGCTCTTCGCTTCGCTTCGCGATTGATTGATTCATTCATTCATTCGCTCGGGATGCTGCTCATGGGGTACCGGTACTATGCACCATATTTAGAGCAGCCTAGTATTAATATCTAGAAAACGTCTTCATTGCGATCCCGCTTTGTTCAGAACTAGCATCTTGGGGATGCATTATCGTAGTTTTGCAGGTGCTGGTACTAGACCATGTCATCATATGGATGGAACGAATTTCAATCGATACCAAGACAGTAAAGTTCCCCGCCATTTCAGTAGAGTGTACAGTACCGGTACTCCCCTGTCTCGTGTCGCTTTAGCAGTGCCAGTGCCATCTTTCTTACCGGGTACTTGTATGCTCAGGCAGATGACTTACGAAAACTATTAGCATTTTTGTGTTTTAGAAAAAAGCTGAAGGCGGTCTGCTGCTTTTGTCTTCGTCCATAAGTTGTGTCTTTGTCCTGCAACTTATTGCATTCTCGTTCGGACATGACGTTTCCTAGTTTTGCGAGTTATTTTCTAACAGTGTAGGGCTTTTTATTCGCCATGCCATGCGAAATTCGATCGATTCTCGGAAAGGCTGACGCAACGCCATAAGTAAAGCACTCTGATTGAGAAGCTCGAGAATGTTTCGTGCATGAGAAAGCCAAGAATTCCAAAAGTGAGAATGGCTCGAAGCGCGCAGTTTTCAGTAGTACCTCTACGGCATGATACATTGACGTCACAGAAACTTGGCAAAACGTCAAACCAAGAAACCAGTTTCGTCCATCTCCTTTCTTTCTCACAAAACCAAACTTGACAATCTCATAATTTCACAACAGATTGTAAATCAAAATGCCAGGATTCAGCTTTAGGCAACCAACCCGCCGTGGTCCTCTCGCAAACGTTGTTGAGGACTCTGCCGATAACCATGGAGACGATGGAACTCCGAAAACATTTGGACGAGGAATTGTCCAAGATTTCAAGCGCACCGTCGGAACCCATTGGGTGAAGGAAATGACCAACTTCAACACCAAGACTATCGCTGTCTCCTTCTTCCTTTTCATTGCTGTGATTGCTCCCACTATCACATTTGGAGCCGTGTACGCCAAGGCTACCAACAACTACATCGGCGCCGTCGAACTTCTTTTGGCCACCGCATGGTGTGGAATCTTTTACTCTTTGGTTTCTGGACAACCAATGGTATGTTTTCCAATTGCGATTCGACCATATATTATCAGCAATCGATCACCATTCTTATATTTTCTTGTCTTTCTCTCGCGCACAGATGATCAATGGAGGAACTGGTCCAGTTTTGACTTTCCAAGCTGTCTGTTACGACCTTGCCAAGCAGCTCGACGTACCTTTTCTCACATTCAACGCATGGATTGGTATCTGGGTTTGCTTCTACCAAGTGACTGCCGCATTCTTCGACTTTAACAGACTTATCAAAAAGGCGACTCGATTCACGGATGAGACATTTGCATTGCTCATTGTCTCTATTTTCTTGTTGGGAGCCATCGGAAATCCTTCCTCAAAGGTTGGTCTTTTCCACTACTTTGGCACTGACCACCCTCATCACGAAGATATGCTCGAAGAAGATTCTCAATACGACTACATGACCGTCGCTCTTCTCAGTCTCATTTTGGGTCTTGGTACTGCCTTCCTTGCCATTGGACTTCGTCAACTTCGCACGTCTGCCTTCTGCTGCAACGACTACATCCGCACTGTCATTACCGATTTCGCAATTACCATTTCGGTCGTTGTCATGACCGCCTTGAGACACACTGTCTTTGAAGATGTTGAGGTGGAAGAACTCAAGGTTCCAGACACTTTCGCCACTTCCTTCACATGCTGTACCGCAGATTGCCGAGACTACTGGCCCACTGATTGTCCTGACCAAGCTGAACCATGGGGCCGCCGACCGTGGGTTGTTGACTTGTTTGATCTTAACGACAACATCTATGTCATTTTCGTTGCCGCCGGTCTTGGTATTCCAGCTTTCATCTTGACTTTCTTGGATAATGGTATCACATGGCACATTGTCAACCACCCAAGTAACAGACTCACCCACGGCGACGCGTACAACTACGACACTCTTGTTTCTTCCGTCATGGTCTTGGTCAACTCCTTGATGGGCTTGCCTTGGTTGGTTGCTTCTACTGTCCCATGTATCATGCACATCACCGCCATGCAAGAGAAGGATAGCAAGGGCGAAGTCAAATACATCCAAGAATCTCGCTTGACCGGCTTTTTTACACACGGATTAGTGTTGGCCTGTATTTTTGCTCTTTCTGTCATCAAATTGATCCCATTGCCAGTTCTGTACGGTGTTTTCTTGTTCATGGGATTGGTCGCTCTTCCAGGACAACAATTCTACCAACGATTCTTGCTTCTCTTCCAACAACCAAGTAAGATTGCCGAGAACCACTACACAAAGCACATCCCCATCAACCGCATCCACAAGTACACTGCCTTCCAATTCCTCTTCTTTGGAATCGTTTGCGTGGTTCGAGAAATCAAGTCCATCTCTATTGCTTTCCCCGTGATGGTTTTGCTGTGTATTCCAGCACGCTTGTACCTGCACCCAAAGATCTTCTCTGAGGATGAATTGACACTTATGGACGGATCTCCAGAAGAAATTGATAGATGGTTGCAAAAGAACGACCCCGAAGGAGAAACACCCGACAAGAGTGCCCAGGATGAACACATTGCCCAAAATGGACTCAAGATGCCTGACTACGAAGAAAGTGGTGCAGGAGTGACGGATAAGACTGGCACTGAAGAAGTTGCCGATGCTTAAGCACCAAGCGCATGATTGCCAGCCAACAAATGGCTACAGCATATCATAATCACACCTATATACTAGTTCTACAATTTTGACATTCCATGAATAATTTACTACATAATAGTCCCACCCTTTTGTGGCACTGCCCTTGTTACTATTACTTTTTACTAATTTTATTAAGATGCTTAACAAAGAAAAGGAGCACGTGCTATACCGGAAGCTTCATCTTCATTCCCAGATCTACCGTGGAGATCTCGAACAGCATGCCACCGCAGCAATGCAAGTGTGGCCACAAGTTTGGAGAACGTTGAGAACCGGCGTACCGTGGTAGTGGTGCCATTATTGTACCTCCCTTTCGCAAGGAGATGTCGTATGGGCGAAGCCTGGATGCGGATTCTGGGATCATTATGTATGTTTCAATGAATGCTCGCGCGTTTGGTGTTTCTGTAGGACCGCAAATATTTATAATCAAGGGCAAGACAGTTTTGAAATTAAAGTTGTCAATCTCTATTTCATTATGTAAAACTCTGATTGTGGCCGGTTACGGGAAGCCATTTTCGAATTTATCGTTTCGGTTTCGCTTTTTTAATAAGCGGGGCCTATGTGTTGCAATGCAGTCATTGAGGTTTCCGCGAGTGCGTCAACATTTTACGAGCATCATACTTTTCTAGTCGGAAAACGGCGTTGGGCCTTCACCAAAATGCTCACATAATTTGTACATCTTCATTTCTTTTTAATAATAGCACGAGCAACCCAACAACCACCATGCCTTCTCAAGCCCCATCAAGAAGAAACCTTGCACGATCCCAAAGTTGTATTCTTGACGTCTCTGATCACAACGGAAAGAGCAGAGGAACCCTCACCTATGCCGAAGGAGTAGGTATGCTCAAGAGAGCTGGATCCAGCCGCAACATCATGCGTTCGGACTCTCTTTCCTCGAGTGTCCACAGTGATTCTGGATTCTCACGAAGACCACCACGGACAAGTCGTTCTATGCCCGCTCAAAAACTGCAGTAGGAGAAATAACGATTTCTCCTTTCAAGCTGCCTGCCGCCATACCACATGGTCGTCGATTATATCCGATCAAAGAAGGAACCAACAATTTTGTGTTGGTCGTTGTTTACATGAGCATGTGCCTGCAGGGATAATATCCCTGCAGTGACTCTATTGCGCAGACCAGCATTTTCCCATATTAGTTTTGGTTCCACGAGGTGCAAGAAAGAATCGCCTTCAGATTTCGAGTAGCGTCTACTAGTTCAAACAACAACAACGACGAAATAATACATAATATTGAATTTTGCAATTCTATCCACTATCAAAACGAGCATTCAGCTGTGTGTGCTTTTGTTTCTTCTATTTCACTTGAGGTCCAACTGATTGTCGTGACAACAGAATTACATCAGTACCGGACTGGTATTGGTTGATTGCGGTTCCCAAAAAGTGACACACATTGCGTGTTGAAATTTTCGCCGCTTTTATAGATATTCCGATCATTTAACGAAACTGACATTGTGCAGTCATTTTGCGAAAGATCGAAATGTTGTTGGGAAACGGAAGGTATATCGCGACCAAAGGGTCTGATCGTGAAATCTTTGATGGTGAGAAGCAACGAACAACCGTAGATCCAACGAAGACGCCAAGGATGTCCAACCGAAAGATCTCTGTTTGCTGCCGACACCATCCAGATTCCATCTCATGGGACAAAGATGAAAGCGGCGCGGAAGAGCCAGTCTTGGGTTCGGTGGATCTAGAGAATGACAACCTCGATCTATACAACCACCCAAGATACAGAAGGGCCATGATTCTGAAAGAGTTGGCGACTCGAAGGAGTGACGAGGGCATGGTAACTTTTGAAACTCCTTCTCAAGCTGCTTCAAATCTCGACATTTATCGCAAGATCCACTCGGATAGATTGATTGACTTCTTTGCTTCTGCATGGAAACTATGGGATGGAATAGGACCAGATGGCCAAGATTCCATGTGCAATGGCGGCGGAGGCAAAGAGGCTTCTTCTCCTGCTTTGATCCCTGGTAATATCCCATTGCCAAGAGAAAGATTTCAGCGTCCTTCCAAAAATGTCATGGGACAAATTGGATTCTTCTGTACCGACACCTGCACCCCTGTATTTGGTGCCATGTTGGAAGAAATCTTGTGGGATGGAGCCGTCATAGAACAAGCAGTGGCAACTCTGCAAAAGAGTCCATCTGTGGTAGCATATGCCTTGGGAACACATCCAGGTCATCACTCTGCAGAAGATTCCTTTGGAGGATACTGCTATGTCAATCATTCAGCATTAGCTGCGAAACTGTTGCAGGAACGAAATGGATACTCCAAAGTAGCCGTACTGGATGTCGACTATCACTGTGGGAACGGCACAGCCTCCATTTTCTATCAAGATCCCTCAGTACTAGTTGTATCCATTCACTGTCATCCAGATTGGGACTATCCGTTTCATAGTGGTTTCTCAGAAGAGACCGGTGATGCAGAAGGTGAAGGAGCAACACTTCATCTACCGCTCATGCCAGGGACAAATTGGGAAACGTACGGCGATGCTTTACAAAGTGCTCTGACAAAGATTCAAGACTTTGGTGCCGAAGCTCTTGTGGTATCGTTGGGCCTGGACACCTATCTCGGAGATCCTTGTGCAGTTCGTCGGGCAGGATTCAGGCTGGAAGGTGATGACTACACTAGCATTGGTATGGCAATTGGATCTTCAAATTTGCCAACCATGGTGGTTCAAGAAGGTGGATACAAAATGGATTCGGTGCCCCAAGCTGCAACAGATTTCCTCTTTGGGATCTGTGCTCCTGTCGAGTAACGATGATAAAATAGCGTAGATCTCTTGATGAGATCCTCGCCAAGAAATGCAGTAGACATAGATCAATAGCTCAATTAGACACAACTTATTCATAGTCAAACCTATTCTATCGGTTGCAAATAGGAAATAACTTGTAATATCACAATATCTGCTCCGCAGTTGATGCGGCGCTCATCTCGCCTGATGGGTCCATCGACATAATCTGTTTCTACTTGAATGATTCGGGCTTTCCACACCGCCAGCTCGAGTAAGGACAACGCTTCTTTGCGTGCATACCAATCATATTTTGATCTGAGTCGACGAAATGCAGAGTGTTTTTCTCTTCGACCAACGTTCCGGAAGGACCGCACGTGCCTTTCCATCACTTCCCTCCACGGCGACAAGCCCAAATATGGGATGTTCCCTGATATGGTACTTCTGATGACAAATTCAATCACGGCAGCTGTATCAGCTGATAGATTTGTACATAGATAGTCCATCGGTGTACATCCGTTTTTGTCACATTCATTCAATAGTTCAGTGGGTATCTTTTGAGAAAGGAACTCGAATACAACTACATCCTGCTTAGTTGCCAATGCCAGGATATGAAATACGTTCATGCCAAGACAATCCGCTGCGTCTGCTGTAGAATCACTTTCGTCCAACACCAAGAGAAAGTCTTTGAGCCCAAACTCAAAGCCATCAAAGTACGCGGCTCCATGAATTGGAAAAGAATCAAATCTGGACGCCAGCGTGTTTGTCATCTGCATGCCATTTTGGTCTGAAAGTAATGATTGCAATGCAGTGCAATGGGAAAAGGATTGAACCTCCGTCTTCGGCAGCCAAAGATTCAACAATGATGTACATCCTTCGAATACTCGGTCTTCGACCACAGCTAATTGTCCTTTTCGTGCCATCTCCACAGAGAGCAAGCTTGTGCAATTCATAAAGGCCAACAGCCCGATGGTCTCAACGCAAGATGGAATCTTTACACATGTCAACGATTCGCACCTCCAAAACGCAAGACTATGAATTTCACGGAGAGCACCCTCGGGAAGATTTAGAACCTCTAGGCCGGTGCAGCGCCGGAAAGTCTCGTTTTCAATCATTCGGACTGTGGAGGGCATGTCGAATCTCCTTAGCGACGAGCAGTCTGAAAAGGCCCAGCTTCCAATCTTGCAGAGGCCCATCGTGGATAAGAATTTCACTGATTCTAGGCTAATACATCCCTCAAATGCCTGTTGCCCGATCCGCACAACGCTGGAAGGAATCTTAATGGTCTCCAATGATTCGCAAAAGTAAAAGGTTTCCTTCATAATATCTTGCAATCCCCCGGGCAAGTCCACAGCAACTAGACTGCGGCAATCCCCAAAGGCACCATGGCCAATGAAATTGACTGAGCATGGAATGTTTATGCCTCGCAAGGATTCACAGCCAAAGAAGGCATGAAAACCAATGGCTTCCACACACGAATCTGCAGAAAAAACGATTGAGCGGAGATGGCGGCATTCTTCAAACGCCCGTTCTCTTATATCCTCGGTGTCACTGTCCACCTTGATTTCCACTACATTTTTAGAAACTTCAGAAACGTTTTGTCCAATATAATCCAACTCAAATGATGACATTCGAGGGGGAGATGCCTGCACACAATATTGCTGCTTGCGAGCTTATTCTGAGTTTTTATCACCGAACTGATTAGTCCACCTGGTCGAAATCGGGCTTTCGTACGTGCGCCCGAGGTGCAACGCGCGTGTGTGTACTGGTGGTACACGTGTACCGTATGGTAAAAGACTGTCAGACCAAAGATGGCAACTTTTCTTTTGAAATTTCTCATATCATCTTCAACTTCAAAATCTGAAGGGGTGCCATAAAAACAACGAACCGTCCGAGTGAGATGGCACCGAAAAGAATATCAGGTACCAGGTACTGGTACGTACCCTGGGCATGCGGGCTGAATCAATTATGAGGTTGGCGGCTGGGCACACGTCAGGATTGATTGTACTTTACATAGAATTACGCACTCTAAAATATCGTTGATTTTTATAATATTTGGGCAGTGACGTAGGATCGTATTGGAAATATCATATATGCATTTCATAAAAACAGAAAAAAATAAAAACGAAACACCAAACTTCCTCACTCAATAATTCAAGCTGACATACACGCGAAGAAAATTTTCTTCTCCAAAGTCGAAAGATCACCATGACTATAGGCCCAATAAGCGACCAGAACAACCAGACAATTGCCTTCCTCGAGAATGAAGAGTTCCCAGAAGCCATCCAATCGTCGTCGTACGCTCTGAGGTATCAGCGAGGCCTCCTGCTCGACGAGGATACATCGGCGAATCCCAACAATTCAAACACGGAACCAAGCTCCCAGCGAGTGGACGATTGCATGGTCGTTTGTCACGAACTCGATGGATTTGGATCAAATTCAGCTCATTCATTCATCTACCGCCATGGTATCCCCATTCCTTCAACAATGAACGATCATAAAATTATTGCTGCCATTCTCATCTTCAACACTGCTCTAGCGTACCACCTCTCCGCTATATCTCAAAGGGGAACGGCCACTGCTGAGAAGTTACTTGTCAATGCCAAGCAGCTATATGAGCTGATAATCCATTGTAGACAGCATATATCGCTGGATGATAATGTGATGTTTCAGTTTGCTGTGATCAACAATATTGCGGTAATTACCCGAGACCAGGGCAATGTTGCGGAATCAAACAGGCAGTTTGATTTCTTGATGGCTCTGGTGAATGGACTGAGGATTCAAAACGCAGCGTGATTGATCTACGACCGACGCAGCGAGAAAATGCTACAGTAGACATACGAGAGCAAGATTGATAGATAGCTAAAATTTTGAACTCTAGTGCATTTAGAATGCCTCTTCCAGAACATACTTGTTCTCACAAAGTTGTGCAATGGTTGGTCGAAAGGCCTGGTCATACTGTAGGCATTGACGAATGAAATTCTTCCCAGCTTTGGACACGGTGACGCGTTCTGGGAACTCCACTTGATCGGCATTCAGCATTGTGTTTTCCCTAAGCAAGCGATCCTGCGACACGCCCTCTCCAAAGGGTCTTACGCCGTAGAGCATTTGATAGTAAATGACTCCAATGGACCATACATCAACTTTGTTGCTGATACGCACTTTTTCGTTAGTGATGAAACATTCGGGTGGAAGATACCAGTAGGTACCTGCACCTTGGCTTGTCAATTCCATACTGTCCCCAGGATCAGCAGCATCAATAATCTTACTCAAACCAAAGTCAGTGATCTTGGCATCACCAATTTTATCAAACAAAATGTTGCCTGGCTTCAAATCATAGTGGATGATACCCTGTCGGTTGTCGCTGGGCTCACTCAAATACCTCATGCCCCGGAGGATTTGCAATAGAATGGCCCGAGCTTCACGTTCAGGTAGTCGTTTCTTGGTTTTCAGCAGCGCATCCAGATCTGTTCCCTTGCAGCATTCCAAGACTGTCGCAAAGGAATTGTTGTCGATTTCGAAAACGTCGAACAAGCTGACGATGCGAGGGTGGCGAACACTGCGATGAATTTCGTACTCTCTTGACACATGTTTGGTGTAGTTCTCTTTCTTCGAATCTGGCCATCTCGGATCAAGTTGGTGGATCTTGACGGCAACTTCTCGTAGCTCAACAAGATCATATCCCTTCCAAACTTCTGAAAATCCGCCCTTACCAAGAAGGCTGTGCAACACATAGCGTCCATGCAGCTGTAATGATAGGAGGGAAACAAAAAGTTAGACGACAGTTGTCATGGAACATAATCATCAAGTATCAAGTATTAGCAATACGAAAATAAATACACCAATGACATACCTTTGGTTTCGATCGAAACCGGGATGCATCTTCGCTGGCCACTCGTTTCAATAAACGAATGTGAGCCGCCTTTTCATCGTTGAGTGCCTGTTCTTCGTGCGCCAGTTCCTTTACCTCCAACTCGCAATTGTAAAGGTGTCGTTGCACACTTTCCCTGGCCTCGAGTTGTTCCAACGATGTAGCATCATTATCATGAGTGGCCACCTCTTTCCATCGTGCTTTCAAGAGTTTTTGTCGCTCTTGCAGCTCCTTTTTGCGATCCTCCAGATCATGTGTCGCGGACCCTTCTTCCCATGATTCAAATGCTCGCATCCCCACCTTGCTCACCACAATCCGCCCCAATCTCGCACCATCTGTCGCCAATTTCTCCTTGAGTTCCTTTTGTTGCTGAGACGACTTCCATCTCAACAAGTCTTCCAATTCCTTGGTCACGTGAGCATTCTTGGACTTTTGAGTCTGTCGAATTGTCTCGAGCTCCTTTGCTTTCTTGTCCAATTCGGCCTTTAGAGTAGTGTGGATAATCGTGCGGTTGTTGGTGACTGCTTTGAGCTGTTGGTCCTTTTCGTGCAACAAAAGTTCAATCTTTTGACACTTGGCCTCCCAATCAATGTCTTTTTGCGATCGAGTGACTCGCTTGGACGGAACAGTCAATGGAGTGGAGGATGACGACGATGGTGACTTGGTAGCTTTCTTTTTGAAAGCGGTCGTAGCATTAATAGTAGTTGTTGATGTCTTGTTGCCAGCATTGTTGCTGGCAGAAGTACCATCCTTGTTGGTGGTCACGCTGAAAAAGTCTTGAATCCTTCGATTGTTGGCCGGTGCTCCTGCCGCTTCTTTGGATTGTCGAGACGATTTCGCAGAGAGATTGCTCTTGTCTCGAGATAGTTCCGAGAGAACAGGTCGAAAGGGGGACTTGTTGGAAAGATTGCTCGTCGAAGTGATGGCTACAGTTTCGTCCAGCTTGGTGCGCTTGGCTGGTTCGGGAGTTGCCGTAGCGGAGTTTCCAGCCGTGGCCTCCTTTATGGAAGATACCTTCCGCTTGGGCGCAGACTTTCGTCGCTGTTGTATATTCATCCGAATAGAAGTGAAGTAATAAATGGTGTGAGCATAATGGTGAATCAGAGTCCTTGGTGGGGATAAGCAAGCAAAAACTTACCGTTGATGACGAAGTAGGTTTCACAGGTGAGGACCTTTCAGTGCTTCTCGATCGTGTCATAATGTTCGGCTCATTAGCAGCAGCGTCGTCATTATTTCCCGTTTTGATGATGCCCTTTTTGGTACGAGGACTGGTTCTCGTGGGAGAGGCAGCAGCATTGCCAGCCATCATTAGGTGGCGGACCGCATTGGGTTTGTTTGGTTTGCGAACGGGCGTGGAATTGTTGAGCGGACTGACAATGACAGGTGGCGATTCCGCCACCACTCGCTGCTCAGCATTTTGTTGACTTGCTGTCGTCTTGTGTCTTTGGTTGCTCGTGATCATGGTGGCATTGGAGTTACTGCTGCTGCTCAGTGGGCTACCATCAAGTTGAGTCTGTTGTTGAGGGTTATTAGATGATAAGCCGTGAACTGGAGATGCGGCAGCAACTTTTCGCATATGGCGAGCTGCCGCCTGGGCAACAGATTGAAAGCTGGTGCTTTGCAAAGAAAGCCGCCGCCTGGATCGGACGGCCGACTGTGGAAGTGGATTCGAGTTATGAGGTGAACTCTGATGTCGGGAAAACTGAAAGGAATGTTGGCTATTGGAATTGTGATGTGGTGACATCCTTCCGCTGACGAGATTGCTGCTGGTACTCGTAGACGGCTTTGGAGTAGACGTAGTAAAAGCAGGTGAAGGTCTCTCTATCAGATTGTCTTGGTTCCCCCAAGACGGAGTTAGCGAAGATTGGACATTCTTATCAGAAGACTTATTATCATTGGTTTGGACAGTTGGCTGCGTAAACCTGGATTCCAAAAGATCAAGCTTACGTTCCAAACTTATTTGAGATCCAGCCGATGAAGGCTGATCTTGTTGTTCACCACCAATCATGCTGCAATAGTTTCACTTTCGATCGGAAGTGGTAGTCTTGAAAGAGGTGCGAATTAGTAAGGTGAAGTTTGCCTTATGTTTGTGAATGCTTAAAATATCCTCTCGGTGCTTGTAAGTCAAACACAACTATGGAGTCAGTGATATCAATAGATGAATAAGCAACAATATTTGCCGTGTAAAGCTGAACCCGTAATACAATCAATGCTTTGTACAGTCAGTTTCAATCCCAACAATGCTGAACGCTTTGGAAAATATGCAGCTTTCAGGAGAATGGCAAAACCATCAAACTCTTCATCCCGCGGAAAATTCTCAAGGACCAGGAGCGTCGAACGGACGATCGTCGCACCTTTTCTACGTGAGCGAGGCCGTGTGACACTCATACGCGATCTCTACCATGATGTTCAGGCTTCGTTTTGGCGCCCCACAAATCTGTGACAGTCCGCGTATAATCTTTGACGGGAATGATTGGGTAGATCATCACGATAAAAAGACTCCCGCCAGTTTTGAATCCATCCGTTAAATGTTGTCGACTAATTTAGCCATAAATTCAGGCGCGAAACCGTTGACATTTTTCTCTACATTTTCCTCTACGGTTTTCCTAAAAACTTGGAATTCCGCCGTCTTATGACTCCTCCTCGCTCCTCCTGCTGCTCCTACGTCTTTTGCTGCTGTGACGGAGGGATCCTCTACTCCCAGTGGTAATAGGAATGACGCAATGCTGTATTTCGGAATGGAGCGATGAAAGAAGTTGAAACTCCCATCATCGGATTGATCTCGCTTCGTAACACATGTTGAAGTGGATCTTTCGATTACTGAGATCGCTCCTTTCTGTGCATTTCGAAAGGTTGTCATGCCTTGAAGATATTCGTTGCAACAATGTTCCAAATGCCAATGAAGGTGGGCTGCTGCGAATCGTCATTGGAAGCATCCAACGACCTGTCTCAGACAACGACGAGCTACACCAATGCAGTACCTCATGCAGAATCACCCATCATCTAGCGAGTGTGAGTGAGGCGAGAGCTGCCATGCAACGCGTGTATCACACGATCAGTTCTGCAAGACCGAATTGCTGCTCCTGGATTGAAGTAAGGTCAGGATGATTGATGGCTCAATCTCCAACAAGAACAAAACAAAGATATTGCACTTTGAGAAAATTGCCGCATCAGTGGCGGAGCAGTAATTCCAGTGTCTTGTCATTCTTGAGTGCATCCTCAGTTGCTGTTTTAGATACTACAGTTCACTGCTTTGCCTGTACTAATGATACAGTCTATCCTGTATCAGTTCTTATTTTAAACTTTGTTTTACAGATTGATTGATTGATTCAGCCATTCATTTAGTCTTCAAGTACTCTGTCATTGTCACAGCAACGTTCTTGCAGAGTATCCGCGAGTACCAAGCATGAAATGGCATCGTTGCACGAACCATGGGCGAGGCGCTTAACTTTGCCGACAGGTTGGAACCGAACCAAAATTCTAGTTCGCAGGAGTCTGCAAGATAGTTGGCCTTCAGATATGTGTATCCCCCAGGCCAAGTCATCAGCAGTTCTTCATCTCTTGCTGTATCGACAGTCCACTGTGCAATTTTTGTCCCGGGTTCGATTGCAAGGCTGCTGTCGTATTCAGATTCTTTCGGAAACGACTGACCGCTTAGCGAAAGGAGAATCTTCTCAGGTAGAAACGAAGGGGAGCAATAAAGAGACTTTGCCAGTATCGAAGCCGACAACTTTGGACTCTTTGCCAACGGTAGCTTGTAGTAGAATGTGTCTACATAGGCATCCTTTTCGGTTACGCTCTGAAGCGTTGCAGACGGTCCCACAGACGAGACCCCCTTCATGTACCAAGATGCTGCTCCCAAAAGAGCTCCAGTCGAGACAATTCCAGTGGAGACAACTAGCTTGGTTGTGGACATGGCCATTTTTCTTAATACATCCGAGAAATTGCACTCTGGATTACTGTATGTTTTGTCCTCTGCTAACGGGTGATGTTCCAGGATTGGATCGTGTGGCGATGAAACTATATACCGGTACCGGTATATCTGCAAGCGAAATATAAATAATTTGTCTCGAAGATCTTCGACCCATCTGACTGATGAGACTTTCCTCATGGTCATCGCAAAGGTGATAATTTTGTTGTTGGGTCTTCATCGCAGTTGATGACATGAGCCCATCCCAATTTCTCAGAGAATGGATCGAATAAGCCAAGAATCTCACGTTCCTCCCTCTGCTTCCTGCAGCGATAGCGATGAGGAGCCCGCCGTTGTTTTCTGGTATACGGGAGGCAAATCAGAAGACATTCCACGTAGAGTGACCCATATCCAAATTGATCCTTCCGTTGAAGGAATTCCCTTTGGAGCATTCCAAGGCTTGCTTCATTTGATCGAGATTCGTCTTGATGACCGAAACAACAGTACCTTGAGACGAATAGGCCCACGTGTCTTCTTCTCGTGTTCGGCTCTGAAGCAGGTTGCCATTCCTCAGCTGGTGAGATCCATCTCCAACAGCACCTTTAGTCGTTGTGTAAGGCTACGACAGGTCACATTTCCAGAAGGCCTGGTGGAAATTGGCAGTGATGCCTTTAATGGATGTGTCTCTCTTGGCATAGTACAATTTCCGAGTACTCTCTTGAGGATTGGACCTTCCGCGTTCAAAGGATGCAATGGACTCCAAGAAGTGGATCTTCCCCTTGCTCTGAAAGAAATCTCATTTGGTGCCTTTCAAGATTGCATGTCTTTGCAAATGATTGCTATCCCACCTATGGTCCAGAATATTGTGAACAACGCCTTTGACAATTGCCAGTCGTTGGGAACTGTAAAACTATCAGAAGGAGTTCGAATGATTGATACCTATGCATTTCGTTTGTGCCGCAGTCTTCGCTCAGTTGCCATTCCATCAAGCATGTTCAAGATTGGCCGTGGAGCTTTTTCGCAATGTCGGAGCTTGGAAACGGTCGAGTTTGCCAAAGGGAACCTACAAATATTGAATGGCCTGGCCTTTGCTGATTGTCCAAAGCTGTGCCACGTGGCTTTGCCAGGCACGATCAACACGCTCTACAGCAATAGCTTTGAAGGATGCGAGACGTTGCAATTGCTTCCTCGGTCAGATCCAGACGAAAACCTCACGGATTTCTTGAGCAAGCGTTTTGAAAATTTACCAGTTCACAACCTCTGCTACTTGAATGTGCATCGACCAGTTTCTGAAACTCTTGAAGCCATTCAAGTTTTTGAGGAAGCGTCGTTTGCTCTCAACAAGCACTGTGATTGCCTAGGTATGACTCCGTTTCACATCCTTGCCGCCTCTTCGCGGCCGAATCTTTCACTCTTTGAAGCACTGTCATTGAAGTACCCCCAAGAGCATTGGAACCAATCCGACCTGGTAAAGGGTACGCCGATGACACATCTAATTCTCAATCCGGCGCCCGAGTCGAATGCTATTATTCAGAACATTGCTCGCACAGTCCTGCATAACCGACTCGCTGCTCTTGGATCGGAGCAGTGGAGACTGCAAGTAGAAGACTTGATCGATGCATCGTCCGTGGCTCCAGTGCCGGAACGACTGAAACTCTTTCAACACATGCTCCAACGCTTTCGATGGTGTGAACAAAAAGAGGCTTGCTCCCTTTTGGAGCAGGTAGTCTGGAAAGTGAAGATTCAACAGGCGACCTTAAAATCAGGAGAATGGAGGGACGATGAATGCAAGGAAATGCGAGAAAGTGCATTAATTGCGGAGCAGAGATTGTGATTCCTAATGTTATGTCATTTGTGGGAGAATTGACGATTGGAATTTTCGGTTTCTAATCTAAAAATGTTAATGGCTTATCACGTTTCCTCCGTTCCACGTTGAGGCTCTGGAGACTGTTTTGGTGCCAGCTTCTTGAGTAGATCATGGACTTCATTCATAGTGCCTTTCATTCCTTGCATGTCTGCCTCGACCTTCTTCATTCGTTCTTCCATGTTGGCACCGTTAAGCTGTTGGACCGACTTGTGAATTCCATCAAGCGTTGCAGAGTTGGCTTCCTTATCCTCCTTCTTCAAAACGACGGTCCTCTTGTTTCTTCCAAAGACGTCCTTCCGAATGCGATTTGGCCATGCTTGACCAAAGGAACAAAGTCCAAGAAGCAAGAGGAATAAATAAGACACCCAGAACCCGAATGTTTCCCACGCGGTTAGATCCGGCTTGTGGACGTCATGTGGTTTTGCCAAGTGATGCTTCACTTTGTGAACGGAAGGAGATACTTCCTTTTCTTCAGGGGTTGTCTTGGTGGTCGGGGGGAGAGGTTGGATTACCGTCCTTTTTCTGTGGGTTCTGTCACCGATGCAACATTGGCGGAACCATGTGACTGGTTTTTTGAGAACTTCCTTGGTGTAGGCTACTTCTTCGATAAAGCCGAGTCGATACTGCCAGAATCGAATCGTGGTCTCTCCCGTCGAGTCGTCCCATGCGTTACTGATAATGGCAATAACAACATTCAACAAAATTACAACACTGATTACTCCAAAAAGGATATCTGAAACAGTCTTCGGTCGCTCTGGGCCGCCCAGAAACTCACCAAAAAGAGTCAAGAAGGACTCCCCAAAGTTTGCGAAATTCGCCCTAATTTCTTCATCATCGTCGTTAAAGTTTTGGACAAATGAGGCAAATGCAAATGCCATCAAGATCATACCCGTCACCAAGAAAAACGGAATCAGCTCATATAAGATCTACAGAAACAATTGGCAAAGTGAGCATTTCATTTCATACTTCACAAGGAACTGTTGCAGAGCAGTGTTCTTGCTTACATTCAGGATCCCTCCCACAAACTGCGCATAGGCCAAAAATGTGGTTCTTAGAAACGAAACAGCAAAGGCAAACTGAAAGAGCCCAGTTGTGATTAGCAATGGAGCAATCTCACTTTGTTCTTCATATACAAAATAGGTTCCAGAAGTAATGACGCATGCAATCGCTGCCATTTCGAACCAATTCCAAGGATCCTTCAAGTATGTCCACAAAGAATCATTCCCAAACACCTCAATGGCTTCTCGAAAGATCAAAAAATAGCCTGATACAAAAAGCAGTATCCGACCAGAGTACTGGTAGTCTTCGTTGTTGCCCAAATACAAATTGGAAAGGTATGTCTTGGATGCCGTGATAAAGACAATGATCCATGTGATGTGTCCATACATGTCGCTCATAAGCAAAAATACCGACCATCGACTGTACGACTTTGCATTTAGCCAATCAATAGTAGTCTGCGAATCTAGAGTAGCCATGATTGCATCATTAACCTTGTAGTCTTCGATTCCAGCTCCTCGGCACTTATGGTACAACCACTCTATGGCGTTGACGTTCACAATTCCACGAAAGGCTGTCTTGGATTCTATTTTCTGTTGTAGAAGCTCCTTCAACTCTTCATTCATGGTATTGGGAGAAATTTTATCCAGGAGATCCTTCGGCTCTTCCATCTTTCTTCGCATGGACGACATTTCAGTGAGTTGGCTTCCTTTGTCGGGCAAGAGTGCATCCAATAGATTCAGATCGACATTTTCCAATCTCAAGGCTAAAAAGAGTGGAAGGTTCTTTTGCTTGTCTATGGCCGCAATCGTGTCAAGCTTTTTGTTTTCCAACAACGGATAGATGTAATCCAGATATTTTGACAGGTTCTCGCGCTTGATGTCCTCCATCGCGGCAATCGAGTCGAGTTCGCTATGTGCCAATAACAAATAGATAGAAGCTGGGTTAGTCGAGGGATTCTCGCAGGCATGATGAAGTGGCAATTTTCCAGCCTTGTCCACAATCAAGGATGGACGACTGGTCTCTTCATTAGGGTCTTCAAATTTCATGAGAAGATCAATCACTTCGAATGGAGCTCCGTACTTGTAGGCCATATGCAAGGGCAACATCCCTGTATCGCGATCTTCAAGCATGACCAATGGACTGTATTTTTCAGCTCCTGGCAATCCATCTTCCTTTCCAAAGGTTTGCTTTTCTGATTCAGACAATAGTATTTCGGCCAAGGCCGCTACTAATTTTGGATCGTCGTCCTTGGTTTGTTTTCGAAGTAAATGGTGCAACGCAATGGAACCATTTCCATCCCGCATATAAACAGATCTCTTTTCCCAATCTCCGTCCACCACTGCCTTGAGTTCGTCCACAGATGGCAGCGACTTGTCAAAAGAAAAATGAATAGGCAATTTGCGATTCTTGGGTTCTCTTGTCAAGACAGTTTCGCCTGTTTTATCGTATTTAATGAGCATTTTGATAATCTCTTTGTCCAAATGATCAGTCGCTATTGCGGTATGAAGGGGCGTGAAGCCATCGGATCCAGGAATACTTAGAATTTGTTTTCTGCCCGGTTCATATGGATCGGCTTCCAGTAGCAATTTGATTATTTTCTTCGAGGGAGAGAATTGAAGTGCCAAGTGCAATGGATAATTTCCCTTGGGATCGGGCCTCCGAACCGATTCAATAATCTTGGCATGATACTTATGATCATCAAAACCGTGCTCCTTTTTGGATTTCAAAAGAAATTCCACGATTGATTCCCGCTTGGAGAGTTGGTAACTAATCGTCAAGGATCGATGCAAGGGTGAATAGCCAGACTGTCCCAAAGTTTCGGCGAGGACATTGGTTTCATCCGCTAGTGTGAGCATTTCGACCAAGTGGTCACTTCCAAAGCGAACGGCTTGATTGGCAGGAAGATGGCCATAGGGATCCTTGACCAAATACGACGCACCTGTGATTACACACCAAGAAGTCAATGGAATGGCCCGCAAAGTGAATGCCGACAACGATCGAAATCTTACCAAAGGGATAATTGCCAAGGAGTTTTAGATGCCGCTTTTCCAAATCTAAAAGCGCCGATAACAATTCCGCCATCGCTTCTTGTCTTGATCAAATTGTAAGGACACCATATAATGAATCGGCAAACGATCAAACTGGTCTCGGGTATAGAGCAATTTGGTGTCGCCCTTCGCAACGATGCGTCTCAATAGCAAGTCGACAACGTCCTCCCACTTTTGACGACACACAATATGAAAGGGAGTTATCCCATTATTGTCCGGTAGGTTGCTGGCACCTCGCTCAATGAGCAATTTTGCCGTTGACTTGGGTTCCGACTCACTGGGTTTCGATTCACAGGCATAATGAAGGGGTGTTCTATGGACATGATCGGTTTGGTCCACATTGACCTTGGGAGAAACCAGCAAAACTTTGATAACCTTATCTTGCCGTTCTCGGGCCGCCACCAAGAGTGGTGTCAGCCCATTTTTTGTAGCCTTGTTGGGATTGGCATCGTGCTTTAATAGCAATTCGACAATATCATCATCTCCTTCACGGGCAGCCCAGAAGAGGGGCGTACTCTTGTCGTGCTTGTTGGTTTGATCAACATTGGCATTTCTCTCTTCAATGAGTGCAGCAGCAGTCAACGGTTTTGCGGTTTTAGCTGCAAGGGCCAACAAAGTCCAACCATATTGGTCCTGTTTGTGAACATCCAAGGATGAATGCAGCACTAGATCTGCCAGCTGTCTATCTTCATACTTCGGATCTTTGAATTTTGTAAAAATGTCCATGTCAGACTTATTCAAGCTAGACTGGCTCATGGCATTAGTATGGTGTCTTCTCTAAGGATTAAACTGAGTCCAATTGGTTGGAAGGAATGTTGTTGCTGCGCCGCGGTAATAGGACACAATATAAACTCTCTTCGCGGTCGACAAAGCGAGGTATAAAACAGGGAAAAATCAATATGACCGCGTTTATATTGAGTCCGGAAATACATGGTCGTATATAAAATATATATATATGGAATAAAAATAGACAGGTGACAGCGATGGCCAATACCCTGATACGACTATAGTATCTGTGTCATTATAATGTCCGAGAAAAATCGTGCGAAAGTCATTTAGTAAGTGGTGCAAAGAAAATGATACGAAAGTCATACCGTGTATATGCGCGTCAAGACTTACTGGCAATCTGACAACATCTGGCATTTGCTGATGTGGTCTCTACAGCACAAAAGGAATAGTTCTGAATCTTCTATTCGATTTTCCAAATCGAAAGGTGTCATTCAATCAAGCCACCAGCTCATTTCGACACAACATGGAGACCCACTTTGGACCTTTAGAAAAGGCCACGGGCAATTCCACTGAGATCACAACGTTCAGATGCAAATTATGTTTGGTGTCAAAACCCAAAGAATTCTTTTCCTTTTTACCTTGCTGCAGTACAAATCATGCCGAACTCGATGCCTGTGCTTCCTGTGTGGCGATCGCCTTGACCAAACCTTCAGATAACAAGTGCCCGAGATGCCGAGAATTTGTTCAACTTGTGTCCATTAGAAAAAGCGAAAAGCCTCCGAATCAAATTGTTGATGTCCAGATTGAAATGGGCGCCTTCGATCAGTGTTTGTCATGTGGGGAAACGAAACGATTGATACATCCTGACAAGGTCTGTCAGGACTGTCAACGAGCGAAAGACAAAATGTTGAGCTACCCAACAAAACAACAGATCAGATATGAGTGTCAAGTGTGTCATGAAGAGCAACCCATTCCCCACCCGATATACAAGACACAGCCGACGCCTAGACATTATGGGAGCCCTGCATGGGTGGGCTGTAATTCGAAACTTTGTAGAAAAAAGGATCGGAGATGGAGAATTGTCGAATCAGAATTGGATAAATTGAAAAAGGGATCCGCGCCGCATCCATGGGCACAATATTTTGTGCGGAAGGACTTGGGTTGTTTGCCGGATGATCCAGCCAAAATTACTACCGAAACAAAGTTGAATATCCCTAAAAACTCGATTGATGGAAGCCCTTCGGTGGCTGTGGGTGCGGGTCGATTTGCAGCAGTTGCGGCAGATGCGACTGGAAATTCCTTCGTGGTGCCTTCTCATCACTTCCCCATTCTGGAATCCTGGGAAGATGATAATGATGAAGGGTTGGCTGGGAAAACAACTCTGCGATTAAAGAATGAGCGGACTCAAGAAATACATCCTGTCTTGGCACAGTGGCTACCGAACGGATTTGTTCATTGGCAACTGATTTCATCAAAATCAAGCATTGTGGAAATGGGATCACGAGATTTGGTCATTCCACCTGGCGTCAAGGCGATCATTCCACCTGGTCTCCAGGTGGATAAACATGTTCAGTCTCCTTTGGAGGTCGACAGTGCCACCGCCAATCCTCCACGATCTCCTGAATCCATTGGTGCCAAGAAGTCCAGAAATGACGAAACTGAGGAAAAGGTGAATCCAAATGCTGCATTCCTAGATACGGATTGGCTCGTAGCAATTGATTATCTACCACTGCTGTCGAGTAGTCCAGATCCCAAAAGCCCAAATTCAGCGTATTTTCGAAGTCTTGCTGCTCCAGTTTGGTCACGCCAAGAATTTTCCATCCTTGGAGCTCGGACGATGAACGACAAGTCCACGATACCCACGCTTGGGTGGAATGCTCATCCCTATAATGTCCGCATTGGCAAGATTGGAATATTTGCTGGGGGGAACGAGGAGGTGCCAACAAAAGATCAAGAAGGTGACATCATACTGGAAATCGATGTGAAGTGTCTTGCGACCGCCTTGTGGACGGATGCTGTCGACCTTTTTGTTTCTTTGCTCGAGCCAATATCCTCTGATGAGAATGGCGACAACTATGAAGATCTTGGCTATCCTGTTCTATTACTGCAAGATGAGAAGCATCCATCGATCCGTCGCTTTCCCGATGGCAAGGCACTACATGGACCATTGAGGCTTCAGTTTTCTGGCGTCAGCTTTGAAAGTCTGAAAGGATTGGCATCACCAGATTACGCTGGTGGATTACATCTTGCCTTTCTGGCACCGTCTACTCCTGTTACTAGTGACGATGACGTAGTAGACGCTACTGAACGTCCAGTCCTGACAGTAAAACCAAGTTTTACAGGGGAAGAACTCCGAGCATCGACAGCAGCCCAACTTCGGAGCCAGATTCGCGCCATGACAATGGATGAAAAAAGAGAGCGATTATCCAGCCTGATGTTAGACGATTCTCACAGGGAGCAGTTTCAAAGTAGCACTGACGGGAAAGATGTTGATGCGGTGCTGGAATCGATGTTGGAGAATGAAGACTTTGTCCGAAGGTACATGCGGTCGCCCAGAAACGACGGTTTTGGATGGGTTGATGCCAATGTTGAGGAGGACAAAAGTCCATCATTGATACTTGGTCATGCAGAAAACAGCGTGACAGACCCGATATCAAAGTCGGGTGCCGGGGGGTTCGTAAGTACATTTCGAACAGCCTTCCGAATGTTGAGTTCAAAGAATGACTCGGCGCAAACCACGAATTCTACTGCAAATGCCGTCGGCACGGACAATTGCGAGGACAAACTGCCAGGAAAGCCAGACAGTGCCGTCTCGCCAAAGAGTCGCAGTCCAATGAAGGCCCGAGTAGAGATGGATGGTACCCGAAAAGAAATCGTATAGAAGATTTGTGGCGTGAAGGATTACGATGGATCTTCTTGCTGTATTCTTCTCACTGAATCACAAGCAATCATAATGAATGGTCGCGCAGACTTGCCTCAAATAAAAGATCTCTTGCCATTCACAGCACTCCCCTGGTGCTCCCAATCAGCTCCTGATTTTTGTTGTTGATGACTGGTTGGGTGATCGCCAACACCAAGCGCCTGGTCAAAATGTATTGAAGGAGCATATTCAACTTTTTTAAAATCGTGATTCATTATTATTTTAAAATTGTCAATTATTGTTATACTTTATCCCATCTGCATCCCACGAATCACTTGCAACAACATCTGAAGTGGTCTTCGTAGGTGCGGTTCCCCTCTTGAGGTTCGTTGATTAATACTAGCCACCAACTGTTGCAAGACAGATGGCGCATGACGTTGAATGCTAGGATCGCTTGGATCCAGCGTCAAGGCACATTCTTGCAACCAGGTCAGTTCGGTTTGGACGTCCATTTCGTTGTTGTTGGGAGAGTTCAAGGCGGCGCCCAAGTTTTGCATCAAAATGAGCATTACAGTCTGCGACAAGACAGGTGGATTTCCTGCCATAACAATACCCATGTCGGCACGGTTGCAGCAAAAGACAGCCATTTCGGGAGTTTTAGTACTCAGTGCTCTCGTAAAGGCAGCCTCGTATTGTTGTTGCCGTAGTGACATTACAATTTCGTTGCGTGCCATTTCGTTTGGGTCCATTTGCGGTGGTGGAGGCATCGGAGGCTGTGGCATGGGTGGTGCTGCTGGTCCAGCATTTCTGGTCGAAGCTGTCTTGAGTGTAGCGATTTCCTGGGCCATACCATCCATCTTGGCATTCATGGCTGCCAATTGGTTTACCATCATTTCCATTGTCTTGGCATTATCCGTTGATGGAGGTGGGGGCGGTGGCGGAGTCGCAGTCTTGATGACTTGTTCCAAGACTTGCGCTGTAATGGATTCGACAGCGGGAATAAAAACACTACGAATGGTATCAGCCATGGCAGATTTTAGAGGAGCCTCCACATTCAAGGCCGCCTCGAGGTCTTTCTTATTGACCGAAACACCCTTCTTCCCTAAATTGTCCATGGACGCTTGCAAGGGACGGCCAAAAGAAGCCATGGATTCTTGGACCACCCTTTGGACAGTTGGTTCCAATTGGGCGGCCAATACATCTTCCACAACCTTGGTAATCTCATCCAAATTGACTCCGCTAGTGGCTGGCAAAGGTGCAGAGGTAGAAACCCCCAAAGCCTTTTCCAACTCGGAGCTCGCAGGAATGGGTTCGCTTCCGATAATGGCGGGATCGATTCCAATAATGCCTGGATCGATTCCAATAATGGCTGGGTCTGAAGGTGGCATGACAACCGGAGGCATTGCAGTTGGAGGTGGAGGAGTGACATCCCGCTTTAGAATGGAAATCTTGCCATCAAAAGGTGGTGCGCTTGTGTCCTTTTTCCTGTTCCTCCCCTTTGGCGATTTGCTGCGGGGCTTTTTGGGTTTGCCCTTGGACGGTGTTGGAGCTGGAGCTGCTTGGGTTGCGGAAGCGGGCGATTGCTTGGTCAACAATTCCAATGGATTCAATAGTTCGGCAGGTGGCGCTGATGGTTCTGGTTGAGTTTGAGTTCTAGCAGGCATACCAGGAGGTGCCAGACCAGGTGGCAATCCAGAGGGCGGTGCTTTGGGTGCTACTGGTGTTGGCTCTGGTGCAGGTGCAGGAGAAGGTGCTACACCAGCAATGGCCCCCAACCAATTGGCAAATGGATTCGTAGAAACCGCTGCAGGAGTGGGCAAAGCACTGGGTTCAGGTGCCTCTGGTTCATCGTCATCGTCCTCATCTTCGACATCGTATTCCTCGTCATACTCGGGTTCCACCGATCCAGCGGCTGAGGCTAGCTTCGCACCACCCAACGGCTTGACCAAGATTCCGGGTGTCGAATCCTTGTATCCTGCTGCGGGTGGCAAACACATGTAGCTTGTCAAAGTCAAGCATTGGACCACCTTGGCTTGATAACTGAACAACTTCATGTCAAAAATGAGCCCTGCCTGTTCTTGAATCTCTTCCTCTGAAATGTCTTGAGTGGGACTGCAGACCACAGACCAACTATAGATGGGATGTTTCAAGGCAAAGGGAACAATGTAGTCGGCCCCGACACACAAGGCCTTTTTGTTGGCGTTCCATTGGGCTTGAACGTGGACTGCCAATAGTTTGCCGTTGTAACGGTCCGCCAAGAGCAAAAAGCAAGAAGGCGGACTGGCATCTTGTGGTGCCGGACCAAAGCACAAGTCCATGACATAGGACGGCGAAGGATTTTGCAAGCGAATGACTTGCAACTTGGTGGGGAGTGCGCTGGAAGTAAAGGAGCTCCACAAGGTAATCACGCTATTATTTTCGCTGGCTGTCACAAAGCAAGTAGTGAGAGTATCCGCCTGGTCTTGTTTCGAAACGGAATTCTCATGTGGCAAAAAGCAGCACTTGGATGGCGAAGTTTCCTCTTCCAAAATGGCCACTTTGGTGGGAATGGTAAAGTGACCTCCATTTTCGCGGCGATCATGGTGCATGCCCGCCTTCAAGTCCCAGAGAATAATGGCCCCCCCCTCGTGAACAGTCAAAATATGACGAGGATCCCGGCCACTCCAAGCCAAATCGGCAATGTTGGAATCTGGATACAAGAGTTGCACAGCTCCATCCATGACACAATAGGGCGAATGAAATCTGCACACAGCATGAGATTCTGTTTCATCCATTGTAGTTTGAATACGAGTAGTCTCGACCAGAGTGGCTGCTTGGAGTCCCTTGCCAGTCGTTTGAAACATACAAAAAAGATTGGGGTTAAAGGGATGCCACAAAAGCCGACTGATGGTGAAGTCATCGGTTGAGATTTCCAAGAGTTTTTCGCTCATGATTTCAGAGGATTGTTCAAAGACCCTCCAGACAATTAACTTGGAAGTGGTCCCATCACTTCCTACAGTCCCCAAGACATCTCCATCCAAAAAGAAGCGAATGTCAGTGACTTGGCTGTTGTGATGTCCTCTCAATAGTGCTTTCATCGCCGAATGACGGTGCAAGACTCGAATCAGTCCATTCTTGACAGCATAGACTACAAAGTGTTGATTGACATCTAACAAGGAACCGTTGATGCATTCGTCATTTCGTTTGGCTTCGTAAACGGCAATTTGTTGGGTTTGCGGTTGCTGAGCTTCTTCAAAGGTAGACGTGTCTACAGAGATTTCTACAGGGACTCCTCCAGCCAAGGAAGTAGGAATGGCGGTAGTCCCAAAGGGTTCGTCTTTGGAGGCTCCCATTCTAGTAATATTTGAGGTGAGGATTTGCGTTCGCTCTATCCTCGTGATGTAATCACATCTCACATCCAACCGAAAGGCCAAAGGCCGATGCTCGTCTCAGCTGATCGACTACTGTGTGTCGTCGGGTTCGATTTGGCACGTTCTCATTGGCCACATATCTGGTGTATGTCTGTCAACCGATGGCGTTGTTTGAGCTGATGGATTGCGATAGTATTCAGTATTGACAACAAAAAACAAAAAAAACACACGATGTCCAAACAAAACAAAAATCAAACATAGAGATAACTTTCTGCCCTAGTTGTATGCCCCGTCGAACACCGCTGGTGACTATTTCTTTTCCGGTTTCCAAGGAGCAGCGATCTTCCGGTTTCGCAGCTGTAGTAGATCGATTTCCTTGAACCAATCGTGACCTAGAATATCGTCACCCTTTCCTGCCAGCATACCAAGTCTCTGGTTGCGGTCCTTCTCCAGCAAACCATCGATGAGCTTGTGGGCAGATGGATCGATACCCTTGGTTTGTAACGCATAGTGCTTGTTTTGACAAATGGCTTCAAAGACTTCCATCTGATGCATGCCTTCGTAAAAGAATGGATGTTCCCCAGAAAGCATTTCGTATATCAGCACTCCAAGTGCCCAGTGGTCAACTCCGGCATCGTGCCCCTGATTCTGCACAATCTCCGGTGCTACGTAGTTTGGAGTTCCACAGAACGTAAATGTAAGACCGCCTTCTATTCTTTTGGCAAAACCAAAATCAACAACGACTGGATAGCCATCCCCATCTATCATGACATTCTCTGGTTTCAAATCACGGAACAAATACTTATTCATGTGAAGCCATGCCAAGGTATCCGCAACAACCAAACCGTAAAATTTCGAGTTGAACTCAGGAAGCCCAGACTTCCAGTTTCCGTCATCATCTTCCCGATAGATTAGTTCCCATAACTCTCCACCAGGAACCAATCCAAGGAGCATGTACACCTTATCAGGCGTATCATACGTTGTCACCAAGTTAACAACATTGGGATGGCATAGCTCTTGGGTCACAGCGACCTCTCTTTCAATAGACTCGATAACATCTTCATCTTCCTTCTTCTGCATTTTTAGGGCATATTTGTATTCGGCAGCCTTGACAAGCCAGACTTCCCCGAATTCACCATCACCCAGCACAGAAAGCATCTCAAGATTATCCAACACAGGGGCCCTTTTCTTTACAATCTCTCGTTGTCGCAATCGTTCCTTCACGATCTTTAGTCCCACAGGGGTATCAGCAGCGCTCTTAATCTTTGGTGTTCGCATGCTGGCGGCTCTAGCGGGTGTCTTTGTTTTCGTCTCCGCAGGCGCTGCTGATCCATCGGGTTGTAGCACCAAATCAACTCCAGAGCCATCGAATTTACTTCTGAGGTCACCGTCTCCATCCAAGACATCTTGAACATCCTGCAGTGGAAGTACTCCACAAATACAAGGGACGTCACCAGTGACCTGTACAGACCATTGTGCTGGAACCAAAACCTTCTCCGTGGCTTGATTTGGTTTCGATTTATCCTTCGGAACAAGAAGTTGTTCCACACCAAAGTAACCCCCAGGTCCGACTTTCTGCTTGAAATCTCCTTTGCTTGTCGAGAGTACAACGAAACCTTCACGGACGAGGTACAAACAAGGTTCTGTATCAGCTCCTTCTTCTAAGATTTGCATTCCCTTGTCGAATGTTTCATCTTCGATATTCTCTGCAATATTATGCATCATGGCTGGGTCCAAATTGACACTCTTGATACATTGGAAGCCCTCCTACGAAACGAGACACAAGAACGATGCCAAATGAGTATACAATCCATACAAATGCTTCGAAACGAGCAACGACATCGATCAATACGTACCAATTTCTTCTTGTCTTGGGCAACATCAAATTGGCGCGAGAAAAAGTTCTCTCCCAAGACCCTGTTCACTTCCTCCTTGTCGATCTGGAAGAGAGAACCATCTGAAAGACCTTTCAAGTCTTTCACATTTGGCTCCTTCCCCTTTGTGCCCATCAAAGCGCGTTTCCCAATGTAACTACCAGCGGCCAAATGGAAGACGTCGTTCTTGTCGGAAGTTAGTTGAATGGTTCCTTCCTTGATGATAAAGAGCGAGTCCTCCGGCTTCGCGCCATCGGCTACAATCTTCTCATTTTTCTTGAAGGTCTTGCCGTACATGATTGAAACAAGCCGAGTAGTTGTTTGCTTGTTCTTTTCCACTTCCCCGTCAAACAATAGATTTCTGAGGAATGGAACCTTTCTGAGATAAGCTCGCTTCACGTCTTCTTCGCGCTTGGTCTGCACTTGAAGCACCTCACGGAACACAGCTTGGTTCAATCGCATCAATGAAGACGATTCGGTTGCGACAAGATTGAACTTTTGACGAGGTTGCGATGGATCGCTGGCATACAACAAGTTCAGTTCTCCAAAGTGTTCTCCCTTCTTTGCAGATCCAACGATTTTGCCGTTCATGCTAATGTCAACGCTACCTTCTTGGACAACATAAAAGAAGTTGTCATTGGCCCCTTCATTGAGTTCCATGCCTTTCGTTACTTCGACCTTCTCGAAGGCATGAACAAGCGCCTTCCGAGTTTCGCCAACATCTCGATGTGGATGAAACAGGACAGACTCGTCCATTGCACCAGAGATCAAAGCCTCTTCCTGTTGCGTCGGCTCGGGTAGGTTCATAGGAGCTTTCCAGGTCGTGTGATCGATATCCATCTTTTGGGCTCTGACGTTGGACCAAATATCACCACCTCCATCTTCCCCAGATATAATTCTCTTTTTATTGGTGGAGCGGGTCTGTTTGTATACTTCTGCCTTTTTGTGAGTCCACTTCTTGTCTTCGCGAATCTTATTCTTCTGCTCTCGCAATCGCTTCCTCTTTTCTTGAATCTCCTCGATGAGCTCTGCGAATTTCTCTTCGTTTTCTTGCATTTGAATATTAAATTGATCCGAGACCATTCCAACCTTTCCTTTCTCGACGTTTTCGACACCCTTCTTGTTGTGGATCTTCAATTCCAACAATTTCTTGCGTTGCTGTTCTCTCTCAGTGTCTCTTGTGGTGTACATGGACATGCGCTGATTGAAGGCACGGTTGTCAAATCGTTTTCGACCGACCACGGGACTGATGGAGACATCCTTTCTGGGAGTTTTCGGCGCCTCGAACATACTCATGCGTTCCTTGACACTCCGGATCTTTTTTTTGGAACTGAACTCCTCGTCATCACTGCCGATGTCAATTGCGTCTTCTTCCATTTCTTCAATATCTTCATCAAACCCACCATCAAGAATTGCAACTTCTTTGAGAGCAGAAATATATTTCAGGGGAAATTCATCATCCGGATCGTAGTAATATTTTTCTGCTTCTTCATAGATTTCCGTGTGAACAAGAAGGCCTTTGACAGATGGAAAGACCACCCACATGGCCTGAACTTCATCACGCCACTTCTTCTTGTATGCCATCTTGTTAGCAGCTTTGATGACAGCCATGACACCTTCTTCTCTCATTTCTTTATCAAGTTCTTGGGATTCGGCTTGCTTGACATATTCCCGAACCTCCTTTTCGATCCGTGTCTTTCTCCCAGCACTTCCTCCTGCTCGGCCCCTTTCCTTTTTTGGCTTTGGTGGCTGAAAAACTTCGTCATCGCTATCAATATTCTGTCCTCTGCTTTCCATTTCGTCCACGTCTTCATCGTATCCACCAGCTATCATTCCAACTTCTCGAAGTGCACTGATATACTTGAGTGGATATTCATCCTCGGGGTCGTAGTAGTGCTTTTCAGCAATCTCATAAATCTCCTGTCCCACTAAAAGAGCAGCAAGGGATGGAAAGGGAACATGCTTCTTCTTGTCATCATCGTAAGCCTTCATCTTGTAGGCAAGCTTTTCCGCCGCAATGTGAAGGGCCTTAACACCTTCGTCTCGCATTTCCTTGTCAAGCTCTTGTTCTTCAGCCTGCTTGACGAATTCCTTGACTTCTCTTTCAATCTTTTTCTTTCGATACGAGACCGTATCCATTTCCATTTCCATCAGAGGAGGTCCTGGCAAGTCCGCAAGGTCAAACCCACCAACTTCGGATTCTTCTGATAAGAGCGCGACTCCCTTGAGAGCCGCAATATATTTCAAGGGAAATTCATCTTCTTCTTCAAAATACAAGGCTTCGGCTTCGGAGTAGACTTCGACTCCCATTAGGCATTCTTCCAGGGACGAGTAGTTGTGACCTACGGCCTTGACAGCTGCAGTCAAAGCAAAGACTGCTTCCGGTCTCATTTCCTTGTCTAATTCATCCTCTTCAGCCCGTTTGATGAACCGTTCGAGCTTTTCAATCATGCTCATTTTGGATATGTGTATGCAGGTTTCTGTATGGTCCAGGCTGCTGGACTGTTTGCAAACCCACAAGCAAAATGTCAACAATCAGATCTTTTTTCACCTGAAGCTTCTTAATTTCAGATTTCCGAATGAATCAATCAGTAGAAAATTAAAGATGGACGAAGCCTCAAGCTTGTTCTCCGAACGAAAACACTAAAGCTGTTGCCTGGGGATGATATTACCAGTCCCACCAAGCGATAAACTGAAGGATACTGTATAAGATATGGTGGGGGATATGCAATATGCCTTCAGCGTTTCAGTGACTTTGCGCTTGTAGGCATAGCTTCACGTTTTCGACGGGAGTGTGTCCCTGCTCGTAACAAAGTACCAATCTTGTCGTAAGGTGCGACACTATATTTTTCGCTCCGTTTCGATCCGGATGACTCCTGGTGGCAAAGGACAGACTATGTTGAATGTATGTGACCTACCGGTATACTCTTGATGTGACATGCGTAACGCCTGTCTGTCCCTACCACAGGGTTCGAGAAACATCATCGGGAAAAATAACGAACGAGTAGATCCAAGATCACGGTTGAGTTTTGTCCTGTGCTGAATCATCGAAACATCATCAATCGCGTAACCCCCATCGTTCTTTCAAGCACTACAAAGAGAAACAAAGACACTGAAGTCCAGAATCATGTTGTAAACCAGATTGGTAGAGTGAAAGAGAGAGAAGAATAACCAATTATAACAATCTGAGAAAAATATCCACAACCACAGGAGGGAGAAAGCCAGACAACAAAGACACGCCATAATTCATACATTCTCATTCCTATATGAGCCGACAATCCCCAATACCTGCAGGGAGAGCTGCTATCGCCGATGATGATGACCCAGTCATTCCACGTCGGCTCGATCTATCGCTGAATCCGGAAGATGGTTCCTTACTCACAGCTCCCCTGCTGAGCGTCCTCATGGCAGTCACGGACAGTCTCTACTCGGACTTGTACCACATGGCGCAAGGCGAAGTCGATGTAACTTCTTCATTACCAGTAACCGGAGCAGACGATCCAGAAGAGTCGGAAGATCAACCTCAACAACCTCAAGCAAGCAGCCTAAAAAAGGAAAGAATGTCCAATCTCAGTTTTGCGCAACGACGTCACGAATTGTCGTGGAGATTAATGTCCCATGGCAAATCATTGACGCATGTGGCTGCGTTAACGGCTGCTGCGGCATCGGCTGACTTGGCCACGGCTACCCAAGTATCCACCAAAGCCTTGCAACACGCTCGGACTGCCTGGGTCCAAGCCGATGAAGCTCAGGATGCCCTCTTTTTCTTTCATGCCCAACTGTTTCCAGCACGACAGGCCCCTCATGATGTCTATGGAGCTTTGGATTTGTTACTGAGAGGAAGTTGGCCGGACATGCCCCAAGATTTACAATTGCTGGTGGATCGATACGAAAACTCGCAAGAAAAGTCCTGGCCTTCGATGGAAACTGCAGATCGGTGGCATATGGCGGTCCGCGAGAAATTGTTGTTGGGCGAAATGGGATGGATGAAACAAAAGGGCATTCAAGTGCCCTGGAAGATTTCGCTAAGAGGAGGAGTGGTCCGCTTGACGCACGGAACCCCCAAAGCAATTGTGGTGGACGGAGAACGCAAAAAGACCTATCCCATGGAGGCAGTATTGACGGTATTGGACAGCACTTCGACACCAGCTAATTGGACCTTGGTCAGCGTTGAAGTACATGCACAAGCCAAGACTGGACAATCCAATCATCAACTGGATACTTCGAATCGGCAACGGTTTGATATTCATCGATTGTGTGCCTTGAGCATGGCACGGGAAGAAGCCAGAAATCGCAAAGAAGGCGGCGAGGGCAAAGAACAGCAACCACAGCAACAGCCTCCCGCTCGACCACTACATGCACTATTTCAAGTGGCTCATACTTTTTGTCTAAGTTGGCAGTTGGAAATTCTATCCGCACAGGCTCAAGCCTTGCGCAAGGGTGTTTGGGGTTCGTCTTCCTCTTCCATTGTGGTGACACCAGCACAATTTTTCCAGAATCGATCTCTTCTTGGTATCGTTTCCATCAGCTTTTGGTCCATTGACGATCGTTATGGACCTCCTTGTATGGGGGATCTTCATGTCGAAGACGAAGAGGAAGATTCCAGCACAAACAAGGAATCATCTGGTACCAAGCAATCTTCGTCAGACTCGGTCTCCACCGTATCTCGATCCATAAATGAGCCTTCGGTGACCAATCAATTGACCTTATCAGTCCGTGCCGAAGCGAATGTGGGAATCCGTGTAGCCCTAAGTGGAGCAGATACGATTATGGAATTTGCCAGTGCCCAGCCGCATACTCGAGAGGCCATTCAGCAATTGCTGAATGCGACTTCCAATCCATTTTGCTTGTCGGCCAGTGAAGCTCTTTTGGCCGCCACCCATCTTTGTGCCGAACGAAAATGTCAGGCCATGGTTAATGTGCTGCCAGATTTTTTACCCCATTGGATCCATTTGAGTCTAGACCGTGCTAGCATTGTGGTGGCTGCCAGTATTGAATACGATGGAATTGTACAGTCAGAGAAGCGAGGACCAGTTGTTCTGTTCCGACTGACTTGCGACGCCCGAACAGGTTCCTTCATTCCAACCTTTTCCAGGAGCACTCAGCTGCTGCAGTTCATGGCGTGCAATGATCCTAAGGCGGCAAGCGAGTCGGCAACCCTACGGATAGCTACGCTTGCCAATCATCGACGTGCTTCAAGAGCTGTGGGGGCATCCATGGCAACTGGGCGTTCGGTTCGTGATGTCTTTCAGGGGCTGGTCCGATCCATCAATGTTTTGGGACAACGCACGGGTGTGGGAGGCTCATGGAAAGACAAGGATGACATGTCGTCTTCCTTGCGTCTTCGTGCAGTTCAGACAGCATGTAAGGATGTCAAGGTTTCACTGCAGAACTGCTGTGGAATGGCTGCAATGTACGGTTTGGCGGCCTTATCATTTGGGGTGGCCACGGGTGTCTCGGCCATACCAGATATGTGAGTTTGTCTTGTCTTTTAGTTTTTGTTTTCCTTCAGAAGCAGTTGCAAAGAATTCATACTCATAATTTATTCACTTTAGGGCGGGAGGATGCCTTGAGCCCAATCGTGGCAACGGAAAGAAGTTTCTGCTGGCTCCTCCACTGAGCCTTCTGATTGATCAACATATGATTGAAACAACGCAGAGGACATCAGATGGAGATAAAACGCAGAAGATCTACACTGAGCAAGAGCTTTTTGGTACCTGTTGCGCTGTCGACGATTCTGCTCTTACAGTGTACGGGTTGAAGATCAATACGAGACTCGATACTCCAAGTTCAGGTAGGTTACCTTATTCGAATGAGTCGACTGTCGAACAAAATTAGTCCATCTTTGCCTAACACTTTGATTCTTCCAACAGTACCAAATCGCACATCTTGGGAACTGAAAAGGTTTCATCAGTCTGGTCCACAGCTGATACCAATGGAAGTGGAAGATGTCCGGCCGATGAAGCGAGCACGAATGACGGAATCTAGCAACGGTGGACTCGTTGCTCACGACATGACAAAAGAGGTTGAATATTTTGCATCGGTACTCTCTGACACACTCGAGATGGAGAGATAGGAGATGCCAATACACTACTGATAGTGAACCGTATAGATACAAAGTCAAAATAGCGCTATTGCGACCAGCTTATGGTCGAATTATTAAATTGTTAAGTTGGTCTAGACTCTTTCGGATCGCTATCAGTCTTGGTGAGATCTGAGAATCCGGAGAGTTCACTGTGGTCAAGCGTCCCTGAACTCCCTTGCATTACAACTTTGAATCTCTCTTCTTCCTCCATTTGCTTTGAGAGGGCGCCAAGATTGCCGACAATTTCGATGAATTCAGGTCTATCCTGTGGCTTTTCTTCCCAACATTGTACCATGACGTCTTTCCAGGGGCAATTTTGCGGAACAGGGGGCCGGAGACTTTCGTTTGCGACTTTCGCAATGATCTGCGTGGTTTCAAGCCCCTGGTAGACTTCTTCTCTGGTTGCCAATTCCCACAACACAATTCCATAGCCGTAGACATCACTGTACTTCGATGAACGAGCATGCTTGATAACTTCTGGTGCCAACCAGCAGGCCGTTCCAACTCCGTGAGTCATTGTGCGTGAACCAGATAGTGTTGCTCTTGCCGAGCCCCAATCTCCAATCTTGGCAATCAAAGTGGAATGGGTGTTCATCTTTTCTGGCTGGAACGCCTTTCTGTAGGGACCATTTAAATCCTTATCGCCAACAGAAGAGCCGGCATCTTCGGTATCTGTGTATGTTTCGTGAACAAAAATATTGTGGCTCTTCAAATCTCTGTGAATGATGGGGGATTCCTGGTTGTGGAGATAGGTCATGCCTTCGGCGACTTGCAATGCCAAAGACACGCGAAGCTCCGAAGGCAAAGGCTTTTCACTATCGTCAAGGACCTGTCGTAGACTACCCAAAGAGCAGAGCTCGCTAACGATCCAAATGGCTTGCGCCGTGAGTGAGCATCCAAATAGTTGCAATACATTCGGGTGACGTAAAATTGCCATCATTCCCGCCTCTCCAATGATTTCTTCGACAATTTCTTGTTGCATGGCTGACTTTCCCGCTACAGCAGCTTGTGCAAAGACAAACTCCTTGACTGCAACACTGGCACTTCGCCATCGGGCACTCCATACGCGGCCAAAGGTACCTTCTCCGATAATCTTTTGAAGAAATATTTGCTGCGGATCAATGATCGTCAAGAGATGGGGCTGTTGCACATATCTTGTCTGCATAGCACGCTTGTACGATTCTGCCATATCTGCGTTGACAGCACCGTAGGTCAAGGTGTCCAGTGAGATTCCCTTCAGCTGAGAATTGCTTCCGAGCATCGGGAAGACCCGATTTCTGTTGCACATGTAGGCCCCAAACATACCTAGCATGCATCCAGCGATAACCCCGTAGATGATGATAGTAATATTAAAGTCATCAGGGAGGGAAGAATCGCCGTCATCGCCTGACTCTGGAATCATTTGAGAAATAGCCATGATCGACCCTCGAACATGGCCTTCACCGAGAAGCTCGGAAACCGCTCGCAACTGGGGCTCGTAGCTAGATGAAGTTGAAGATGATGATAGTCGTCGGTATTTGCTATCATCGTCACCCCCAAGTTCGTAGGACCATTTGGCAACAAGATTGTCCCCGGCAATAAAGACCGTTCCTGCGTAGGAACCAAACCCATTGGACAACGCATGAAGTGGTTCATCGTGCCCCTTGAATCCAGGCAACCAAGACCAGTCGAATTCATGATACTGTTGTTCTTCATTTCTTTTGTCGTCGTCATAGTAATCGTCGTCAAGATCTTTCACTTTTTGCGTTCGCAACGTTGCCTTTAGTAAGGCGATGGTGTAAGGTCGGTCACTATCTGGCCAAGTTGTATTGCTAGCAGTCTTTCCCGCAACCATGAGACCGTAAGGCGTCAACAGCATATTCCCACCTCCTGTAGGCAAGACAGTGTGCGCCGGATCGGCCAAACAAGTCCATCGGTTGGTATGGATTTCGTACGCAGCCAAACCAGAGCATAAGGTATCTGTGGCTGTTAGCCTTTCAAACGAGCCCATGACATACAAGACGCCACTTTGTTCATCAAGCTGCAAGGCGGTTCCCACGCCATCCTGTGTCTTATTCTGCATCGACAAACCACCACCCGGATGTGCTACCAAATGTCCCGAATCCAAATCATAAATAGCCAAACCTGCCGGAATGTTTTGCCCATCAATCGCATTGAATTTTCCCGTGACATGGAGCTGTCGTCGTTTTGAATCCCATGCCAGTGCCAATACAGTGACAGTACACCACGAACAGGTAATCTGTCCGATATTCAAAGGCAACCATACCTGATCCACTGCATTGTAGTGGGCAATGTTATAAATTTTGACAAATTCATGTCGTTCTCCATTCCAAACCTGCGTCTGAAAGGAGCCCGCAACATAGACATCCTGTGCTCCAGCCAATGCCGCAGTGGTGATTTTCATACCCTTGGACAATGCCGAATTGCACAGGCCCTCCCCCACTTTGGACAACATGAGACCGTCCCATCTGCCAACCGAACAATATGTGACTTGACTATTGCGATATGTCGTATCAAATGCGCCCACTACAATGAGCTCGCCACCTCCCTCAAACGACTGTCTATAGCTGGTGCTGTTGTTGGGAAATTTTGTGTGAGTTGTTTGAGAAATCGACAAATCAAGATTGATTCACGATGATAAATCTTACGGTTTGGAGGAATCCACAGTGATTTTTTGGGTTTGATTGGCCAGCAAAGAGTAAACTTCACCTCCAGAGTAGCTATTGTAAAGCGACAGTTGAATCCTCTCTCGTAGACTCCATTCCTTGTCCTTCAGATTGTACTGAGCAATGTTACATACAGAGTCTTCGACTGACATTTTGCCAGCAATCACTAACTGTGGGCCTCTATGACCTTCCGATCCAAGTTTGCGGTGTCTTCGGTGTGTGCTATCTTCACTGGATTCTTCTTCTTCGTGCAGACTGTCTTCGTCATCATTTGATGTAAAAGTCGTTGATGATTCGGACCTGGAATGGAAAGTATTCATAAACTGAGAAATTCCCGAAGGAAATTGTGATTGCCCTCGAATATTCTGATTTCTTTCCCCATCTAGCGTATTGACATTGGAAATTATAGCGTGGAAATTGGATAATGGGGAGGGATACCAGTGGGCCAAAATCAATAGCAATAAGGCCGCTACAAGGGTACCTAAAACACCTCCCCTTATCAATTGTTTCAATTCTCGATCATGCTTTTGAGCTTCATCGGCATCCTTGAAGGATCTTTGTGGTTGTGTCGTTTTGTTGTGTGGAAAGAAATGTTCGGGGAAATAGGAGAAGGAGGATGGTGATTGCGTTCTGGCCATTTGTGGGACTGAAGCCTCCATTGGTATTCTATATGGTATTGTGTTATCTTGTAGCGTTTGTTGTTCTTGTGATAGTATTTTCATGGTCCTTCTAGAATCTGTTTCAGACGATTCTTCAGAGGCACTGTTACTGACATCCTCGCAATGCTGATGCAATGCAGCTAGTAGCGGTTCGGATGTTGCCTCCGCCGCCATGTCGCCTAAAGTTTATGTGTGTTTTTCAGGTGACACTTATAGAACGTTTCAGACCAAGGCTGAGATGAATCTGACTGTGTCTTTGGAAGACGAGCCCAACGTCGCCACAAGAGGAGAGAAAAGAGTGGTGATTCTTTATTGATTCACTTGGTATTTACACAACAGCCTATCTCTAAATCTTTGTTTTTGCATGGACTCTTCGTCTTGATGTGTTGCCTGCCAGCCATCCTTGACACCTTTCTGTACCATTTGGACACGCTTAGATAAGAACGTATGTAGAAATCCTACTGGAAAATGGAAGCATCATATTTGTTGGCATCACCAAAATTTCAAACTGCTTCAGATCTTGTTTTTGGTTTGCCCAAAGAACTGCAATAGATGGCGTCAGTCTTTCTTGTATCATCCACCCCGAGAGTTGACAAGTTCAAAGAGGCATGCTTTGTTGTCTCCAATTCTATTGCATCTACCATTGATGTCAAGATTTCCTTTACATTCATGTTAATTGTAGATTATTCTTTAGAGGAGACAGCTTCCGGAAGATTCGTCATTGGTGCACTTTCGTCAGATATTTTAATCTGTAGTTTTCATTTCTTGTATGCAATTGTTCTACAGTATGTTTCTATATCATCTATCTTCATCTTGCGCAAGCTTTGCAATGGCTTTCTCCGCCACTTGTTTGGCACCAATCAATACCAATGGAACTCCATTTCCAGGTCGACTACTAGCACCACAATACAGTAGATTCGGTGACTTGTTGTCTTTGGAGTAGCCAGCTCCTGGTCTCGTCAAACTCAACTGGGCAAATCCATGGCTTAATGCAAAAGGAGTTCCGGCGCCTACGTGAAACTGATCCGCCCAGGTAGCCGGAGTATCCACCACTTCGTCTAAAATGTCTTGTTCCAAATCCTTTAGAGATTCAAATACTGATAATCTCTGAAAGACAGCCTTTCGTGCTTTGGCGATCACTTCTTCCGAGAACTGTTCCTGGTACTTTTGCATTGCTTCGTCTCGCGGTAATTTGGCACAATCTGCATCTCGCAACAACGTCCGACAGGGTACCAAGACCATGATGGAATCGTATCCATCAGGTGCAGCAGAAGGATCGGTATCACTCGCTCGATGAACATAAAAGTTGAAGGGTGTGGTTTCGTCGACATCTTCATTATCATTCGTGCGGAGAGTCTTCCAGCTGAGTTCTGCTTGAGGCCTGGATCCAGCAATTAGGAATACATTGTGAGTGTTCAAATCGTCACAGCGACGATTGGTACACCAATGAAAGGCAATGACACCACTGCTAAAAGAAAATTGATGGTCCCAATCAAAAATACCAGTTTTCATGGAGGCACTCTTGGGTCGATCCAATAGACTCTTGGTGGCATATGGAAGGTCCGCATTGCACACAATCAAATCGGCTGGAAGAAATTCCACACCATCCTTATCATCATTGTGCTGGATGTAGACACCATCTTCTTCAATCGATGTGACCATTGTATCTAGTTTCACCGTTGTACCCAACTCTTTGCCCAATTCTCCCAAGGCTTGTGAAACCGTGCGAAAACCGCCTACTGGTGCAAAGACTACGCGAACGGGATGGCAGAAGCAATAAGAACAACAATTAGCAACATTGAAAGCTCGATCCCTTTTTGGTCACTTTGCATGCTACATTGCGTTATTCTTACCTCCAGATTTTCTGTTGCTAGGGTGCAACTCAATGGCAGCTAGCAAGCCGAATACTGCCGGAGCAGTCGATTGGAATACACCACCTCCAACTTTGGCGCTGTTTCGATATGGTTCCAAGCCAACATACAAGTCTTGAAAAGATGCCAGCGCCTTTAACTTTTCCGACTCAAAGATGGCATCTAAAACCTCCGAGTGTGGTTTCAATGGCCATGCTTTGCCAAAATCTCGCAAGGCTTCTTGAATGAAACTGGGAAAGGATGCAAGATCAAACCGTTGTTCGATAAAGTTGGGCAGGCCACAATCCAAAAAGGCGCTCGTCGCCCTCATGTAGTCATCCCATTTCATCGATCCACCTTGTTCAAAGGAATCCATGATCCTTCGTGACTCGAGTTCCTCCAAAGTCATCTCACTGCCTGGTTGCCGTGGAAATCCAACATTAAGCTTGCTACCATCCTCAAAGACTACTTGGTATGCGGGAACGCACTGTGCCATTTTCAGGCCATAGTCGTTGGCTACTTTATCGCCACTCTTGGAACAATATTTAAAGATTTCATGATAGATATCTGGAAGCAAGAGCAAACTGGGACCCTTTTCGTGTCGAAAGGTGCCAATTCCTTCCAAAGTATGTGAAAATGACCCACAACGGCCTCCAATCTCGGCATTCTTTTCCACAATGGTAACCTCACAATCATTAAGAAAAGTCGACGCTTTGATTCGGGCGGCAGTAGCAAGTCCTCCAATACCTGCCCCAACAATGACAACCTTCTTCTTCTTGGCCTTGGAACTGCTGATGCCACTGTCATCATCTCCTGATGGGTTTCCCATCATTTGAAAGGGATAATAACTGGCACCAAATCTTCCCATCCTAGAAATCGATTGTTGAAAGCAAAGGCATATTGGCGCATTTGTTGCTGTAAGACATAGCAGAAGTAATATATGACTATTGAAGTTTGGTGTCAACATGGATATCAGTTCAAGTGATGATGAATCATTGAGTGTAATCTGTCATTGTGGAGGTATTTGATTCGTTCGACTAACACAATGCACTGCTTATTCTTCAAATCCATCGCTTATATTGGATGTCATTCAAAACCTACTATAGTAATCACAATGATGTAACCAACAACTTTACCCCGCAGAGGGAAAACAACAACAACAACAAGCAACACTCTCATTAGCATGATGCACGCAAAGACGCTGACCCCCCTGTAGTAGTAGCCAGATCCTTTTCGTGTTAGCATTGGTAACACTCTGCAAAGTAATCAAAGTACTCCAGTTGCTCTAGAAAGTTCTTGATACTTGTGTATCCACCAGCGCCCACTCCCCCAAAGACTACAAACAAAGCGACTCCCCAGTTGATTCGCTTGATCCAGTCCAAACGCATGAATGGCTTCTTCACCATGCCTTCTTCTGATTGAAATGCCAGATTGTATCCGATACAAGGAATGATAAAAGTTCCAAAACTCGTTGTGAAGGCACCAAGCATTGCATTGATGGCTCCGAAAAAGGGAAATGCAATTGCTAGCAACAGCATGAAACCACACAATGGAAGCCTGGCCAATGCACGCATCTTGAATGGTTTGTCATGAATTCCAACCAGCTTCTCCCACATGTGAAAGAGCGGGCCTGCAAAGAGGCCAAAGGCAACTGCCTGATGCAGTGACATCATGATGATTCCAAAATCGCGATACGGTGATGCGGGAAAGAGACTGAACGAGTTGGTATTATACAGACAATCTTGTCCATAGGTGTAGTAAGCTGCCACAGCATTCGGCATGGTCAAGGTAAATACGTAGAGATAGGACCAAAAGTAGGATCGATCGTAGGTAGCTGGGTCGTCCATGACATCGGCAACTTCAATATTGGATGTATGTCCACCAAAGATGAATAGCAATTGCACAAATCCCGTAAAGAATCCTTCCATGCTTTCTGGTGCATTGTATACTACATCTGGATCTCGCTGATCAGCCAAACTCGAAAACACCATGTACCAGGCAGTGTAGGTGGTTGTCAGAATTCCAAGAATCGATAGCATTCGATAGTGTCGAAAGTTTGGAACGAAGGCGACAAAGCTAAAGAGACTCCCCCATAGCAAAGCCCAGGACCGTTTGGACCGACTGTCGTCCAAAATGTAACAATTGGAAGCCGTGGCGATAATCTGAACCGTGGAAAGACCCAACAAGGCAAAAAAGACAACCGCAATGGATATTTGCTTGAGCCATGGCCCAACCAAGGCATCCATAATCTCATGGTAGCTCACAATGTGAAAGGGATCTCGGTGCTTTGGGTCGTTGTTGGCTTTCAAATTGTGACGATGTTGGGCGTGCATACTGACCAGAAGAAAATTCGTGTAGAGTGCCATGGTGGCAAATCCAAATTCCAGCAAAAGTCCAGACGTAAATCCAACTTGGGAAAAGATGTTGGGCAGCGTCAAGATGGACTGTCCTACTTCGGAAGAGGCGGCCAGTAAAAATCCATCAAAGATGGTTCCACCCGAGGAAACGGAATTCCAAGCAGCTGATATCTTGCTTTGATTGCTGGGTGATTCAGGACCTTCAATCTCTAGCCGGTATGCGTAGTCATCTCCTAGAACTCCTTCTTGTTGCTTTGGAGTATTTCTTTTGGAATCATCGTTCCATATGGATGTCATTCTTGAATTCTTACAGCTTGGAAGCCGGCGTGGTGACCTCCGAGTGAACTTTCAAATGGATTTTGCAAGTATAATAGAAGGTCAATGTGTCTAGAGTTGAAAGATGGATACGGCTTTCAATATCGCTGCTGCAAACGTACAATACCTATTAGTGACAATGACACAAGACACAACCAGCACAAGCTCAGTTAGCTGCCCTACTGTACCTGAAAGCAGAGTGTTTGAAGTTGAGCTCTCGTGCTTTCTTCGGTCCTGCGCGAACTCTGTCACTCGCTAATTCTCTAAGCGCGAGCCAAACATACAATTTTTACTACTCGCGCGCTCGTCGCTAGGAAGATCGAACAATTTCAAAATCAAAACTATTATTACAGCATAACTGTTGGTTTAGCGAGTTGTTTGAAGACGCGAACATGTTCAACCTCCTTTGGCCACTACTTGTACTTTCACTGGGCCATCTGCTTCTTGCAACTTCCGTATTTGGTATGATTGGATCAATGACTTGGCGTATACTTCAAATACCTCATCCACCTTGCCTTGCACCTTGGTTGTCTCTCCCAAGCCGTGGTGACAGTGCGGAATGTATTCCAGAAGCGTTTTCTGACATTCATCAATCGACTGGTTGTTCTTCTGGATGACTTGATCCAGACTGTTGTCATCACTAGCACATTTATGCATCTCATCGAAGGTTTCGTGAAGATTGGAGAGCCCTTCTTCAACGGTCATCTTGTACTTGTCTAAGGATTTCGAGTACATCTCTAGTGATTCTCGAATTTCTTCTTCTTGTGACATCAAACTCGAGATGTCTTCTCGAGTGCCATTGACCCATGAATATTGCTTTTGGTCTTCTTGTAATTGCAAGATCTCCACAGATTTTCCATAATACTCCAATGCTCGTTCTGTTTCCCCTTGTGCATGCAATATGTCACCGATTTGTGCGCTGGTTTCGGCAACTTTCATGTGGTGGTTTCCCAGTTGCTTCTTCAGTATTTCCAACTCCTTTTCAAGCATCTCCAAAGCTTCACTTGGGCGATCGAGTTGTTCTTGCAATAAGGTTCCTAATCGGCCAGAGGTCTCTGCAACTTGAAGACTTCCATGTCCCAACCTCCCAAGACTGGCCTTGTCCAGCTGTACCTTCAACAGCTTCCGCAATACCACTTCTGCCCAATCGTACTGGCGCAACTGGTCATTGAACAAGTACGATAGTCGTTCCAATTGAGCAAGACTCAATCGATCTTCCAGTAGGTCGTCCAGCCTTTCCTTATCCACCTGTTCCAAATCCAAGGAATCGACATCCAGTTGGTGGATTTGCATTTCGCAAACATGCCGGAAGCCTTTCTTCGTGTCAATCTGAAGATGAAGATTCAATACTTCGTACCCATCGAGACCACCGTCGCTCATGAACTTGTTTCGAACATTGACAACATTGACATCTGGATGCAGTTGGAATGCTTCAATACACCGCATGGGTCCTTCTGGAGAGGAAAAGACAACACTTCCCCTCACGATATCATACAACCAGGATAGGGCTGGTCCTGGTTCTCGCCTCGAATAAAGGCCATTGGCTTTTTCTTTTGCGCGCTCTTGGTCTTTGATGTCTGCAAATCTGGCAATCATACCATCCGCGTTTTCAAAGCAAATATGATCAAAGATTTTCTTCATGATTTCTTCAAAAACAGGTTTCGCGGCACGAGCGGCCTGGAACAAGTCGGAATAGCTCCTAGCAATAGCACCCTTGGAAGACTGCTGCCGATAAATGTCCTCGTTCTTGAGTGATGAAAAGCTCTCACTGCTGGTCTTTACCTTGCGATATGATTTGGCACTCGTCTCACTCTCTGACAAGAGAGGAGCATCAGGAAGAGTATCTGGGTCCGATTTGAAACTGTCATCGTGAGTTGTTGGAGTACCATTGTCATCATTTGAGTAACGTCTTTTCATTCCGGTCTCCACTTTGGCAAACCATTCCATATCATAGATATTCCTTCGCTCCTTCTCCGCTGGTGATTCTCGCACCTCGTCTTGGTCATCCAGTGGCTTGAATTTGGCCATTAGGGTCTGGAACTCCTCCCTCCTGGATTCATCTTTTTCATTTTGGCTGAGCCTTTTCTTCACCACCATAGGGCTCCTCTCATCTTCCAAGTTTGTCTGTTCTTGCAACAGAGTTTCTTGAAATATTTCTTTTGGAGGTCCACCACTTCGTGACGAAAGCATCGATGGCGCTTCAGAGCCATCCCCAGCTACGGAATCGCCTCCCATTTGAAGCAGTATAGGTTTCATGTCATCATCAGTGTCTATCGATTTGGATCCGGAAACGTTCTTGTATGCTGCGCACTCTGGGACAACAATGTTTCTCGCCTTGGCATCTGTGCACTCCATACTAGGTGGTGCGTCAAAGGAGTCATCATCATTCCCATTCTCACAATCGTTCATGATCGACACGAGCAGCTTTCTAGCCGCTAGCCTTGGTGAATCGATGTGGCGTTCCGACACATAACTCCTCTTCTCCAAACCAGGTGACTTGGGACGCTTCTCCTGCTGGACGGGTTTCTTGTTGTGTTTCTTGTTGTGTTTCTTGCCATGGCTTTTCTTGTGCCTTTTCTCGTGGCCATTCGATCCAAATAACGTGAATGGCATCGTATTTGGTTCCTCTACAGTACCAGGTAGTTTTTGTAATGATGGCTTCGTTTCTTTTGGGAAGAGAATGGTTTTCTCTAACGTATCGATTATTACAAAATTGATGGATTGTGTAGAGTTCGGGATCACCTGCGAAATTACTTCACGTATGGGCCCGTAGCAAAACAAATGGAGAATAAAAAAAAAGCGTCATAGATTCTCTTTCCCTTCCCCGCATGATGAAACATACCGGTATTCCATGTTCTTCTGTTCTTTGGAAAAAGGCAAGTGACTGGAAACTGGAGAAATATGGTGGAATCACGATCAAATTGCGATCTCGAAAGCATAGAATAGGAACTCTACTCTCGTACTGGTACCGGTAGCCAAAATCTGCAGCTAGAAGGAGTGCAGCAGATTGGTAGTGAGGTGGAAAAAGTAACTTTTACTAAGATGCCAGAATATGTCTGAGAGTGCTTGTCAATGTCTTTAAAATTTAAAAACCATTTTTTTAAATATCAATGATGTTTGAAATAGGTAGTCTTCAGACTCACTCGATCTATCTTAGATCGAGATTCTTTGGAAGTTCTCTACTTTGTACTGTCAATCTATCTATGTTGGACCGGCGGTCAGCCTGGGCCATCCTCGTGTCATGTTTGACGGGTCTGCGTTCGATCAATCGATCCACTGGCCTCTAGTAGCGTAAACAAATCTCTGCAGTCAGGTCCCTTCACTTCTTCTATATCAGACATTCTATAATGACCATAGTCTCGGTTTTCTGACTTATCAGTACCCGCAGCTTTGATCAGTAACTAGTGAATCTCAATCACTAGTGATTATGAAAGCATCGTGCCGACCATGAGTTGTTCAAGGATCCTTCGAGGCCAAACAGGTATGCTTGTCGTCTTTCAAGAAGATCCAGTGATACTCCTCGTACCGGTGTGCCTAACTGAATATCCTGTTGTTCGACCTCCGCTAATAATGAGTATTGGCTTCAGCCTGTTGGCGACACAATTCAACTGAATCTTCATGATGCCGAAGAAACGAATCCATATAAGGGGCGTATATTGTGGGTACAATTAGCTCTTTCTCTTCCTCAAGTAGCGGTTTGGGATTCCAATAGATTTTGCGCACAGCTTTTGCCATTTCTATCCGTGATTCCCATCCAAAGATTCTCTGAATGGATTGCCAAACATCCTCCGTCGGATCCAGGACACTCCAGCAGCCAAGTGTCCGGTGACTATGCGTCCATAATTGTGTCTGGATAATGCTCAGCATACTAGTGTACATGTGGATTCCTGCCACAATAGAGGAGTCGTTGTGGAACTTTCTTCTATTTGTGGATCGCATTATGGCGTAGGGGTCTCGATAAATCAAAATATGACCGCAATCCACCTTGGCCATGTCACAAGCTTGATACAATAAATCGACATTGGGATAATTGAGCTTCCGACAGTCCCCCTTAAAGTTGGGATATGACATTTCTCCAGACAGCCTTGTTCCATGGTACGCATTCATGAGCATTGTTGTCGTTGTGTTTTCGTCTGAAGCTTTCGCAGCCCTTCGATTGATTTGTTGTAGTTTCTCAACAACCATGTCCCTGTGGGCCACAGCATTCAATGCTTGGGAGCTATTTCCACAGTGCAGGTTAAAGTATCCAAGAGTGTTGTTCTCGAATAATGCTTCTTCCAACTGAAGACTCATTTTCGGATGAATACTCCATGCTTGATTTTGTTTCCTGGCTGGAGATTTTGAGTATATTCTTTTGATTGCATGATGTCCTGTCCCTTCCAATCCGATTATGAAAATGAACCGAATAGAGCTGGTGTATACTGAAATTCCTCTTTTGCTGCTGGTCGATGCTGTTGCGTTTTTCGTCGTGGTGGTTGGTTTGCACGCAAGTATTGGATAGGTCGATGAATCATCTTCCAACGACTTTGATGGATCGTTCACCAACAAAAACCCATCAATAAACAAAAGAAAAAGTATGGCCAAGATGACCTTGCCTGTAATTACTCCCGCCTTATGCTTCTTTTCACTTTCATTCATACCATTATGTTCTCCTGTCAGAACCATTATTGTGACCATGCAAAGTCATCATTTTTGGATATGGATGGGGGATGGGTGAAATAAGCACTAAGCCAGCTCTATTCACCACCAATAGAAGACATAGTGATGAAAATGCGCCTCTCATTGTCGATGCCTATCTAAGGGGTGATTCGAGAAGCCAAAATTTGCAGTTGGATCTTTTCAGCCGCACATCGCTACAGTACTTCACAGCAAATGCAAGTTTGGCAGTTCTTTTTATTCCTTGCAGTTACCTGTATGCTATCTCGTTCCGCTAGAGCAATGTCCTCACAAAGTACCAAGAAAGGAGCTTTAATCTTCCTACATGGACTGGGAGATTCTCCCGCTGGATGGTCCGACCTCAAACGAAGCTTGCCATCCTATCATGCTAGTCTATCAGACATTGAGTATGTTTTCCCGGCAGCACCTATAATTCCAATTACCATCAATGGTGGAACGACAATGCCCGGCTGGTTTGATTTGTATGACTGGCCAATTGCAGTTGGTTCGAAGGATGACAAGGAGGGACTGATGACTGCTGTTCAAGTGGTGGAAGATCAGGTCGAGAAACTGGAAAAGGATGGGATCCCACGCTCCAAAATTGTTGTTGGTGGCTTTAGTCAAGGTACGAATATGATAGATGGAAAGGAATCCAATCAAATAGTGTCCTGCCAAGGGAAATATCCTAGCTAATCGCCCGACGTCTTATTTCTTGGCTGAAACATTTTAGGAGGTGCCATTGCATTGCTGACTGCATACCGTAACCAAAAGGAAGCTTTTGCTGGATGTGTCGGCTTAAGTGCTTGGCTCACTATTCCAGACGACTTGGACGTTAGCGATTCTGCCAAGAAGACTCCGCTCTTTTGGGGACATGGAAAGTTCGATGACAAAGTTCTGTTCCCCCAACAACAGTTCGGAGTGGGCAAGTTTCTCGAGAGTGGAGTGACTGTTACTGACAAATCGTATCCCATGGGGCATTCGAGCTATCCTGACGAAATGAACGACTTTGCTGATTTCTTGGATGGTTGTATGTTTGGAAGTGGAAAGAACGATGAGCTCTAGAAACCCCACCAATCATATCATGCCTTGTTCCTTTGGCATAATAATTGATTGGATTGTGGCTGCACAAGGGATGCCATCACCAATGGTGCAAGCTTTTGCCCCTAGTCGTTGACGCAAATGAATGTAACTTTGTTGTCTCATCAAAGTCAGCTCAAAATCCATTGTGCTGGCTTTGCCATGTTGCCACACACACGCACAGCCACCCTGCAGCCAAAATATTGATTGATCCAAGGTTCTTCTCTCGTAGACGTAGACAAGCCGCTGAACTAAACGATTAGATCCATCGGTGTTGTTTCAAAATCACTCTTCTCTCCCAATACCGGTAGATACAGTGCCTGGTAGAAAATTAAAAATTTGGACTTTTTTAGTGTTTAATTCTCAGAATTCTGACGATGATGTTCCAAAATTATCCTCCACAAAAAAGCTAACAAACGTGAACCGACAATGTGATGTGGAACCTCAAAACCGATACATGCCAGCAAGGCCTCATAAAAAGTTTTCGACGCAAAGACTAACCGATACAACAACGAAGACAACAACAAGAATCCAAACAGCAAACATGACAGCACCAACCAGCACTGACACTCGAAACAACGTCAAGGTCGTCCCGAACGACAAACTTTATGTTTCTGAGCCAAACCCAATGTGGTTCGGTAACAGATCCAATCCAACTGACGATCCTTCATGGACCAACAAGAACTGGTTGAAATCAAGGTTCCATTTCTCCTTTGCGGAATACCGGAACCCCAAAAATTCCAGTTATGGCGTACTCCGTGTCCTGAACGATGATCTGGTGCAACCCATGCGTGGCTTTGGAGCTCATCCACATGCCAATATGGAAATCGTCACCTACATTGTCAATGGTAAGCTAACACACGAAGATTCCATGGGTACCTCTCAATCGTTGGGCAGAGGATCCATTCAATTTATGACGGCAGGATCTGGAATCACGCATTCGGAGCACAACCACACGGACAAGCCATTGCGCTTCATCCAGACTTGGATTGTACCAGAACGAAGAGGACTTTCACCCAACTATGGTGGATATGACGCTAGTGACAAATTGGTCAAGAACCAAGTCCGGCACTTGGCATCCAGTATCAAGGACAACGCAAATGACACCCCAGTGAAGCTGAACCAAGACGTAAACTGCCGTGCTGGCGAGCTCGAGCTCGGTAAGTCGGTTTCAGTGGATCTTCCTGAAGGAAGACAAGCATACTTGTTGTGTGTGGAGGGGTCCTTGAAGGTGAACGGACAGGCTCTTGCTCGTCACGATGCTTGCGAGATCACGAGTGACGGAGAAGCAATTGTGATTGAAGCTGTTGGTGTCGAAGACACCGAAAACGGCGAGGTTGGTCACTTTTTGATGTTTGATATGGAGGAAGTGGAAGGATCCGGCCGCAGAGATTTCTAAGTGTTGAAAAAGCTCGAATGAATGAATGGATCGATCTGCTGTATCTAACAAAGACCTGTCGAATGTGACTGCGAGTCATAATGTAGCTGAATACTGAATGCTGATCGACTAGATAGATTACAGTACAAATTAGAAAGGGATGTGTGCATATCTAATAAGCAAGAGAACTGCCCTGTAGTAAAGTACAGCTCCCAATGTTTGTGTCCTTGAACTTGCCTATATCCTCCACATACAACTGACTGAACCTATTTACCGTTGACTTTTGTGTAATCAGCATAGGACTAGTATACAGTAACATTTTTTGGACTACTGTACTGACATTAAAATATGATTTGCCGTTCAATTTCACACGTCGATATCGAACATGGAGCGCTTAAAACATACGGCAGTGCCTCCCTTCAGTTAGTGTGCATCGGTCGTCTTGTTCGAATGACGAGGAAGGATGATCCCATTCTTATTCACTTCTTGTCAACCTTCTTCAGTTTGACACTGCCCCCCAGAGCTTCTTGCATCAACATGGCTTGCATTCCCAATTGCTGAGCACCTGGAGGAGGCTTGTATTTCTTCTTTGGCGCTTCTCCAGCGTTGACATCCCCACTCGACTCTACAACCACTTCGGTTGCGGATGATTTTTCGGCCTGTTTCTTCAGGTTAGCGGACATTAGTGCTGCGAGAGAAGGATCCATTTTGAATTCGATTCACACTTGCTGTGCTTTGCTTTGTGTGTTTATGTGACTGTTGACTGGTCTAGATGGCTCTAGCAGACTCAAAACAACGGTCACAATGGAACTCTCAGAATGGGAAATGTGTTTGATCTTGCCGGTATTCAGCTGCGAATATGATTGATTGATTGATGACTGCGATGAGAACCCGGAAATCTGATCGAAAAAGCTCCTTAGAACCCGGAGGAAGCTCTCCACCTCATCGACGTCATCGCCATCGTCATTCACTTTTTTTTAATCTGCAGTTTCTTGTTTCCATTACACTCTACCCGTACATTCAAAGTAGGACAACCATGTTGCTTTCCAAATCGCTGATCCAGCAACAGTGGAGACGCGCCCGGTGGATAAAGACACCAGCACTACTAGGTGCAGGGTCACTGGCATATTTGATACATGAGAACCAAGAGGATGACGCCCGGTTGCTGGAGGAGGCGAGTTCCTCCTCCACTATGCAAATGCAATTGCCATTTCCGAGACTTCCGCAACCAAGTTATGTGGCGTGTGAGTCCATGATTGGGCGTATGCTGGCAAGACGACAAACTCTACTGCATATCGACGATGGCAAAGACAAGCGAAAGCTACAAAGTGTCTACTCGGTGAAATGGGATTCCACTTTGGGAGAAGGAGGCTTCGGGGCCGTCTATCCTGCAATCGACAAGGTTACTGGCAAGAAGGTGGCCGTTAAAGTCATTTCCAAAGAATATACAAACGATGATGGCTTTCGGCGCGAAATGGAAGCCCTACTTCAGATTCGGCGATTGGGTGGTCATCCAAACCTTTGCGGTTTGCATGAGAACTTTGATGAAGGTGGGAAATTTTATTTGACATTGGACTATATTTCAGGTGGAGAAATGTTTGATCACCTTATCAACTCTGGGGTGAGCAAACTGTGCTGTTGAAGCAATCCAATCACTGATTGAATTCAACTTTCAAGACTCACATTCTCTATTTCTTCGTCTTCGATCCATCCAAAAGGCATATTCGGAGGCTGATGCGGCCCGTCTTATTCGTGAGGTGGCATCCGCCCTTTCCTTTTTGCACGGTTCGGATATTGTACACTGTGATCTAAAGCCAGAAAACCTAATGCTAAGCACTGCGAATAGAAACGACTCGGTTGTAAAGATTATCGATTTTGGAACTGCCCAAGTGTTGGACGAAACTGGCAAAGCTGCTGTTCCTTCTTCGGACCTGGGAACCACCGCCGCCTATTGCCCACCAGAGGTACTAGTAGAACGATCCTCCAAGAAACGACCATCCATGGACGTTTGGGCTATTGGTGTAATTCTCTACATCATGCTCGTCGGCGTTCATCCCTTCGATCCAGAAGGGAATGCGACCGAAGAAGAAATCGCCGAACGAGTTCTTAAGATGAAGTCTTTGCCAATGAAGAATTCGCCCTACACAAAACATTTATCTGCTTCTGCTATTGATCTACTGGAGAAGCTTCTTTGCTGGGATGAAGACAAACGACTCACTGCGGATGACATGCTTCAACATCCTTGGGTGCAAGGCATCACTGCAAAGAAAGATAAGCTCGAGGATGTGGCCAGTAAGCTGTCGAATCTGAAAAAGTTCAAAAGTCGACTGGAAGCCAAGGTCTTTCAAGACTTTGTAAACTTCGCAGATGGCAATAAAGATGCTGAAGGTGGTGACAAGAAAATGTCACTAATGGAACGATCCTTTAAGAGGCTCGATACTTCCTCCACAGGTTCCGTCACTACCAAAGAGATTGGGAAAGGCTTAAACGAAGCAGTCGATTCTGACGAAGAGGTTTCTCTTACTACCTTTACGGATCTTCTTTCCGACCACATGAAGGACTGTTACTTCAAGAAGGGCGATGTTATTTTCAAAGAAGGTGATGAGGGAAAAGACATGTTCTTTATCAATTCTGGCGTGGTGGAAGTGACCACCAGCAAAGGTTTCCGGACTGTGCTCTCGAACGGCGATTTTGTTGGGGAAGCCGCAATCTTGGAAAACGCCAAGAGAAACGGCACTGTCACGTGTAATACACCTGTCCATGCGATTAGGATCACAAAGGAATATTTTGAAAAGTATCTTTCGGCTTCAGACTCGGAGCTGAACGTTCGAATGCTAGATACTACCAAGAACCGAACTTCATCCCGGAAGATCTTTAGTGGTTTCTCCAACCTTTTGGCCGAAAACGAAAGGAACAGGAAGTCCTTCAAGAAAGGCGATGTGATCTATAAAGAAGGTGACATGGGTAATGACATGTTCTTTATTAAAAAAGGCGTGGTTTCTGTTGCCAACAAAGACGGTTTCCACACTACGTTGCAAGAAGGTAATTTCGTTGGGGAAATGGCTCTTGTGAACAACAAACCGAGAGTCGGAACAGTGACGTGCCTGACTCCAGTCGAAGGTGTGACAATCCCGCGCGAGTACTTTGAAAAGTTCCTCATTACAACGGATACAAATGTTCGAATGAACATGTACCGAGAAAACAAAGCACGTGAGATGTCAAGAATCCGAATGATGTTGCGGCAGGCTGGACACCTGCATACAAAGAAGCTAAGGAAGGGAGATGTTCTCTTCAAGCAAGGCGGGAAAGACAAAGCCCTCTATATTGTGATAGATGGCGAAATTTCACGGTCCACTGGCCGCTTGTCTCTCACAAGAAACCACCAAGGAGACATTATATCGGTGGTCACTCCCTCCTTTCGGACGCCCCTCGTGCAATTTCCGCTCGATGTATCTCGAAGGAATGCAGCGTGGTGGAGGTTGGACCAGAAGATTTTAAAGAAGTTAATGGGTCTTGCAACACTCTGAGGAATTTGCTACAAACCCTTTGCTACCAGCAAGACTTTCAAAGAGCGCTAACTTTGTACTCGAATGATCACTTTCCACGCACGGTGGACGGCTTCCGACATCTCTTTAACAGCATCAAATACAGCCCAGGTCCCGATCTCGTTTTTTCAGATGTCGAGAAACTCATGAAAAGGATGTACCCGCACAAACCGCACGAAGAAATTGTGGCGCTCTTTGAAGCAATCGATGTCAACGGGGGAGGATCAATAACCGTTGAAGAGTTCGAAGCCCTCTTTTACTGCGTCTGATTGCGGTTATTGCTAAAGCCAGGCTTTCTTGGTTCGGACTTGAGAGTTACTACCGGCATATATCTAGAATTTGAATGGAATGGATATATGAAATGTATATAGCTTCTAATTTACTCAGTTTCGATAGAATCAATTAGCGTTTTAGTCTTCTTTCCTTTTGAGCGTCTCCACGTGCGTCCATGCCTGATAGAGGCGGAGGGATCGCAATATCATGTGTTCTACTAGCTGTAGAAAGAAGAGCGTATTGTCGTGCTTGCCCGTAGCATTCAATGGAATACCTCTCCCCATCTCGTCGCCTGCATCGGTATGCATGGTTTCAAAGAAAGAAGAGTCTTTGGAGAGCAATTTGTATTGAAATTCTTTCAAGCCTTCTCTCCCGGAATCTGATAGATCGTCGCCTTCTGCTACAGTTGCGACAGCATGCGACATTTTATGAATGGCTTCTCGTGTCTCCTCGAGCTTGACAAATAAAATATTGGCGGCTGCATTGCTGGAATCGCGATCCAACGGCACTGTCAGCATTTTTCGCACCAGACCACCAATCTGAGAAAATGACTCGAGCTGGGGAGCGGTGAACTCGTAGTCAGCATCACTTCGAACCATACCATCCAAAACCACAATGGTAGTTTGAATTCGAAGACAGCGGGCAAGGGTCCGAGCGATTTCCGTTTGGAAGGCATCGCTTACAACTTCATCTTTGGCAATCTTGAGCCGAAATGGATCATACTTGACCAATGGAAACAACATTTTGCTCAATCGCCAGTCAGCAATAGCGTCTTCGTACTTTTTGAGTGCAACGTCCGTTGCCCCCGGGTTGTCAGCATTCCTCGAGCTGCTACCAAGACTAGATGTGCTGGATAGTCTCCATCGGAGCTCGCTCTCAAGGGGTGCGTTCAGCAGTTCATCCGCTAGACGGTTGACCTGAATACGTCCAGAAAAATAATCAGCAGATACATTCATGACAGCTTCTGCAGCTTCGCCCGCCATGGATACCTGTCTAGACGCCTTGGAATAGAGTACATCTGTCGTAGACTTTGGAACAATCAGGATGGACCCAATCGCCCCGACGAAACAGCCGACTACCACATTCAGGACACGATACATTGCTCTTGCCCACTTGGGGTCCTCGTCCATGGAGAATGGCATGATGCAAATGCAAAATGTCAAGGAACATAGAATTGTGGCATAGGCAAACCGCTTGATCACCTTGACCCTTCCAACCTTGAACTGCCCTGCAACGAAAATGATCAAAAAGTTGAAAATGAACACGCAGGTACCCAGGAAAATGGACTGGGTAAAGTGGCGGTCGGTGAACAGCAACGACGCAAAGCCACAGGCCAGACCCAAAAATGCTCCAATAAATGTTCCGAGTAGACGCTGTATTATCTTTTCAATCACAGAGGCTGCATCTAGTTGTGGGAACCATGACACAAAGAGGACTGTCACCAGAACCCACATTCCATCTGGGAAATGGTAATCGTCGGTTCGGATTAGGACAAAAAGCGACGAGAACCAAAGAAGAATCCCCATTCGAAGAGCAAACTGGAATGCCGTTTTGTCCACAGATTCCCACAAGGTCTTCTGCTTTCGTTTCGTGGGGGCAGGTTCCTTTAGGACCTCTAGACTTTCCGTATCATGTGACAGTAGCGAGTCAGTGGATGCCTTGGAACAAGCATCTCCCTCCGTCGTTGAGCATGTTGTGGGAAGCGTAAGGCTTGTCGCATGATGCGAAGCACTTGTTTTGGAGGACTGTTGAAAATATGGGAGACCATAAGACTTGGAAGACGATGACTCCATCAAAGGAGATTGTTCTTTCCCGGAAGATCTTTAGTGGTTTCTCCAACCTTTTGGCCGAAAACGAAAGGAACAGGAAGTCCTTCAAGAAAGGCGATGTGATCTATAAAGAAGGTGACATGGGTAATGACATGTTCTTTATTAAAAAAGGCGTGGTTTCTGTTGCCAACAAAGACGGTTTCCACACTACGTTGCAAGAAGGTAATTTCGTTGGGGAAATGGCTCTTGTGAACAACAAACCGAGAGTCGGAACAGTGACGTGCCTGACTCCAGTCGAAGGTGTGACAATCCCGCGCGAGTACTTTGAAAAGTTCCTCATTACAACGGATACAAATGTTCGAATGAACATGTACCGAGAAAACAAAGCACGTGAGATGTCAAGAATCCGAATGATGTTGCGGCAGGCTGGACACCTGCATACAAAGAAGCTAAGGAAGGGAGATGTTCTCTTCAAGCAAGGCGGGAAAGACAAAGCCCTCTATATTGTGATAGATGGCGAAATTTCACGGTCCACTGGCCGCTTGTCTCTCACAAGAAACCACCAAGGAGACATTATATCGGTGGTCACTCCCTCCTTTCGGACGCCCCTCGTGCAATTTCCGCTCGATGTATCTCGAAGGAATGCAGCGTGGTGGAGGTTGGACCAGAAGATTTTAAAGAAGTTAATGGGTCTTGCAACACTCTGAGGAATTTGCTACAAACCCTTTGCTACCAGCAAGACTTTCAAAGAGCGCTAACTTTGTACTCGAATGATCACTTTCCACGCACGGTGGACGGCTTCCGACATCTCTTTAACAGCATCAAATACAGCCCAGGTCCCGATCTCGTTTTTTCAGATGTCGAGAAACTCATGAAAAGGATGTACCCGCACAAACCGCACGAAGAAATTGTGGCGCTCTTTGAAGCAATCGATGTCAACGGGGGAGGATCAATAACCGTTGAAGAGTTCGAAGCCCTCTTTTACTGCGTCTGATTGCGGTTATTGCTAAAGCCAGGCTTTCTTGGTTCGGACTTGAGAGTTACTACCGGCATATATCTAGAATTTGAATGGAATGGATATATGAAATGTATATAGCTTCTAATTTACTCAGTTTCGATAGAATCAATTAGCGTTTTAGTCTTCTTTCCTTTTGAGCGTCTCCACGTGCGTCCATGCCTGATAGAGGCGGAGGGATCGCAATATCATGTGTTCTACTAGCTGTAGAAAGAAGAGCGTATTGTCGTGCTTGCCCGTAGCATTCAATGGAATACCTCTCCCCATCTCGTCGCCTGCATCGGTATGCATGGTTTCAAAGAAAGAAGAGTCTTTGGAGAGCAATTTGTATTGAAATTCTTTCAAGCCTTCTCTCCCGGAATCTGATAGATCGTCGCCTTCTGCTACAGTTGCGACAGCATGCGACATTTTATGAATGGCTTCTCGTGTCTCCTCGAGCTTGACAAATAAAATATTGGCGGCTGCATTGCTGGAATCGCGATCCAACGGCACTGTCAGCATTTTTCGCACCAGACCACCAATCTGAGAAAATGACTCGAGCTGGGGAGCGGTGAACTCGTAGTCAGCATCACTTCGAACCATACCATCCAAAACCACAATGGTAGTTTGAATTCGAAGACAGCGGGCAAGGGTCCGAGCGATTTCCGTTTGGAAGGCATCGCTTACAACTTCATCTTTGGCAATCTTGAGCCGAAATGGATCATACTTGACCAATGGAAACAACATTTTGCTCAATCGCCAGTCAGCAATAGCGTCTTCGTACTTTTTGAGTGCAACGTCCGTTGCCCCCGGGTTGTCAGCATTCCTCGAGCTGCTACCAAGACTAGATGTGCTGGATAGTCTCCATCGGAGCTCGCTCTCAAGGGGTGCGTTCAGCAGTTCATCCGCTAGACGGTTGACCTGAATACGTCCAGAAAAATAATCAGCAGATACATTCATGACAGCTTCTGCAGCTTCGCCCGCCATGGATACCTGTCTAGACGCCTTGGAATAGAGTACATCTGTCGTAGACTTTGGAACAATCAGGATGGACCCAATCGCCCCGACGAAACAGCCGACTACCACATTCAGGACACGATACATTGCTCTTGCCCACTTGGGGTCCTCGTCCATGGAGAATGGCATGATGCAAATGCAAAATGTCAAGGAACATAGAATTGTGGCATAGGCAAACCGCTTGATCACCTTGACCCTTCCAACCTTGAACTGCCCTGCAACGAAAATGATCAAAAAGTTGAAAATGAACACGCAGGTACCCAGGAAAATGGACTGGGTAAAGTGGCGGTCGGTGAACAGCAACGACGCAAAGCCACAGGCCAGACCCAAAAATGCTCCAATAAATGTTCCGAGTAGACGCTGTATTATCTTTTCAATCACAGAGGCTGCATCTAGTTGTGGGAACCATGACACAAAGAGGACTGTCACCAGAACCCACATTCCATCTGGGAAATGGTAATCGTCGGTTCGGATTAGGACAAAAAGCGACGAGAACCAAAGAAGAATCCCCATTCGAAGAGCAAACTGGAATGCCGTTTTGTCCACAGATTCCCACAAGGTCTTCTGCTTTCGTTTCGTGGGGGCAGGTTCCTTTAGGACCTCTAGACTTTCCGTATCATGTGACAGTAGCGAGTCAGTGGATGCCTTGGAACAAGCATCTCCCTCCGTCGTTGAGCATGTTGTGGGAAGCGTAAGGCTTGTCGCATGATGCGAAGCACTTGTTTTGGAGGACTGTTGAAAATATGGGAGACCATAAGACTTGGAAGACGATGACTCCATCAAAGGAGATTGTTCTTTCCCGGAAGATCTTTAGTGGTTTCTCCAACCTTTTGGCCGAAAACGAAAGGAACAGGAAGTCCTTCAAGAAAGGCGATGTGATCTATAAAGAAGGTGACATGGGTAATGACATGTTCTTTATTAAAAAAGGCGTGGTTTCTGTTGCCAACAAAGACGGTTTCCACACTACGTTGCAAGAAGGTAATTTCGTTGGGGAAATGGCTCTTGTGAACAACAAACCGAGAGTCGGAACAGTGACGTGCCTGACTCCAGTCGAAGGTGTGACAATCCCGCGCGAGTACTTTGAAAAGTTCCTCATTACAACGGATACAAATGTTCGAATGAACATGTACCGAGAAAACAAAGCACGTGAGATGTCAAGAATCCGAATGATGTTGCGGCAGGCTGGACACCTGCATACAAAGAAGCTAAGGAAGGGAGATGTTCTCTTCAAGCAAGGCGGGAAAGACAAAGCCCTCTATATTGTGATAGATGGCGAAATTTCACGGTCCACTGGCCGCTTGTCTCTCACAAGAAACCACCAAGGAGACATTATATCGGTGGTCACTCCCTCCTTTCGGACGCCCCTCGTGCAATTTCCGCTCGATGTATCTCGAAGGAATGCAGCGTGGTGGAGGTTGGACCAGAAGATTTTAAAGAAGTTAATGGGTCTTGCAACACTCTGAGGAATTTGCTACAAACCCTTTGCTACCAGCAAGACTTTCAAAGAGCGCTAACTTTGTACTCGAATGATCACTTTCCACGCACGGTGGACGGCTTCCGACATCTCTTTAACAGCATCAAATACAGCCCAGGTCCCGATCTCGTTTTTTCAGATGTCGAGAAACTCATGAAAAGGATGTACCCGCACAAACCGCACGAAGAAATTGTGGCGCTCTTTGAAGCAATCGATGTCAACGGGGGAGGATCAATAACCGTTGAAGAGTTCGAAGCCCTCTTTTACTGCGTCTGATTGCGGTTATTGCTAAAGCCAGGCTTTCTTGGTTCGGACTTGAGAGTTACTACCGGCATATATCTAGAATTTGAATGGAATGGATATATGAAATGTATATAGCTTCTAATTTACTCAGTTTCGATAGAATCAATTAGCGTTTTAGTCTTCTTTCCTTTTGAGCGTCTCCACGTGCGTCCATGCCTGATAGAGGCGGAGGGATCGCAATATCATGTGTTCTACTAGCTGTAGAAAGAAGAGCGTATTGTCGTGCTTGCCCGTAGCATTCAATGGAATACCTCTCCCCATCTCGTCGCCTGCATCGGTATGCATGGTTTCAAAGAAAGAAGAGTCTTTGGAGAGCAATTTGTATTGAAATTCTTTCAAGCCTTCTCTCCCGGAATCTGATAGATCGTCGCCTTCTGCTACAGTTGCGACAGCATGCGACATTTTATGAATGGCTTCTCGTGTCTCCTCGAGCTTGACAAATAAAATATTGGCGGCTGCATTGCTGGAATCGCGATCCAACGGCACTGTCAGCATTTTTCGCACCAGACCACCAATCTGAGAAAATGACTCGAGCTGGGGAGCGGTGAACTCGTAGTCAGCATCACTTCGAACCATACCATCCAAAACCACAATGGTAGTTTGAATTCGAAGACAGCGGGCAAGGGTCCGAGCGATTTCCGTTTGGAAGGCATCGCTTACAACTTCATCTTTGGCAATCTTGAGCCGAAATGGATCATACTTGACCAATGGAAACAACATTTTGCTCAATCGCCAGTCAGCAATAGCGTCTTCGTACTTTTTGAGTGCAACGTCCGTTGCCCCCGGGTTGTCAGCATTCCTCGAGCTGCTACCAAGACTAGATGTGCTGGATAGTCTCCATCGGAGCTCGCTCTCAAGGGGTGCGTTCAGCAGTTCATCCGCTAGACGGTTGACCTGAATACGTCCAGAAAAATAATCAGCAGATACATTCATGACAGCTTCTGCAGCTTCGCCCGCCATGGATACCTGTCTAGACGCCTTGGAATAGAGTACATCTGTCGTAGACTTTGGAACAATCAGGATGGACCCAATCGCCCCGACGAAACAGCCGACTACCACATTCAGGACACGATACATTGCTCTTGCCCACTTGGGGTCCTCGTCCATGGAGAATGGCATGATGCAAATGCAAAATGTCAAGGAACATAGAATTGTGGCATAGGCAAACCGCTTGATCACCTTGACCCTTCCAACCTTGAACTGCCCTGCAACGAAAATGATCAAAAAGTTGAAAATGAACACGCAGGTACCCAGGAAAATGGACTGGGTAAAGTGGCGGTCGGTGAACAGCAACGACGCAAAGCCACAGGCCAGACCCAAAAATGCTCCAATAAATGTTCCGAGTAGACGCTGTATTATCTTTTCAATCACAGAGGCTGCATCTAGTTGTGGGAACCATGACACAAAGAGGACTGTCACCAGAACCCACATTCCATCTGGGAAATGGTAATCGTCGGTTCGGATTAGGACAAAAAGCGACGAGAACCAAAGAAGAATCCCCATTCGAAGAGCAAACTGGAATGCCGTTTTGTCCACAGATTCCCACAAGGTCTTCTGCTTTCGTTTCGTGGGGGCAGGTTCCTTTAGGACCTCTAGACTTTCCGTATCATGTGACAGTAGCGAGTCAGTGGATGCCTTGGAACAAGCATCTCCCTCCGTCGTTGAGCATGTTGTGGGAAGCGTAAGGCTTGTCGCATGATGCGAAGCACTTGTTTTGGAGGACTGTTGAAAATATGGGAGACCATAAGACTTGGAAGACGATGACTCCATCAAAGGAGATTGTTCTTGACTTGTTGAACTCATATTATATTTGATTGCTCTTTGTGCTGAGGTGTCAACAAAAGACAGATCTTATGTGACTCTAACAAAATGTACTGGTAGTTTTGGTCCTAGAGTGACTTCGTGGTAAGTTGTAGTTGTATTTTTTGCAACCAAAAATTACAAACTTCACAACGGAGGGAGGAAGATATGGGCGGAAGTTCCTTCCGCCGAACTTCAGATGGTGAATTACAACCAGGTGCTGGCCAGAGACGGAACACGTGTACACGTGTATCCAACGACGCGCGTGCACACAGAACCTCATTGCGAACTCTGAAAACCTCGCAATGAAATCAGAAAAACTCGTATCAAAAAGTGTCAATCGCCAAATCTCAATCCATTGCGATCCACAAGTGGCCCGCCATTTTCAATTTGTTGTACTGGTATGCATGGCGCATTTGATTCATTCCCAACGACACAATTTTCTACAGTATTGCATTGCTATTACCTACAAATATGATTTTGACGATGAAAGAAGACATAAAAAAGAGAAGGTGGAAGGCCATGCATGATCCATTTACGGAATGAATGAATCAATGAATGAATCATGAATCGAAACGAAACGAAACGAAGCACCGTGGGTGAAATTGAAAAAGGGAGTTTCTTATCGACAGCACAGCCCATTGTTGTAAGGATGCATTTTCAATCCATAGATTAATTTGAGAGATCAACGTTGGATTGTCGGTCGCCAAAAAAGCCTTCGTGGATGCTCCTTTTTGTTGTTTGGTCTGGGGGGATGTTCTTGTCAGCTCAAGAATAATAGTAAGACTAGCAATTGGAGGAAATGATGGGGGAAGATCAAATTTGGGCTCATCAACAACAAGTAGCGGCGCCCGTACGAGGCTCGGACGATACATCGGTAGACTGGATGGCAGTTGGACCAGAACTCGGATGGTGGGGGCAGCTGTCGTCCAGCTCGAATGATCACAATATTTGGCACCAAACGAGTTTCCACCAGTCCCAACAACAACAACTTGACAGACTGCCACAGAAATCAAAGCGGCTTCAACAAAACTGATTTTCGTATCTTCATGAAAAAGGAAAAATGCACTCCTAGCTGTGGTATTTCAAACTGCCGCAACATCACTCACTTTGCACATGACGCGATCAACAATTGCTGCAAAGCCTCGTCCACATTACGTATCACCTCACTCTTTGGCAAACATACTGTAAGAGTACCCACCAAATCTGGGAGCCAGACTTGCCTGGAAAATTCAAGCATGAACGAATGGAAAGATACCAATAAGTCTTTCCCATGACGAAATCCAAAGAATCAAGATGGGTTTTCCGATGATTGCCAACGAGGAAGATCAAGCGTGAACGATGTAAGTAAATCGTAAAGCTAAGAAGATATTCATCACTATAATGGAATACATAGAAGAACCCATGTCACAAGTTTTGTTCGTGGCATAGATATATAATAAATCTTCCACAAGGTAATGGCCGCTACCGGTCGGTAAATTCCATGATCGAGTACTGTTTCCATCCGGATTAGAACACGATTTCGGCCTATGGTATTTGAACCTCCTGAATATTATTACCGGTACGCATGCAACTATTTTTTCTAGCTAGCACAGGAGGGTTGTACTTTTGTGGGCTGATTCAATACTCCTGATTTGATATCGCGAGTGAGTAGTAATGTACAGTAGCATCTTTGCGAGCTACTACCTAAATAAGGAATAACATAATATATACGTTGAATCTGAAATACTACAGTAGAATACAAGACGACCACGTGTCAGCAAGGCAAGACGACCACGTGTCAGCAAGGACAAAGTCTCAGACTTTTTGTTTGTTTCAAAAGAAACGAGTAATGTGTACACGTAAAATGTGGGAGCTTCTGCTCAAGATTTTTCTAGGTACACATATTAAAAAATAACGGTGCACAAATTTTTTAAACGAAGGAACAGATGTTGTACAGGGCATTTGGTACTGGATGAAAACACTTATTGGGTCGTGCGCATAATATGATTCATTCAGTGCATGAATGAATCAATCAATCATGAGCGCGCATCTCGCAATCTCAATATATAAATCATTGCGGTTATAATGGATCCCGAGTAAAATGCAAACCATCCTTTCTTCATTCAACATATACATAAAACAAATCGATTTCTCGATCTTGTGATCATGAACATGAATGCGCAATCTTGGATTTGTTGTCTCATTGTTGCTTTCTTCAACTTGACAGTTGTAACAGGGAATGCATGTGATGATAAATTGAATGAGCTAACAACAAATGGCAGCTCCTCTATTTTGTCCGAGGCTTGCACCGCACCAGACGGTACATCCTCGTGTCCTTTAGGATGTCGAGAAAAGTTACAAGAGCTTCTCACTGCCTGTGATAATCAGGTCTTTGATTTCAGTTTACTCGTTGAAACAATCAAGTGCGATGACTTCAACGTCTGCCAAACCGTGACCGATGACGTTTACGGTGCCTACTCATATCTCTGTCCCGATGATGGATCCACTTCAGAATGTAGACAACCATGTGTGGATATCCTGAATGCTCTTGAAAGTGCTTGTCTGGAACCAGATGGATACATTCCACCAGAATACTTCCTCGATACACAATTTGGGCATCCTGCTTGTAAACAAATTGCCTTCGACAAAGCAATCGAAAGATCAAGAGGTTGTGGGGACTGGGCAGAAATTCAAAGCGTTGGATTTGGCAATTTGTGCACTGATCAGTGCACGAGCAGCTGCGTGGCTGTGATTGATAACATGTTTGATCAGTGCGATACTCTGCCTGGTTTTGTCGTAGAAAACTTGGTTCCATTGTACAACGCCGACTGTCAAGCTGCCTTCATTGCAAACGACATAACGAGAGAGATTGATAATCTAGGGAGCTACAACTGTGCAGAAATGGTCGAGTTCTACGGTAAAGCATCGCAGTACCTGTGTACTGCCGAGACTCTTTCATTGACCGTAGTGGGGAACAATGGGCTTCCACAATCTGCATTTCCTCTGGGTCTATGTCAAGGAGGTAAGAGTGACATTAATTGGCTCATTTTGCTTTGGTTCGAAACCCTTACCCATAGTACAATGAACTTTAGATTGCGACGACGATTCCGACTGTGAACACGGATTGATCTGCTTTCAACGCGATAGTAATGTCGCTGTCCCCGGTTGCTCCGGCGGATTGGATGATGCAAGCCTGAGCGACTACTGCATTCGTCCAAGCTCTTCCCCTGCTGTTCCATTGAATTTGGTGGGGAACAATGGAATTCCAGCATCCGCATTTCCGCTTGGGCTATGCCAAGGAGGTAAGAATTGCATCCACTGAGCTTTCGTGTTGTTCAAAACCCTTACCCATGATACAATGAACTTTAGATTGCGACGACGATTCCAACTGTGAACCCGGGCTAGTATGCTTTCAACGCGATAGCAATGTCGCTGTCCCCGGTTGCTCCGGAGGATTGGATGATGCAAGCCTGAGCGACTACTGCATTCGTCCAAGCTCTTCCCCTGCTGTTCCATTGAATGTGGTGGGGAACAATGGAATTCCAGCATCCTCATTTCCGCTTGGGCTATGCCAAGGAGGTAAGAATTACATTCACTGAGCTTTCGTGTCGTTCAAAAGCCTTACCCATGATACAATGAACTTTAGATTGCGACGACGATTCCAACTGTGAACCCGGACTGGTATGCTTTCAACGCGATAGCAATGTCGCTGTCCCCGGTTGCTCCGGAGGATTGGATGATTCTAGCCTAACAGACTACTGCATTCGTCCAAGCTCTTTCCCTGTTAGCACTGGTGATTCCGTTGCGACATGCGATCCATTGTGCTTGAATGTCCTTAATGCTCTGGAAAGAGCTTGTCTACAACCAGACGGATACATTGCACCGGAATACTTCCTCGATAGCAAGTTTGGCAATCCTACTTGTCAAGAAGTTGCCTTTTCGAAAGCAATCCAGAGATCGAATGGTTGTGGAGCCTGGACCGAAATTCAAAGCGTTGGGTTTCGTGAATTGTGCTCTGAAGAGTGTACAGAGAATTGCGTCACTGTGATTGAAAACATGTTCGACCAGTGCGAAACTGTGCCTAGTTTTGTCGTAGGCCTATATCCAGGCTACAATGCGGATTGCCGAAGAACTTTTGAGTGTTTGGACAATCCAGCATCCTGTACTCGGAAGTTATCGATATCCTCCACTACTGCAGAGTTGAACGATTCCTCGTCTGCTTTACCTGGGCTTTCTTTCGCGATGATGCTGACTGTGTTGGTTGAAGCTTGCATCCTGCTTTCAATTATCATTGACTAGACAATTCATATTGATGAAACAAACCATAAACCACCTTCGATATCAGTGAGGAGCTATATGTACATCAATAGGGTAGATTATTGGCTTGGTTTTAGCATTTCCTAGAATCGATCTATCGAAGAATGTGTCTCGCGTACGAAATACTACTCTATAATAGCTACGACGGTTATCAGATAAATAATCCAGTATTGTTATTCTCCTTTCCCTTCTTCGTCCACATCGAAACCTTTGGTGGCGGCTGGGGGTCCTATGCAATCGCGACGAGCACAAGTCTGTGGCCCTTCCACCTAAGCTAGGAAAAAAGTTTCCAGACGAAGTTCTCAAGTACTGCTCGGAATTGAAGGGTATCGCATCGCAATTCCAAAATCCATTGCCGTTGGAAATTCTTGGTCTTTTCAACGTAGCAGCAGCAGCAGGTTTATTCATTTACTAGACCTTTCGCGATGTAACTGTCACACACACAACACAACGCTACTATTGACTGTGAAAGCGTCGATGCCTAGGCATCATACGACTGGACAAAAAGACTACAGTACCTACCGGTAGTACTGTACTGGTTCGAGGTACCTGCTGTTCATTGATGATCGTGTTTCAACAGTCACGGGGTAAAATAAGCGTATGTACGGCGTCCGCTGGACTTCAGAAGTTTCTCTCCAACGATATATCCTCCAAACCCATCACCAAAAAAAAACATAACAAAGGTACCTGGTACCATACAACCCCCACCCACATACCACCTCAGTCCATAAAATCAACCATGGACTTTGCGCAACCACTGATAGAATCCGAGTCGGTCACTACAAAATCCAAGATCCGTCACATTCTAGTAAAGCCTAGCGAGAATGATGATCCACCAAAACTAGACGACATGTTGGTGGAAGCTGCCAATCAAGCTGCATCGAATGTGTTTGGCAACAACAATACAGATTCATCACAATACCCAGAGCGAGTAATTCCACAATCTGAGAAAATAGAGGAGAATGCATTGGTCGTCATTTTTGAAAGTTTTGATAATCTAGACTTTTGCTACGCCAAAAGTGGGGAGATATTCAACAATCGCAATGGACATTTTCATCATGGTATGTTGTAAAATGGGAGGAGAAAAAATTTCTGAAAATTACTGCAAATATGATTCAGATGACTGACTCATTCGCGTAACTACTTTGTCTTCTTCTTCTCGTTGCTGCATGTAGACGATTTCATTGGAAAACCTTATGGCTCCAAGATTCGATCACGGAACAATCAAGGATATGGGTTTGTATTTTTGCTCAAACCTACTCCAGAGTTGTGGGCTCGCTCTTTGAAACATCGAACCCAGATTGTTCATGAACTTGATGCAAGTATGATTGTCTTTTATCTGAATCTGAGACCGAACATGGTGGTTTGCGAATCGGGAACTGGATCTGGTGCCCTGTCCCACTGTATCATGAGAACGATTGCACCCCATGGCAAACTGTATACTTACGAATTCAATGGCATGCGTGCCGAAACAGCGAGACAAGAGTTTGCAAAAAATAGAGTGGGTCATTTAGTTGAGGTGCTTCATAAGGATGTATGTGGTAAGCACGGTCCTGGGGGTTTCGACCGTCCACAAGCATCTGTGGATGCCATCGTTCTAGACTTGCCAGAACCTTGGGCAGCAGTGCCGCACTGCGGGCACATACTGAAACCAAATGCTCGGCTGGCTTCGTATAGTCCTTGTGTGGAACAAGCGCAAAGAACCATTGAAGAATTGAAGAAATGCGGCTTTCACAGCATCAAGACTATGGAATTCCGTTTGAAGGAACATTATGTAGACGAAGTGGAGTACGACCCTCCACCCAGAGAAAAGCGCCCGAGACTACCCACTCATCTTGGCCCTACAGGCAAATCAAACACAGGGACAAAGACTGCAACCGATGCGGAAGCAGAAAAACAAGAGCAGGAGGAGGAGGTGACGAAAGGCCAACCAGCAGCCACCGACCAAGCTTCCAGTGACAATGCAACCGCTGGGTCCAAACGAAAGAAGCTTCTAGTAACCCGACCTTTTGCGATGATGAGAGGGCATACTGCCTTCTTGACCTTTTGCACAGCTGGTAACACGCCACAACCCGATCCAAACCAATAATCAGAGTAATAGACCACGCACTGCGTAGAATTCCAAAGATGTTTGTGCGTAGCGGACAGACGTCCCTTTTTTTATATGATGTCATTTTGAAAACGAACGACGCTGTGTTATTTTACCCGTCCAAATAACCAAGAGGTTCAAATAGAGCCAAATCAATAGTTGTATTGAAACCTAGCGAGTTCGGGCATAGAGTCAGTTGAATATGGTGCACTTCCATCTCCTCTGTCTTGGTCTTGTATTCTCCGTTTCGTCAGCCAGCGAATTGAAATGTGCCACTGGACTCGATGGCAAAGAGGCAGTCATTCCAGAGTCTTGGATCAATGATGGGTACTGCGATTGTCCATTTGATGGTAAAGACGAACCAAATACAGAGGCTTGCTCAGGTTCGACATCATGGCCTGGATTGAAGACTGATGGAGTCGTCGTGGATGCTGCAAGCAGGTGAGTAAGAAGAAACCATCGTCTAGACCCAAAGTCGGCACTTTTTCATTTTATATCCTCGTTCTCATTGCCTACTTTTTCCTTGACTGCCCCTGTTTAGCCCCGCTTCGCCGGGCTTTCAATGCTCCAAACAGACAAAGGTTATACTACCGCTATCTCGTATCAATGACGGAATTTGTGACTGCTGTGACGGGGAAGACGAAGCGGAGGGTCTTTGTCCGGATATCTGTGAGGAACTGTTCCGGGAAGAACGCGAGGCACGAGAAAAGTTGGAAAAGAATTTCAAATCGGGATACAACAAACGGAAGCACGATTTGTATAATTTCAAAAAGCTGCGGCAAGAGAAATTGCAGGAGGCTGTCGAGAAGGAAGCCGAGATCGCATCCATTGACAAGGAAGAAAGCGAAGCACAAGCGTCCATTGATGAATTGCGAGACGCCTATGCAAAGGAGCGTAAAGCAGCAGCGAACTTGATGGCCAAGAGCCTTGCGGACTTAGTGGATCCACTGAGCGAAGACGAATTGAAGAAGCTGATTATCCACTCATGCCAACTTGCAGGCGAAGTGTCGGACGAAGATGCGGATACTTGCGTTGCTTTGCGATTGTCTGCTCTGGACACTGTTGGCTCTGCATGGAGTGATGATAGTTATGCTGATGATGTGGAAATGGAATTTTCAACAGATGACCAAGATATCGCTGAGATGTTGCTCCAAAACTCCATTGAAACATATTCAGTCAAGTATACATTGGACGAGTCTAATAGACGTCGTCTTGACGAATACCATGGAGACTATGATTACGACGGCGAATTCGACGATGATCATTACGATCCTCACGATGACGAAGACGACTACGGAGAGGAAAGCTATGAGCCCCCATCGCCATCAAAGTATTCAGACAGGAAGAGAAAGATTTATGCATCACGGGATGTCTCCGAGAAGGAACAAGAAGTGATTGACGAGTTGAAGGGATCCAAGTTCTCCGAATCGCGAGTGAAGTACTTGACTCGATCCAAGATTCTAGAAGAAAAAATCAACAATGTTCTCGATGCAGCGGAAGAAGCAGCCAAAGCGAAGGAAGAAGCAGCCAAAGCGAAGGAAATAGGAGAATGGGACGATTTGAACAAGGAGGAAGGTGAAGCTGAAAGTGAAAGTGACGTCGCCGAGGAAGAAGAAGTCCCAACCATTGATACTGAAGCGTATAATGCCATCAAGGAAACGCTCGAAGCCACAGAGAGGAAAATTACAAAAGGTTTCCGATGGGGGGCTTCAGCAAAGCTCTTCTTTTCCAAGTCTTCTTCGACAACCACTCTGGATGGCCTCAAGTCGCTTGCTATTGGAACTTTGCTGCACGGCAACCTTGGGGCAACTCATGTTTGGGAAGTGTTGCAATCCGTTCTGCCGGAATATGAACAAGGAGCTGAAGCATCGTCGGATACCTGCGCTGCGGCATTACCAATCTCTTGTCCTCCAGCCCCTATTACCCGCAAGGGCATTTCATATCCACCATCATTTATCGTAACCGCTGTCGAAGCACTCTGTATGGAACAAGCAACCATGGATGTCGATGAAAGCACTTGTGCTGAAGAAGGAGCCTCGGATGAAATTCCAGAGTCAGTCTCGGATGGGCTTTATGGATATTTCAGTCCATCTCCACGACAAGAGACCGATCCATTGATGGCATTCTTCTCTCCACTGTTGCTACTAAAGGCTGATAAGGATACTTATGATAAGCATATGATGACAAAAAGAGACCTGAACACGAACAAAAAGAGAATCGAGCGTCTGATTACAGATCTGTACAAGGACATTGGAGGAAAAGATGGTGATGGAATGGGTCCCAGTGGCGAACTGTATTCCATGGCCAATGAATGTTTCAGCGTTGACGCTGGCAAGTACACGTATGAAACTTGTATATTCAAGGAAGCTAAGCAAAAGGAAGGCTCTGGAGGCGGCGGTACTGGCCTTGGAAAATGGACTGGCATGGAGCTCGACGAAAATGGGACCCGTGTGATGAAATGGGAAAATGGTCAAAAGTGCTGGAATGGTCCAATGCGATCCGCTACGGTATATGTAACTTGTGGTCCCGAAACTAAGTTGATATCCGCCGACGAGCCTGATACTTGCTGCTACGTATTTGAGATGGAAAGTCACATTGCGTGTGACGAAGCCTACAAGGCCAAGATGGGATTGGATAATCTTGAAGGCTAAGCGGAGTAGAAAGAAGCAAGTGTCGTAACGAGTGCTATCTAAGTCACAAAATATAGAATTGTATCCCCAAAGACTGATGTAGTATGTATTAATACGTGTATGCTGTATGTAGTTGGACTTGCAGTTCAAACCCACAGAACTACAGTACTACTACTAGCTAGCTAGCTACTGTAGTAAACGCACAACACTGACTGAACACACTCGACCACAAATGATACGTCGTCCGTCCTTCGACGCTTGGAATTCGGTCACCCTCCATTCTGTCTTTGGTTTTCTTTGGCTGTGACGTCACGTTTTGAACCGAAGAATGGCAAACCTTCGGCCGTTTCTTCAAGTTGGAGCATTGCGATTGGTCGGCGCAAGATTTTTTTAATTCGATGGCAAATCCAACTCGAGTTCCTTCGACTTTATCTTTGACGATCCGAAGTTCATATTTTATCGAGTGAGGGTTCACCTACAGTAGTACATCAGCAAGCAAGACCAAATACGAATACAAACTACACAAACACTGACATTCATTCAGAAACCTTACACCATACTGAAGCAGAATGACAACGCTAAGGTCAAGGCGGCGACGAATGAACGTGGTTCTTGCCCTGTTGCTCACTTCAACATACACATCATCAGCATTGTCTCCCTCTTCAGAATCACCAAAGCGGTCAAGACGAATAAGTGAATCATCAACGTCGATAAGTCAACCAACAAGCTCACGACTATCTTCAACCGCAGCAGCAGCTCAAGACGGAGAAGGTGCGAATGGTTTCATCTAAGATATATGCTTAGAAGGCATGCTGATGTTGATGTTGATGTTCCTCACAATATGCTGTTTGTTCTCTTTTTGATTTTCTTTGGCTCATCTGAAGTAGGCCAAGCCGGTCGTCAATCATCGCGGTATGTTGCCCCCAGTGCACCACTTGTAGATTCCGCATTATTGCGATTTGTATCCGCTGAAAAGAAAAAGAGGGAAGCGATCAGCACTAGTCTTGAAAAGGCGAGCTTATCCTCCATCTATGGTGGAGCGGACGAGGATGATTTGGGACCACCAGCAACGGCAATGCCAGAAGAAACGGGAGACGAGAATGCAGTGGCATCTGCAGAGCTCCCATCCAATTCAGTGGAGGAACCATGGATGGCCCAATACAATCGCAACCGAATAGCTAGGGTATTGGAATCGCTGGGAGTGGAAAAAGAGCTTTCGATGCAAGCAGGTGACAAGGTTCAGGAATACATACTAATCAGAATGACAAGGAGAAGGGTGAGAGCATTCTTAAAGGAACGAGCCTCGCGGTGGTCGGCTTCGTACAACAACAATGAAAATACTGAAAACAACAACAATAACGCATCCACGACCGCCTGGAATGAGGTTCGAATACCGTCAATAGAACCAGTTCGTCTAAACTATGGATTTGATGATGTGCTGGAAGTCTTTCAGGAATATGGATTCACAGGGAACGATGTTTGTTCGATTTTGACACACAGTCCAAGTTTGGCTTTGATGATGCCCAGACCATCCTTTGCAGATGAATCAGAAGCCCTGGAAGGCGGAACCCTATGTCAATCTCTGGACCGGGCCTTTCGGGGAACCCTCATGAAAACCTTGGGTCTCCGAAAATACGATGCTCGCAAAGTATTGCGAGACTGCCCTGGGCTTTTGACCGCCAAGGGTTCCAAACAGGCAGAGCAAATTGTTTCCATGATGGCGGCGTTGGGGGTTTCCAACTCGGCCATTGCCCGTGATAAGGCTGGCCTGCCTTCCCTATTGTCAAGATCGCCATCTGATATGTTTCGTCTGATTTCCTTTTTGAGTAGTGGTCAGATCCGCATGAAGCCCAATGCGATTGGTCCCTTGTTGCGCAAACGGTCGAGCTTGGAACTCTTGGATTTGGTGGCACCCGTCACAGGTTCCGTCCAAGGCAAGACCCGAGACGAGCAACGAAAGATGACGGACGAAGTCTATCGGAAAATGTCAGAAACCGTTAGACTCATCAAGGACGAAATTGGAACCAGGGATATGGGCAAGGTCATCTCTGCCTTTCCACCAGTGCTACTTTTGGACGCGGAGGAGCAGATTTTGCCAGTGACGGACTTTCTGATGGACTATCTGGAGATTGATCGGGAAGAAATTGCTAGTGTCATGCAGCTATATCCCGTATTGCTCAGCAAAAACGTTGACGAAATGAGGTGGACAGTGGCATACGTCTTGTCATTGGGTGTGGATCGGGATGACATTGGAAGCATCTTTCGTGCATTCCCATCTCTTTTGACAACAGATGTTGAGGAGAGTATGGAACCAGTGGTGGACTATCTTCATTCTATTGGGGTGACGAATATTGGAGCCTTTGTGACCAAACTTCCTCCAGTTCTGACATATTCCGTGGAAAAGGATTTGAAACCGAAATGGAATTACTTTCAACGAGTGTCTCTGAAACCAAGCTTCGAATTGGAAGAGTTCCCCGCTTATTTCTCCTACCCACTTGATCGAAGAATCAAGACACGCTATGATTATTTGGCGTTCAAGGGCATTTCCAAACAGTTGATCCCTGTGGCAAAAGTTCTTCGATTCGGAGATGTTGACTTTGCCAACACGGTAGCCAGAGATGATGATGGCGGTGAAGAATTTCGAGAATTCTGTGAACGTCATTGGAAGGGTCAAGCGATTCCAGTAAGAAAGCAGCGACCGAAACCAAACGCTAGACGCACTGGATTTTCCAAGGAGGAATTGAGACGTCGGAAAAAGAAGCAACTGGAGAAGGTACAGAAACAACAACAGCAGCAGCAAGAGGAGTCGTCTTCTCAACAATGATGAATGTGGAGAACCCTACTGGACATAGAAACTTTTGTAAAAATAGAAAAGCAAGTAAAATAGATCCAAAACCGAGTACTTCGAGTATGGTAGCACACGATTCTACAGTGGACTAGAGACAATGGAATCTATCACGATGCCAAGAGGAGTGAGTCGTCTTCTTTTCGTTGCAAAGAAAATCGGTCTGGTCCAAGTAGTCGTATTTACTGACGTATGCCTTCCGATCTCAAGGGCTGAACGCACGGTTCTTCGTGCATCGACGATGTGGCAAATCTTGCAACTTTGAGGTCTGCCTGCGAATATTCAACTGCAGCAACATCCAGCATATAAGAATAAGTTGACCATGAAGATCTCTACTGCAGCCATCCTTCTTTCCCTTTACGGTGCTTCGGCTTACTCCGTCACCCGATCCAGCCTTCGCTCGTTGGGACAAAAGACCGTCAAGGCCAGTTCTCCCAGCCGAAGTGTTGATCCACAAATGAAAATGGAAGGTGAGCCATACGATTGCGCTTGTAGTGTGGAACAACTTTGAATAGACGTATTGCAGGTGGTGTGTTTGGCTAGTGTTCTACGAATAGAGTCCATTTGGAAAATATATGGAGTTTGAGAGACGATTTTTATTATATGTTTTCCTCCCATCCGTCAAGTGCTGCTTTCTGACATGGTTCTTCTTTGTTTATTATCGTCGTTTAGATTTCGGTTTCTTCACCAACAGTGGCATCGGTTTCGATGACCTTTGGGGTGGAGAAGAGTGCATCTCTGAAGTTGGTCTTGAGAACCGCCTCAACAAGGACGGTCTTCGTTACAAGATGAACCGCACCCCTGAAGAAGAGGTCGATGGATTGGACTTTCTTCCTGAGGTCACCCTCAACCTCCCCATCATTGGAGAGACCAGAATTGGCCCCCCAAGAGTTGGAAGCATCTGGGAAGCCCTGGGTTTCACCGCCACTTCCAACAACGAAGCTCGCCAACAGGAGAAGCTAAAGGCCATTGCCAAGGCCCGTGAATCCAAGAAGGGAGTTTTGAACGGACCAGGTGCCGAAATCCGCGCCAAGTGGTTGGAGAAGTATGGATACCCTCGTTTGGTAGGATCTGGAGGTATCTTCTACGCCGATCAATTGTCCACCGATAAGGAACCAATGGGTGGATTCAACATGGGAAAGTCTGGAAGCATCTGGCCTGTCCCTGATGTTGTTGAGGAAGGACAATACGGAGGAAACAAGGGATGGGGAATGAAGAAGGCCGGCCCAGCTATTGATGGTCTTCCAAAGGCCAAGCTCTAAACTGCTTGCTGTTCTTCTATTTAATACGAATACGATTCATTCCTTTTCCTGTCTTGTTGGACACAAACGACAATTACGCATAGTATGATAATGTGCGATTTCACTGTACTGTAAAGATACAAGCTAACTTAACCCTTCGACATTTGGAATTCATGGAGTTAATTTATGCAACCGTACTATAATTTGAAAATGAATTATTAGTGAGACGTTTCTCCACAATACTGTACTGTACCGGTAGGTAGTGGAATAATGGTTACTCCTTTCACTTTCAAGAGTAAAGGAAATAAAGTACCTAAAGAAGCGAGCAGCTGTGTGTTGACTGATCCGACCCCTCAACGAAAGTACGTGTCCTAATGAGACACGTCACTTGCGTGTCTTGGCAATTTCAACAATCCAAATCGAACAAAGGCTTCAACGATCGAACCAACCAAAACTTAGGAAAAAAATACGTCAAACGCACAACTTCACAACAGACACCTGCGTCGACAATTAAATCACTGTTCAAGCCCCAGCAGCAGTCGCTAGCTATACTATTTCTATATCTACACAACGAGTATGAGAGCAATGGTGAAATTCGCCCAGCTACTCCTTCTGCTGATTCCAATCAGTGCCAGTTTTTCCTTGGCGTCAAACCAGCAATGCAAGACTTGCAAGACTGCCAATGTTATGTTGGCGAGAGGTGGATCCCAACTTACAAGAGAGCGCTCTTCTGGAACAAAAGATAGCACCAAGTTACATGCTGCAGACGCATCATCGACTGTTTCACTCTATGAAAATGCAAATTCGGTAAGTTCTGAACCACACTTCTGCGGTATCAGTCGAATTTTTTTGTTGGAGATTCAACTGACGTTGGCTTTTTTCAAAATTCTTCTGTTTTGTGCATACAAAGGAGAGTAGACCGCTCAGAGTCCTTTTTCTCTCTGCCGATACTGGAGGAGGTCATCGGGCTTCGGCTGAATCTCTTGCAAAGCAGGTAGGATGACTTCATTTGACAAAACTGAGGGATCTGAATCTTATTTTTTTCTCACACGAATCTGTTTGACATGAATTGTCGTCTGCAATCCTTTCAATACATCGCTTCTTTCAGTTTCTTTTGCAATTTCCAGGAAGCACCTATGAACTAGCCGACTTGTGGACTGATCATGGAATACTACCCTACAGAACGCTTGTCAACGCCTACAAACACTTATCGTCGCATCCACGACAATGGAGACTCTTCTACTGGCTTTCCAACAACAAGTTGAATGAAATCTGGACCAACACTCATTCTAGCTTCTTTTGTGCCAAACCAATTAGAGAACGCATCAAGTCCTTTGAACCTGATGTCGTTGTTTCCGTTCACCCCACCATGAACTACGTCCCATTGCGACAAACTAGAAAGATTAGCAAGGAGCTCGGAAAGCACATTCCTTTCTTCACTGTCGTCACTGATTTGGGATCTGCTCATATTACTTGGTTTGAAAAGAATCCTGATAAGCTCTACGTGGCCTCGGATCGTCTGTACAAGTGTGCTCGAAGATGGAAGGGAACACCTGAGGAAAACCTTGTTCTAACAGGACTACCAATCCGTCATGGTTTTGGAATGGAGGCAGAGAAGCTAGGAGATCGTACTACTGAAGCCGGCAAGGCATACCAAAGGGATACTAAGGAGTCACTTGGAATTGACAGTTCCAAACCAATGGTGTTGGTCATGGGTGGTGGCGAAGGTGTTGGCTCGTTGTCTGAGATTGTGGATCAGCTTTACGCCAAACTGACAAAGCAAGGAGTGGATGCTACTATTTGCGTCGTCTGCGGACGTAATGAAAAGCTACTAAAGGAGCTGGCAACAAAGGATTGGGAGAGTGTATTGGAAGAGGATGACACGAAGAAAAAGGGAAAACGTGGGTTTTTCAAATTCTTGAAGACGCGGAAGAAGACCAACAAGTTCATTCAACAGGCCATGAAGCGGGCCGAAGAGACAGCCAGCGAACCAAATGGGAAGGGAAATGTCGATGTTGTTGGTTTGGGATTCATCACCAACATGCCGGAATACATGGTCGCTGCCGATATCCTTGTGTCCAAAGCAGGACCAGGAACAATTGCTGAAGCTGCAGCCGTAGGTCTTCCGTGTATGTTGACAAGGTACGTTTGGAGGAAACCATGGAATATTGTATCTACTTGTTCTGCAACGCTGACCGAAACATGTTTCCTACTTTCAGTTTCTTGCCTGGCCAAGAAGCGGGAAACGTCGATGTCGTTTTGGAATCCGGGTTTGGTGACTATTGTGAGGACCCTCCGCAAATCGGCACTGAAGTTGGCTATTGGCTTCAAGACGCCGATTTGATGCAAACAATGAGCAGAGCGGCCACGCAAGTAGGAAATCCCTATGCTGCTGACGATATCGTCCGAAGCATCGGCTCGCAAACTGTTGCTTGGATGAATCTGAATGAAAAGTAAAGCGATTGCATCGCGGCGCTTTGGTTCTCAGTGCCAAGTCGTCCATTACGCCCATGGTTTGTATCTGTGATTTTCAGTGAAGACTACATTTTTTGTTGCTCTCTCCTACCACAATTGAGAGCGTGTTATATTTGTACAGTACTTTGGACTTGCTCCTCACCCTCCAATCGAGCTGTTTGGCGGGGATCCATTCGGCAAACAATTATTTCGTGGCAGCGTTGACGTCTACAATCGGTCACGGTGATATCCCTCCAAGAATAGGCTGGGTTACAGCGCACATGGAACTCTGGGATAGAGAAAAAGCTAATACACATACATAGATCCATGCTGTAGCATTTTTTAAATTGACTTTATTCTATTCTATTGAGTACGAGACTTTTTTACTTCAACTATCTTAGCAGCAGCTGGAGTTGATTCTGTCTATTTGATTCGACTGATGCAAGTCGCCTTCTCGGTTTTGTCGTAAACCAAGAAGGACTGAGCCAATGATTGACCCGCTTTGCTGGCAGTCGAATCTTGACCGTGCCCTTCAACGAAGCCAAGCTTCTCAAAGTAGTGCCTCCTTCCTCGGCGGGATCTGTTGCGTGTGGAACGAACTTTGCGGTCTTCGGATGCCACATGACATATTTGTTCAGAATCTAGTTCCAATACGGACACTCGTTTAAGCATGGGTAGCAACTCCAGAATATATGTTGCGCTCGTCTTGTTTTCAGCTACTGATGGAGGAATCACGTATGTCTGTCGGTGGCGTTGAAGTCCTCTCATGCAGGCTGTCAGTTCGTAAGCTTCTAGCAAGTGCTGCTTTCGGCTCGTATTGAAGAGAGATTCGTCAAATGAAAGACAGTTGCTGGATTTCCCCCCGACACTTTGTCGAATCAAAGACGGAAGTGACAATACCAACGAGCATGTTTGCTGAGGTAGGTACTTGTCTTCAGGCATGGAGAGTGTTGTTTCGGTCGCCAAATCTTCGATGTTGATTTCATCTTCTCCTTCTTCCTTCGACTCACTCGGAGCTGGAGCCGCGGCATGATACTCGTGCCCCCGGGAATACAGCATTTCTGAGTTTATCAATCGTCGCTCCAATGCAGTGTTTGGATGGACCATGTAGGTTTCGGTATTTCCAAAGAAATAGCAATTATCCTTCCATTGCAACTCGTAAAGCTTTTCTTCTCTCGGTCTACATGAAATGCAAATGAGTTCTGACATTGGATGCTGACAATGAGAACGAAACAGAAACAAAATTTACTCACGGTCGAAGCTGCTCACTCATCTTCATTTTTCCTTTTTCACATTCCGAGCCATCAGTCAAATCAAACCCATATCCCTGACAAGCACCAGACAAAGATGGCACGCCATGCTGAAGGTCATCTAAGAGTGCTGCATCACTCATATCGTAGGCGTTACAGGCAAGCATTTCCAAAGCTGAGAGGGCTTTATCACGGGACTCCGAATCCGGCTCCACTGACGCCTTCTCATCTGCGCTTTGCTCTACAGTGATACTGTTCCACGATTCCAATATACTCTTGTCCTCTTCTATTTCTTCCTTCGGTGCAATGGAAACTTTCGATTCTTCCTTCGGTTTCCCTCCTCCACTTCCCTCAAATTCGATCTCCTCATCGTCGTCGTCATCGTCATCCTCTTCTTGTGAGATTTCGGCATCTTCATATTGCAACCAAACACACTTGCGGCCATTGACTTTTGATTCACCAGGTAGATCTAAAGTCTCCACGCTATTGCAGCCAATTGCCCCGCCATTTGAAAGTTGGATGGAGATTGGTTCGAAACTTCTCGATGCTTGTGATATTGGTGGGCAAAGCATTAGAAGATTTTCGTCGTCCACCACGTGGGCTTTGCAAGGTGTATCTCCCAGTAAAATCTTCCACTCCCCCTTGAAGCGTTGAAGATAATCGAAGTTCTTCCCGTGGATAGTCACAATGGAGTGCTTCTTCCTCGAAACTCTGTTCAGATTCAATGAATCCATATGAGGAAGTTGTACAGATGCTGACCACTGCAGATCTGATAGAAGGTCTGTGGAATTGGTCTCATCCGTTTGATTGCACTTGTTGTCACTTGCCAAATCGGGTACCGGATAGCAGAAGGATTGCAGCTCGTTCAGCATCCGTCGAACATCGCACCCACAGAGTTCTGCGACGTGGCAAAGTCGGCTTTTGATTTCATCTCGATCCTTCTTCAATTCGGGTCTCATTGGAATTCCCTCTTGTCGGCAAACTTGTAGCAGTTTGGTCATGCACTCCTCAGGCGACGGCTTTGGAAGGTCCCAGTGGTGGAATCTCGGCAGTTGGCGCATTTGGGGCGGCATTTTGTTGGCAGTCACAAAGATAGGACATTTGGCAGTCTTGGTCAAGGATCCCAAGGCATTCCAGAACCCCGCATCCCCTTGTTCCTCAAACAGAAAATCTACCTCATCGATCAAGATAACCGTCAATGGTGATGACTTTTTCGAATGATCACCATTTCCATTATTCTCTTCGTCATCCGAATCTTCTCCAAACGGTGACTGCATCAACTTTCGTGATTGCCGTTGAATCATATCCAGGGACGAACAACTCTGAGTGGCTTCTTGAATGGCATGCTTGAGTGCGGCACCCCCACGAGCTTGGGTCGTGTTGATTTCCAACACTGGGCACTGACATTCGCTTGCCACTTGGTGCACAAGCGACGTCTTTCCACTCCCCGAAGCTCCCGTCAACAATACGAGATTTCCCAACTCTCCATCAAATCCAAAATCATCATCGACCCACAAGTCGTCATAGTCGTCACTGTTAGCCTTACTGCGACTCTTTTTCTTGGCGCGAGCTTTGGGTCGTTTGGCCAATTTCCGTTGGCGTTCCATCATGCGCTTCCAAGCCTCCTGTCGGACATCACACCAGGCACGGACCCATTTGGCCAAATCCAGTTTGATTAGTTGAATCGATTCTCCCACCAGGTTGGTCGAGTATTGATCCACCAAGAGTTTGTCCAGTTTGGTTGGTGGTGGCAACAGTACGCGGTGCATGGCGTTTTGAATGGAATGCTCCTCCGAGGCATCTGGTAGACAATCCAAAGCAGATGGTTGCGACACTAACTTTTGGTGAGAGACAGTCTCTGATGATGATGAGGAGGAGGAGGAGGAGGAGGAGGAAGCATCTGCAGTGTCCATGGACCGCTTCCATTCATCGGCGACACAAATTTGGACTGGATCCAAAACATCAGGTGTTTCCATAATGTGACTCGGTACCGGAAACCGTGGCGCCAAGGGCAGAGATAACGTTTTGGTTTTGGTGGTGGCGGTTGCACTTGTACTAGCTTTCCGCGCCTCGAGCAGGCCTCGTGCTTGTCGCTTTTGCTGACGCTCCAATTCCTTTTGACGTTCGAGTCGACGCTTGGCTTGGAATTCCGCTTGGCGTTGTTCGGCAATGAGCTCCTTGGTGGGTTTGCTGAATATACCAGCCACGGGCAAGTGAGCATTCTTGGATGATGATGATGAAGAGGAGGAGGAGGATTGGGAAAACGAGGAACAAGTCTGACGATTGATCATGGCCGCCAAGGCATTGGCAACATTTTCAGCATTGTCGACTGTCACTTCGTCTTGTTTTTGAGTTCGTTTACGTTGCTTGGTCTCTTTGGAGCCAATGCATTGTACTTCAAGACTAGCTGTTGCCTTTTTACAAGGAGGTGAATCGTCCAGAATCTCAATCACGCTGCTTTGGCTGAGAGCTGGAATTTGAGACGACGAAGGTGTAGTGGTGTTGCTGGACGAAAGTCCCTTTTGCTTTTTGGCAGTCCGAGGCTGAAAGAAAGCATTGGCTACACCGATCCCGTTCTTGTCAGAAGTACGCTTCTTGCCGTTTGCAGCTCCTGGCTTTCGAGGAGCAAAGAAGGAATTCGTCGGCGCTGTGATTGATTTTGCTTTGGGTTTGCTTTCTTTTGTTTCCTCGCGCTTTGGTTCTAGTTTTTGCGTTTTTTGCACCGATTGCTCAGGCTTTGGGAGCATTTGCGGTTGCTTTTTCTTCTTTTTCTCTTGGTATTCACCATTTCGCTCTCGTCGCTGCTTTTTAGTTTGCACTTCTTGCTGGTCGTTTTGCTGTACAGGCTTGGAGTTTGGAGGTGGCACTTGTTGCTGTTGCTTGGTTTGCCGTTCTGCGTCCTCCTTTACCTTTTGTTGTTGCTCTATTTCTTGCTGCTTCTGGAGTTGCTCTATTTGCTGTGCTTCTGCTTGTAATTTCAGCTTTGCTTGCTCTTGCAACTGTTGTTGTTGTTGCTCCATCAAACGTTTCTGTTCTAGTTTCTTGGCCTTGCGTTCCTTCATTCGTTTTTCACAGTCTTGTTCGTGAGCACAGGCTTTGTCAAAGTCCTCAAAGACTTTGTTCTTGCAGAAATCGCAGCGCCACAGCTTTGTTTTCTTTTCAATCTTTGTGACAGGAGGAGCAGCAGCAACAGCAGTTGCAGTATTAATAGCTTTCTTCAAGCCCGTCTTTCCAGCGGGTCTTAGTTTCAATGATGATGCCGTAGTGTTGTTGGAGGCATCACCACCAGCTTTGGTAAACGGGTTCGACGTGTTGGGAAAATCCAAAGTCATCAATCCAGAACTTGTCATGCCGTTCTTGGATCAACACTTCTTTTGTCTTGTCTTGATTATGCACTTGTCCACCACAAGCCCTCACAAATACACAAACAATAGCAGTCGCAATTTCAAATTGGATGTTGAAAATGGCGCCACTGCAGGTCTCATGGAGGCATGGTGGTAAGAAGTCAGGTTGGTCGACTCTTTCAAACGTAGACGCAGTACTGAAGCTACGAGATTCAAAAATCAAAATTCCTGGCGCGGGGGATGATTGCGAGAAAAAGAGGGGGTATTTTTTGAAATACCTATTGATATCACCCAAAAATATGCCGGCTTTTACACATGCACCAGCCGCGTCAACGGTATTTTGTTAGCTCACACTTTTTGTTGGCGATTCCTATCGCCATATCGCTTCTTTTCTCCACCAACAAAATTGGGTGTCCATCTACCTACAGTAGGAGAGCCAGCATCATATTTACATCAACGAGAGGAACAAATACACTCACATCTCTACCTGCTTGTCAACCAACAACTAAACCAAGCATACTCCTAGTAGAAGACTGACTCCTCGACCCGTAAACCAACAACAACAACAACAATAATAACAAATATCATGCCAGTCATTGCCCCGCCCTCGTATGAACAAAACAAAAGAGCTGGCAGTGCCCTTGAAAATGCCGCAGAGGAACTTTTGAATGGTATTTTCTGCCACTACGAGCCACCTACATCTACCAAGGCCCAAAAGAATGCTGCCAATGCCATCAGAAATAATCCTACTAAATTTCTGTACGAGGAGCAACCCATCAAGCTCGTTCCAAAGAAAAAAAAGGTTGCCAAGGCTGCCACTACGCCTATGTCCGACGCGGAATCAGTTGGATCAGAATATTATGAATCTGGAACTGAAGCTGGAGACTATGAAGACGAAGCATCTCTTGAAGGTGATGACATGGAGGACTTGGACGAAGAAACAAAACTCCTCAAAGTGGACACCTCCAGTAAGAGAGGAATCAAATGGAGAGATGAAGAGAGCAAGCGTGTTGAGACAGAGAAAGCTCAAGCCAAGGCAGCCAGTCGATGGTCTCAATGTGTAACTCTTCCTTGCTTTACTTCTGATGGCCATGATATTCCAGGTACTTTGGAGGATATTCACGACGAGAACGAAGCCCCTCAGGAGCCAACTCCTGTAGCTATTGCTACACCAAGCAAATCGGCTCTCAAGAAGAGAGATGACGGAGTCATGAGGGTCTTGTACGATGATCAAGGAAATCCAAATACCACTCCACGATCTCCTGGGTCCATCAAGAATCATTCCTTCTTTCGCAACGTTACCAACTCGCCACGAGCCAAGTCCGTTGTGGGTGTTGGCGGTATTGGCATGTACGAGCCGAGTGATTACAACAAACCATCTACTCCCAAGGCAACTGGATTCAAGATGCCACGTGACTACACCCCACGAGTACCCCGAGGCCCTCCAGCTCCGCCATCGGATGTTGGTGCTCCATCTCCAAAGGCTGTATCCGTTCCTCCGTCTCCAGCTGCTGTTCCGTCTCCAGCCGCAGTTCCGTCTCCAGCTGCATCCCCTGCTGCTGTCAGAAGACGTCAAGTTCCTATTAGCCCGATGAAGGTGGCTTCTCTACCTGGCTCCCCAGGCGTTTCGGATTACAACTTTGCACAGGCAGTAGCTCCACCATCTCCACGAGTCCGCCAAATTGGTCTACTAGCTGGCTCCCCTGGAATCAAGGACCAAAAAGGTGGACCAGAAGTCATTCGACTTTCCAAGATTGGTCGCACTCCTTCGGGCGCAGTTCCGCAACCAGTCAATACCGTTGCACCTGGGCAATTTGTTGCTTGGAGCGGGGTCGATCCATCCACGACACAACCTGGGAACTACGTTGCCAAGTCTCCCAAGTCCTACATGGCTCCAGTAGCTCCAGTGGCTCCAGTATCTCCAGTAGCACCACCACCTTATGCCGACATTGAAGAACCAGAACAAATGTCCGTCTTGCAAGCCGTACAAATGCTCAACAAGGCCGGATTCAACCCTGGCAAGAGATTCAATCGAGGATTCAGTGCCAAGTCTTTCAGAAAGGCAAAGGCACCACCCAAATCACCCTCCGTCCACCACCATGGATATGCAACCGCAAACGACAATCGTGATTCGTTTGATAGGGAACAAAAGCCTGCGTTTGTTGGAACCAGACGAGTGGCTGCTCCTACCTCGCTGGTTCAATCCTTGAATAACAACAACACTGCTCTCCTCAATGAGATCAGATATAGTAACAGAGCACCAGTCGCTCCCCTGGAACTCAATATCGACATGCGTGACGAATTGGAAATGACCCGTGATCCCACTCCTCGCCAATTGAAGATTCAACAATTGGAAGACAACCTTTATCGACCCAATGGACCTCTCCCACCAACTCCTCGTCGCAGGGAGCAAGAGCCAGAATTTGCCACTCGTCCAACACCTACTGCCCAAAAGCCTCCTCAGCACTTTGTTCCCGTCGGTAATACTAACGACATGGAGCGCACCGCTGCTCCCAAGGAGGCCAAGTCATCCCAAAAGAACAAAAAGGAGAAGGAACAAGAAGTTACTGCTCCAGTTCCAGCAAAGGAAGAAAAGCCAAAGGAAGAAACGGCACCCAAGCGCAGTGTTGAGAAAAAGACACAGTCCAAGCCATCCCAATCCAGATCGGCAAAATCTAGTAGCAGACCTACGCAATCCAAGAAGGAAAAGAAGGGATTCATGAGTGGAATCAAGAAGGGACTCGGCAAGCTCAAGAACACAGTCAATGAGATTGATTCGCAACGCATTGCCGAGCCAACAAACAGCAAGAAGAAAAGTGGTAGCCGTCGATAGACAGAGAGCTGAGCAATGCTTCGTGCCAGCAATGCCAAATTTGTACAATATACAACCATCGAAAGAATGGCCCATCCATCGTCTCGTATCATTCGCTTGCTTGCTCACATTTTGTTTCTTGGAGAAAAAGAAAGAAGGGTAGTCGGGTAGTCTTAAAAATAGCCAAAGGCTACAGTTTTAAAGTTCCAGTTAATGTTTATGTATCGTATTCCAATCTCATCTCTATTTCAATCTTTATTCCAATCAATCTAGGACCAATCTATCATAGGACCTAGCCTATCTACCAACAGATCTACCTATGAATGAATCTGTTTGACTCGCTCAGATTTAGCAGCGGTTGATTGATTTGTGAAAACTGCCCGCTCACCAGAAATTATCTCTTTGCTGTTGATCATTTGCTCCATGATGTTGGCGACACTGTGGCAAGCTATTAGTAGTACTATATCTTGACCATTTCGCAAGTCTAATGCTGCTGGGCGATGATGAAACGAACAGATTTGTCTTTTATTATGTAAAATGATTACACTTGCACCTTTCGATTTACTGGTATTCTTCAGGCAAAGTAAAGGTCGATGCTTCACTCAGCGGTTGCTCTCCCATGTACAGCAAGCCGGTGATTGGCATATGATCCCACAATAGCTGCAGTGTAATATCCTTGCCTCTCAGATCATCACCTTGATCCACCAAAGCATACTTCACAAAAGTACCCTTGTAATTCAGAACCTTGTCTGGGTTCGTAGCTTCGATAATCTTATCATGAACAACAACTTTATTTACTTTCTTCTGTTCCGTCTCATATGAAGCAATCACGTAGACAAAAATTTGCTTGATGTTCCAGTGAAAGGTTGGTGCAAAATCGGCGTGCAGATCAAAGGAGAACAATGCTCGATCGACACCGCCATGCGACTTGAGAGATTTCAAATCCCGCACTTCTAGCGTATGTATGACTATTCATCACGTTGAAGGATACAAAACAGAGAGCAAAGGTGAGCCAAAAATGGAATGGTGCAATGCCAGAAAGGGCCACGGTGGAGGTTTTGTCTTACCCGGTTGATTTGAATAGGAGTGGCCAATTTTTGATATCGCAGCCAAACATGATAGACCGAGCAATACAGTCAAGCCGAAAAAGACAACCGCATTCAGTCGAACCCAAACAGTGTGCATTGTAGTCAATTAGAAGGGAGTATTGGACGACTACTTGAGGTGTTTGTGTTTCAACTGTCCATCATCGTTGACAGCCGGATTGCCGGACAGGTTCCATTATTGGGGAGCGCGACACGTGGAATAAATCCCCCATTTTTTAAAATTGGTTGACTTCTAACACAATAGCAATATTGTAGTAGTATCTTTTTGTCCAGTCGTATAATACTCATACATCGACTCTTTCACATGTAACTAGGCAAAATGATTATTCTAGGGAAAGGTAGCTCATAGCGAGTTTGTTATGTGCTACAGAGAACCCCGATCCATAAATGCCATTACATTGGTCAGCACGATGATGCTGCTTCCACCACACAGCTCTCGCGGGTATGCTTCTGTCTCGCCTTTTCTTCCTCCACTTTCATTTTCCACCTAGCCACTTCCAACAGCGATAGTACCTCCATCTTTTCCCATAATGCCAACTCTTGGAAAATGGAAGCGACTTCGGTAGCTAAACAGCTCGCATCTGCTAGTTGTGCCTTCTTCACTCCCGACAAGAGCTTGTCCCTCTAGCGATCCAATGACATTCGGGGTTTCATAATACTGAGAAACAATGATTTCGTCACACATTCTGCGGTACATGAATGGTTCTTGCACAAGTAATCCAACGGTGTAGTACACCCAAAAACGTCTCGAGATCGCATCATCATATCCACAGAGGATAACGAAAAAAGGTCTTAAAATAGCTTCAGCCATGGTTTGTATGACAGTGCGAGAATATGAAAAGGAGTCATTCCAAAGAAGTCCACTTTGTTGCAAGCATGTGGATCAGCCTTCTTACTGTAATCTTCTGAATGCTTTTAATATTGTTTTGTAGTGTATGGTAGCTTTGAGAATAGCAAGCCCAGTGAAGTGGAAGAGAGTCAAATCGATGTTTCAGCTTGCTGACCAGATCCGGATAGCTATTCGTAAATTCATATGTATAATTTGAGACAATTTGGGAAGTCGAACTCGTTCAGCGCGATCTAATTCGTGTGACGGGGGAAGACAAAAGTTGACAAGAGAATTGAATCCACTTAGGCTGTCTTGATCCTCACGATGCTCAAGAAATTGAAGACGCTTCAAGCTTTCGGGCACTTCCACTGAGAGCAATGAGATACAGTCCGCAAACACACCATATAGTCAATGTCTTCGACTGTTGGCGGGATCCAAAGATGCGTCAAACGAGAACAACCTGTGAAGAAGGTCCTCTCCTCAATACTTTTCAGACTTGTTCGCGAAAGAAGTATGTCCTTCAGTTGTGAGCAGTAGAGAAAGGCATATTTCATCAATGCTGATCAAATCACATCGCGAAAGGTCTCAATGAATCGACCCGGAACATTGAAAAGCCCCACGATCGACATGGGCAACCGATTTTGGAAATGTTATTTCCTTCAATTTAGAGCAGTGCATGAGGGCTTGATTTGGAGTATATTCTAGGTTGGGTGAAAATGTCACAGATTTGAGCTCGCCGCAGTTGGATAAGACGCCGTTGCCAATGGTTTCCACAGTAGACTGGAAATGAAAGGATTTAAATCCAGTTCTATTGAAGGCCAAAAATTCAATGGTATTCAATCCTGTTTGCAACTAGAGAAAGCCCTATCTCCAATCTTGATTACCGACAAAGGCGCATTTCCATCAACTAGCGATGTGCAACTGAAGAAAACGCAGGTTGGTATGATGACTAGCCCTCGAGGAAGCCTAGCACTTTTCAACCTTTCGCACGACGAAAACACGCCTTCTTGCAGGCAACATCTGTCGTTTGGGATTCCAATGCTTTGAAGCTTTTGGCATTTATAGAATGTATATTGCCCTATGGTCTTCAGGTTGACTGGAAAACTTCCTACGACTGCGAGCTTATGGCAACCGTTAAAAGCATTCGAACATATCTCGACAAGAGTCAGTCGACGGAAACCGTTGTTCCCGAAGGCGGTGGCAATCTCGAAACGAGCTATGCCCGATGACTTGCAATCCCTTTGCGTATTCCAACTTTTTTTCAATCTGTGCCAATCTTCGAACGCAATGGGCGGAATCTCTTTGACAGACCTACTGTACCGATCCGCGCTGAGGCTACATTTCTAGGAATGAATGACAGGTCCATGTTGCCGTCTTCTCAGAAGTCCTCGTGGCCCCTTTTCCGCGTCATTGATGTCTAGCGCGTCTTCTCTTCTCTGAAATGGGCGATGGCAAATACCAGTGATTCAATACGTCACTAGTCTCTGGCTATCTCCAATGAAACCAGTATGATATAGCTGCTATCATTTTCCCAGCTACTCGTACTTGTACATGAAACTGAAAATACAACAGGGACATATTTCAGGCCTTCCTTTCCGTCGGTTGAGGTACGGACCACATCATGGAAATAGATGATTTTAAAAAAAGCGAAGAAACTGTGGGCGACCACAATAACAACCAAAGCAAAACAGATTCAGACAATGACACAAATAGGATGAAGGCGACTATACCAACTCTACTTTTATTGTGGTGCATATCAATCCATAGTTTACTGGCAAAACCGAGTCATTCTCATCGCGATGGAGATGAAGAACCAATTTGTGACTCTTCCCCACTACGACCGCTTCGCATCGCAGTGATTGGAGCTGGGCCTGCCAGTCTTTTTCTCTGCCATGCATTGGAAAAATTGATCAAAGAGCATGGTATTCATACTAAGTCTGGGCGCAAGATGGAGGTGACAGCCTTTGAAAGGTCCAGTCATCCAGGTGGCCTGTGGCAACCAAGAAACAATGCGAAGAGTGGAGTTACAATCTACGACAACATGTGGACCAATGGACCTTCTTTTCAACATGAATTCTATGACTATACCTACGAGGAACACTTTCGTCGGCCCGTGGATGTCTACTTTCCACGCAAGGACGTCTTGGACTATATCTTGGCCCGGGTCCAACAGAATACCACGGACTTTTTCGAAAAATACGTGAGGTTTGACACGGAGGTAATCAATGTCAGATTCAGTAATGCCAAAAAGGTCTTTAAGGTCACAGTCAAGGATCTCATGACTGGAGCGGTCACATCTGGGTACTATGAGAAATGCATTTGGGCCGCTGGTGCTGAAGGTGTTCCTAATGTACCTAGATATGCATCAGATCTTGAAGAGTTTGGCTTCGAGGGAAGGGTGATACATTCATCTGACATGGCCAACTTCGAAAAAGACGTTAGGGGAAAGCGTATCTTGCTCATAGGAGGTGGGCTATCTGCAGAAGACCTGGCCTTACAAGCCATCAAGTGTGGCGTTGAAAAAGTATTTGTAGCGGCTCGAGCTAAATTTGGATCTTCGATTTCCATGACTACAGCCTGGCCTGACAACAAGGTAGAAGTTTTGCTGGGATGGAATCTCGCGTCGATTACCGAAGATGGAGAATCTCTCATTCTAGAATCCGTGACATACGATGGGGAATACTACAGTCGCGATGAAATGTACGACGATATCTTTTTGGATGATGTTGATACCATCATCTTTTGCACTGGATATGATGCCAACATAAACATGCTTGAAAACTCTCTCCAGAAGGGGGTGTCGATAGATCTTGAATATGAAAATGTCGAATCTCCTACAGTGTCGGAAGACTGGAGTATGGAAGAAAATTGCATGACATCGAGGTTGGGGGATGTTCAGCCATCATTGTATTTGGAATACGAATCAGGGTACAATAATCCTATGGTGTATAGAGGGGTGCTTATTTCCAATCCAAATATGATGTTTTTAAGTAGCTTTGGTTCGGAGACTCCCCTGTTGTCCATTGATGTTTCAGGTAAGAAAAGAAGAAGCTGGCGATCGGTCCATCGCACTAGATATTAAAGTTTGCTCACCAAGGGTATTATCCTACTTGGTTGGCAGCACATCTTTTAGCAGGATACCTCTACGGAACGATAAATTTACCGACAAAGACTGAAATGCAGAAAAAGAATCTCGAAAGGTTCCATCACATGATGCATAATCCTTTCTCCAGAATGGATGCAGATTATGCCTACTCGGTAGCCATTGAGCAGTGGATGGAAACTGTCAACTCTACCGAAAGACTCAATGCGTCAGACGAAGTTGTTACTACATCGGCTTATTGCTTTGATCTCTATTACTTGCATCAAACGATGGTAGATGCTAATTATCCAATTAAGTTGGTTGGACCCGAAGGATTGACATGCCCGAGCAAGTTTGACCACAAGATTGGCAATCGGAACTATCTCATGCCGAAGGGCTTGACCGAACTCGGGGATCTTTTTGTATCTATGGATATGCTCTGTGGAGAGCATCGTGGTAGTACTCGCAATGACAATCGGGTAAAGGATCAAACCCCATCAAAGTCCACGTACCGTGACTATACTGATGGTGCCAAGTTTCGCTCTCTCCACACACACAATGAAGCCCGCCCTTCTTTGGATGACATGTGGGTAAATCTTTGATTATCTCGGTTAGATTTGGCTCCATGAAATGATATCTTTCCATACTATGCAGTAAGTTGTATTTTTGCAATTGATATTTGATTCAATTTCAGTTCCATGGCTTGGCAAGATCCTCAATGCCAAGGCTTTCGTTCATCGGATAAAAGAAGAGAGACCCAATAATCCCATGAGACCATGGGTTTCATCCACCGGATGAAGAGGAGAGACCCGATACCCATAATGTCCTATTTGGAGAAACTGCCATGATTTCGTAGTTTTGGTCTTCTTCCGGTTCGGACAAAGTCGTTTTGGGCAATCCAATCTTGCCCGATAAAGTGGTGGTATGCCTTCCGTTTCCCAACAATCCGATAGACACCAGTCTCACTCTTCAGGCCGGTCCCTTCTCCAGGTTTTGCATCGTCAGCATAACATTGATGTGCAAAAAAACCCTGTTTCGCTTGGTCATACCTGTTTCGCCGGAGAAGTGATCAAGATCAGATTTGGATTTTTGCTTCCGAACCTTTTCCGGGGGATTTTTCTTCTTCTAATTGCTTGGCTGGGCCGGTGTGGGTGGTGCGGGAAATTTAGCCAGTGGTAAAGTTTCGCGTTTCTCTTTTTCGTGATCTTGATCTTGGGGCGGATTTTATTGCAAACGTCGGATATCTTTTTTTAAAATCTGCTCACAAAATCGAAGGAGCCAGAGTAACAAAACAACAAATCGAAAATATGAAATATTCAAGCCTCCTCATTGTAGCTCTACTAAAAAGTACAGCCTACGCTGCCGATCCAAATGAGAAGCAGAATCTCCGCCGCACTGTGGAAAGCCACCCTCTTGAGCACCCAAACAAGGCTCCTCACAAACACCAGCCTCGAGGGGCAAAGTCATCTGGAACGGTGACATACTTTACCATGGGCGGAAAAACTAATATGAAGGAAAAGAAAGAAAAGAAAGGAAGTAATCATGATGGTGATGATGGAAGAGAAAATCGCATTGTCGGTGGTAGCCAATCTGATCCTGGCGAATTCCCCTACTACGGTAAGAACAGTTGTTCTGTCAATCAATCTTGCTCCATCCAGTTTCATTGAATCTCATCATTGCATCTCTTCATCGCTCTCTTTTCTATGGTGTAGTGGATCTGGGAGGGTGCGGCGGTTCCTTGATTGCCCCCAACGTTGTCTTGACTGCCGCACATTGTGGTAGCTATCAGGGCGAAAGTGTTGTTGTTGGAGCGTATCGTTATGATTCCACCGCCAACAATGCCGTTCGTGTCTCGGTCTCTGCTGATATTCAACACCCAAACTACGATGACTTTACAACAGCCAACGACTTTCGACTGCTGCGCTTATCCCAAGATGTTACCATTGGTGGTTCGAACGTCGTCCTTTCCATCAACGATCAGTCCTCCCGTCCTTCCAATGGCCAAGACTTGACTGTTTTGGGGCTCGGAACAACCTCGGAAGACGGCAACGACGCAAATATTCTCAGAGATGTCGTGGTTCAAGCAATACCCACCAGTACTTGCAACCAGCCAATCAGCTACGGTGGAGATGTCGAAGACAATATGTTCTGTGCTGGAGTGAATGGAGGAGGCAAGGACAGTTGCCAAGGAGACTCTGGTGGTCCAATTGTCATTCGCAATGGAAACCAGCACGTCCAAGTTGGTGTTGTATCTTGGGGTAAGTACTGCTAACGCGGAACGACTTTTATTGGCGAACAGTAATTTTCATCATGATTTCATTCACTAACTCGCCTAATCCCTACCTTCTGATCGCAGGAGATGGATGTGCCCGACCCAACAAGCCAGGAGTCTATGCCCGAGTGAGCAGCGCATATGGTTGGATTGAACAAGTCGTCTGTGATCAATGGAACATTAATGCAGACTTTTGTGGCGGAGGTACTCCAACACCACCAAGCCCGACACCACCAAGCCCGACTCCACCAAGTCCAACACCCCCTAGCCCCACACCCCCTAGCCCAACTCCTCCCTCTGGTGGCGGTTGCCCAACTGGAGAGATGGAATTTGATTTCACCATTCGCACGGATGAATATGGATGGGAGACTTCTTGGGAAGCTGCCCGATCCAGCGGTAGCAAGGTCGCAAGCGGAGCCAACTATGAGTCGAATCGAACCTACCGCAAGAACAAATGCATCCCAGAGGGATGCTACACATTGGCCATCTTTGACGACTATGGTGACGGACTCGGCTCTGATGGTAACTACGAGCTAAAAGTCAATGGCCAAGTTGTCGAGTCCAAGAGCGGCTTCGATTTTGGATACGAACGGTCTATTGATTTTGGATCCTGCAGTGGTGGTGGCGATTCTGGTGGCGGTTCCGGTGGAGGCTCCAGTGGAGGTTCTGGAAGTGGATCATCTTGCATGCCAATCACATTGAACCTTCGGACCGATGACTGGGGCTACGAAACAGACCTATTCCTGCTAACCGACACGGGAGAACTAGTGTGGAATGCCAATGGGTTCGCCGACAACAAGGATTATCAATTCAGTACTTGTTTGGACAGCAGTGAGTGTGCAACTTTGGATATCTTCGATGAGTGGGGAGATGGTATTGAATCTCCAGGATACATAAAGCTGGTCGTGGACGGCACAACCTACTTCAATGGTGGTGATATCGGCGGAGGCATCGTCTTCCGCATCGGTGGAAGCTGCTAACCTTCTGAGCTCGATTAGAACTCACTCGTCATAGAACAGGAATGTACGGTATAATAAAGGAACATAAAAGTAAATAATCAATTGTATGTATTACAAACTTTGTATTCATATGTGTGCTGCAGCGTTTGAAGGAGGAGCTCTTCGGCAAAACTGCCAACATCATCAAAACTAAATTGCCCGCTCTTGCATTGAAAAATTCGACATAGCACAGATTGTCCTCGGCAAGTCTGTCGTGGAGTATTCTCCTTTTTCAACTATAGCCTTTTTCTCAAGGCTTTGCATGGTCAACAACATATTGTTGCGAACAAAACATGTTTTGCTTGTTTTCGAGGAATTTTGATACTCCAGAGCTCTTCAGTTGTCACTGCTGCTAACGAGAGCACCAAACGAGTCTGGCAATCCAAGAGGAGGAGGCACCCTCCCCACACGCCCAAACATTTGAATAATATACTTTTCGCTGGATTCCGATGGTAACGACTCGTGGGTCAACAAGGGATCGGCTTCCAAGGAATCCCCCGGTACTGTCGGAAAGAATACGAGTGCACTGCCTTGTTCCGGAGCAACATCAATCCCCAATTGATCAAAGCTTGTTTCGCCGCCACCACCACCAGTGCCACCAGGACTAATAACTGGTGGTTCCATAGTATTCAGGTAACAAATGCAAGTAACGACCCGTTGTCCTCCTTCATCCTTCCATTCACTCCCCTTCGTTGGCGATGCATCCGCATGCTTGGCAAAGAGAGCGCCAGGAGGATAGTAGGTCAAGACGGGCGCTTCATACCGACTCCAATCATGTTGGGTTGCCTTGGACACTCGTTGGACCAGGTCTTGGACCAAATAAAAATCCCTCTCTTGGTTGAGTGCCACTGCCAAACTGGTGCGAGACGATTGGTTGGAAAGCTGTTGGACCAATGGCAAAATGACACCAAAAGCCAACAAGAGACTCAAGCCCAAAGCAGCACCGATCGGAGGAAGGATCAAAGACAACACGTCAGAAGGAGGTAGTTGGGATAGTATATCAAGAAATGATGCTGCTGGTGTGGCTTGGGATGCATTTTGCTCGTAGTAGTAGTGTATCAATGGTGGAATGCCCGCTAGGATGGACAAAAAGGGTAGTGGCCACAATTTGGAAATCTCCAAAGAAACTTGGGGTGGATTGGATCGTTTCAGAATGCGCTCATCTTCTCCATCGATTATTCCTTCCTCTCGTTGTTCGTCTCCCAAGACTTTGACTTGTGACAACAAGGTTTGGCACTCTCTTGGACTCAGCAAGTTTGGAATCTTGTATATCAAAGGATCATTGGATAAGACCTCGGCCTCAAATGGAGCCGAGCGAAGTGGATTTAGGACTGGTATATTAGTCGATACGGCTGTGTCCACTGCTCGAAGAGAGAATGATCTTTGGCGCATTTTGGTGCTGGATGATTGTGGCGACAAACTCAAAGCGTCGACATGCAAGAATGGACTACCACCCTTTTTCTTGCCGTTACAATGATCATCATGGCTGCACAGAAGAATAAGTAGGTATGAAAGCATAAAGCTCGTTAGATTGAATCTTGTCATCTTTCGGATGCTATGGTGTTGACAAAATAAGTTCTGTGACGATCATATTTTATGGTATATGACAATGAAATGCCACAGTCTATGAATCAATCAGTTAAAATCGAACGTACCGGTATATACGGGTCCTTTCATTGGTAATGCTAATATGTTTCTATCAAGATTGATAGTACCGGTATATACGGGTCCTTTCATTGGTTTCACATTTTTAATAAAATATATACCAGTACCGTACGCGTACCGGTATCAATAATATCGAACTTTTTATTCCTCCGAAAACGGGAATTATATAATGTTCCCGTTGAATAATAGCGCACGCCATGAAACCGGCATGAACACAGTTCAAGTCGCTTTATACTGATCAACCAAGTTGACACCACTCATAAGACAGCTTTCTGTTTGCTAATGATAGATAATAATAATCAGCCCTTGAAAGTATCCATTTCATTGAAAAGGACCAGCAGAAGTGGTGAACAATTCAATCATGGCACCAATCATGAAAGAGACTAGCTTTATCTTTGAAGACCAATCGTCTGCTTTCACGTGCTGTGACACGGTCACTGCAGAATGTGCCAAAGTACCTCAAGGTGTCAGTAGAGCAAAGAGGGAAATAAGTGCCCAACATTCAGACATTCCATCCCATAACGTTGATAAGGAAAAGGACAATCTTGATCAGTATTTGGCATCCACTATGAAAGGGCTTAGCGTCCAAGAGCGCGAAACGGCATTAGAAGAGCTGAATGGTATTGTGGACAATAAGTTAGAAGCTACCATGGAAGTCCCGGCTGTTCTAGACCAAAAGCTAATCGAAATGGACCAGCACCTTCAGAGAATCAAGGGTAACAGCATATACGAGACTGCCGAATCCATGAATCCACAGTATGTGCAAAATCGAAAGTTTCGAATCATGTTTTTGCGGGGAAAACGATATGATCCCAAAGAGGCAGCGGAACAAATGTTGGACTTTTTTGAATCCAAGCTCATGCTGTTTGGAAAGGAGAAACTATGCAAAGACATCACTCTTGACGACATGGACGAAGAAGATCGATTGTCCATCCGTAAGGGTGGAGTCCAACTGTTACAACGAGATGTCGGAGGGCGTATGATTTGCTCCAATATGAGAGGCGCAGTCAAGCACAAGTCCATTATCAATGAACTACGTACCAAGTATTACACTTTCATGTCCATGGTGGAGTCAGAAGAAACCCAAAAGAAGGGTGCCATTGCCGTCTTGTACGTGGTCGGTGACTATTACAAGGACAAGAACGGAGGGTCTGGATTGGCCAAACTGGGAAACCTTGTCAAGAGTCTACCGATTCATTGGGCTGGCTTCCACTTTTGCTGCGGCGATTTGGTTCAATTCGTAATGATTCGAGCTCTTGTGGTAAGAGATTTCCGCATTGCCTTTTCGTTTCCAACTCAATCATTGAAGTACCACTAGTCATCTAACCAAAACATGTGCAGCTGACCTTCCCAAAACACTTGGCTGCCAAGTTTCGATGCCACAAGGGTCATCATCTTGAATGTATGTACGGGATGCGAACCTATGGTATTCCTGCTTCGTGTCTTCCCATTCCCGATACTGGTGAAAACAAGCCTCCGTTGATGTACCAACATATGATTTGGTACCAGAATCGTGAAAGGATTGACCGAGAAAAAGATGGAAAGGTGCAACTTTGCCCATCGTCCGCACAAAAACAAAAGTCGACAGGACCTGTATCCACAGCTGCCATTATTCCACACGATGATGACGATTTCTCGCTTGATGATAATCCCTCGATGGAAGCGGACAATGGTCATCAACAAAGAGGAGCAGGCTTGCAACTAGATGCACCATCACGGGGAGACAATACAGGATCGTTGCCACAAGTAGTTCCACCCGGACCTCAAACCCCCATCCATGAGAGCATCAGTCTTGCTGCGACTGCTGCTGCAGCGAATACTGTGATTACGCCCCGCCGCTCGGATGTTTTGTTTGGTCCCAAATACAAGCATCATCCTGGCACTGTAAATCTCCAAGAACTCGCCGCTCAGCAGTCACCGATTTTTGAATCAATATCTCATCGAGCGGACAAGACAGAATTTGTGGGGTCCTTGGTGCAACATCTCAAGGCTTCTGGAATACGCTTCCTCGAAATGAACAAGGGAACCAATAGTTGGATCGAGGTGGATGACAAGTTTGCAAGGAACAAGGTTGCCAAAATCTTTCGCAACAAACGAAGAACCACTGGTGTGGGGCCGTCCAGTATGCCGTCGTTTTTATAAAGACCAAGGAATCTTGGGATGCTGTATACCATACTCTATACCAAAAGGAGGGAACACCCAATGTACCAGTATCAGAATGTAAAGTATTGAATGGCTACCGGTAGAGTCTCAATGCTGTATTTAGATTCGATATCTTATTATCGTAGGTAGGTACAGTACTGTTCCTGGTATTCGTCTTTTGAGAGTTTCTGGTCAGCCTGCGTGCTGATGTGAAAAGGCTCTCGAGAATTGAGGAAGGAGACTTTGAACTTGTCACGCGTGAGTGAATCAATCCGCGAGGGTACCTGGTACACTTACAGTAGGCATCCTACATCGGTTTTGTACTCCTTCTTTCTAGAATTAAAAAAAACACGTACAGATGTCCTAAACGACACGATATCGAAACGAAAAGCAACCAAAGTTCAACATCAAACACTCTAGTAATCTTTATCGCGATCATCATCATACTGTGCCTGTTGTGGTACAGAAGCCAAGCATATATCAAGGTCTGAAAGATATCGATCAACCATAAACTGCGTTGTCACGTAGCAACCATTTTAGTCCCAAGAAGTCGTCTAGTCGAAAGTTCTATCATTTCTCTTTTTTCCATTTGGAGGGAGTGGGTCACAGTTGTTGAAAAGACCACAATCACAATGAATCGAAACGTGCCAGAAGCCATCTTTATCTTTGAAGAACAATCGACTTCCGCCATCTGTGCCACTACCACTGCACAATGTGCCAAGATTCCTCTTGGCTTCAGCAAAGCACGGAGGCATGTAAGCCTTCAGCAGCCAGGCTCACCGAACGATGCTGTCGATCAAGAGAAGAAAGATATCGATGAACATTTGGCAAGCACAATGAAGAACATGAGTGTTCGAGAGCGAGAAGCTGCATTGGAAGAAGTGAATGGAATTGTTGATAAGGACCAAGAAACCGCGATGGAGGATCCTGCTGTCCTGGACCGAAATCTTATCGAATTAAACGAACATCTTCAGAAAATCAAGAGCAATAGCATCTACGAAACAGCAGAATCCATGGATCCAGACCATGTACAAAATCGCAAGTTTCGACTCATGTTTCTACGCTGCAAACGTTATGATCCCAAAGGAGCAGCCGAACACATAATCGGTTTCTTTGAAACCAAAGAGTGGCTCTTTGGAAAGGAAAAACTATGTAAAGACATTACGCTCGATGATCTGAGCGAAGAGGAACGCGTGCTGGTTCAAAAAGGTCTCTCGCAAGGCATTTCAAGAGATGTGGGAGGACGTATGGTCTGTGCCTATATGCGGGGCATGGTCAAGAATAAAGATGCTATGAATGAGTGTCGAGCCAAGTATTACACGCTGATGGCCCTGGCGGAAAGCGAGGAAACGCAAATCAAGGGAATGATTGCTCTGTTGTATGTGGTGGGTGACTATTACAAGGATCACACAGGAGGATCGGATGGCATGGCCAAACTCGGAAGAGTTGCTCCGACTTTGCCTATACACTGGGCTGGTTTCCATTTTTGCTGCGACAACACGGTAAGTTCCTTTTGATGGACGTCTCACTGAAAATCGATATGTGATTTATTCTTGCTTCATTCAACCATAATTTTTCCTACTCCACAGGTCCAATATGTCTTGATTCGAGCTCTTGTATTGACAATGCCCAAACACTTGGCTGCCAAGTTTCGATGTCACAAGGGTACGCACATCGAATGCGTATACTCTATGCGGACCTATGGTATTCCTCCTTCCGCTCTGCCTATTCCAGATACTGGTGCAAATAAGCCACCATTGATGTACCACCATACGATCTGGTACCAAAATCGCGAAGAGATAGATAGAGAAAAGGATAGAATGCTAGGAATGAAACAGCACCACCGAATAAGGTCGAGAGAAAACGAACAGCTACAAGAAGCACCTACAAACACAGCAAACATCATTCCAGACGATGATGACGAAGAGTCCTTTGGAGAACCACTCGCGGTGGACTCGAGAGTTCCACTCATAAATGACTTCGGATTTTTTTTCATGGAAGAGGGCAATGCTGAACAATTGCAACAGCTTCCACAGACACAGACAAGAATGCAAGGGGCACCCAAAGGAGTGTTCTTAGGAGGACAAAGCGAAGAACCGCCGCTTTTCGTTGCTCCGGGATGGCAGAGCCAAATCGATGCAACCGGCGGCTTCTTCCTTAATGTGAACAACACTAGCATTACGCCTCGGCGTACCGACGTCCTGTTCGGTCCCAAACACATGTACCACCCTGGTACTCTGCATTTACAACAAATGATCTCGCAGCAGCTGCCAGTTTTTGAATCCATTGCTCATCGAACAGACAAAACCAAATTTGTAGGTACATTGGTGCAATACATGAAAGCTTCTGGGAATCGATTTCTCACCGTCGATAAGGGGTCCAATCGATGGGTAGAGGTGGATGACAAGGTTGCAAGGAACAAGGTCGCCAAGATATTCCGGAACAAGCGGCGGACAACAGGTCTGGGGCCTTCATTTTATGAAAATCAAAGGGCTGCTGCCAAATAGTAAAGCAACCTGGCCCGTTACACCCCTTCATTGGGACTAAGTTGGAACTTTTCAAAATGCAGTACAGCTCGGCGAGCTTTCTATAAATTTCTAAATCGTACATAGCTATACCTGTATAGTATATTCCCTATTGGTGCTAGACCGACCCACAATGCCAGTCTCCAATATTATCTTCTCATGACCTATTCCCATGGCTCGCTCACATCATTCCACGAGCATGTTGGACACTCGTCCAATTAGGGGCAATCTTGGTAGGGAACCAACTAGGGATGAATCTACTCGCCAAATCGTCCAACACAAGAGCACAACCCTCTCGAGGACCACAACACTCTTGACGGTCTGGGTCACCAATACAAGCTATTAGAGACTGAGAAGTGGAAAGCAATCTTCAACTTCGAACTGGATAATAAAGGAGGCACCGGAAAGTTGGAATCATTTGATCCTGGGGTTTCTACTTCCATGGAACAGATGGTTCTTTTGACATATGTTTACGGTTGATTTTTATTTTTAAAAAGTTCATCCGGGTGTGTCTTGTTTTGGGTGCAATGCCGTTTCGAAGCAAGGGGCATACCGGTAGGGCACTTTTCCCTTCGCTGCGGAAGGTGAAAACATATTAAGTTCAAATTTCAGTTTGTTATCAGCCTGATTCTTCCATTGAGTTTCTTTTATTATGGACACTGCTTTTATACGCGATTCAGACAAAAGTTATTAAGTAAATTCGTTAAAGGTTGGGGAGGGGCTCTTCTTTCTCCGTTTGAGAGTTTCTGAATAATTTCGGTTGCACTTCTCAACAATTTTTTTTACTAAGGTACCATATTATCAGAACATGGCGTCGATTTTGACTAGGACCGTCCACTTTATAGTTGGAGGTGCTACCCTCCTCAGTGGAGGTCTCCTCGATTGTCCGACGCCATTTCATGCTTCGTGTGAAGCAGGAATTTCCAATTTGGATGCCTTGATGAGAAACTTCACAGCAGATGAGCCTGCGCTGTTGCTTCCATTAATTGATAGGAATTCCCCTTTTGTCCAGATGCATCCCCTCAGCTGGGCTGTCAATCGTCTTGTCTATCAAGGAATGCTAGGGCTTGAAGTCTTCTCTACGGCACCTTCACTTCTTCAACAGCACAACGTGGACGGAATCAGTTCCCGCGACTTGTCGGCTCTGCAAACATCCGAATTTCCTTTCCTGCTCAGCAACGTGGCAGTCTCTCCTGGTAACAGTTGGTCGGCTTACCAGATCCCTCTATACCTGGATGAGGAAACTGGATTGGCAGTCATGTCAATCATTAATGATGGCGAACTTTATACAGTAGATCAGGTGGAAGCTGCCATTGGTTTGCTCAACAACATTGAACGCATGAATCGACAGTCTGGGTGCTACGGGGAAGACTCTGGACAATATCTCTATGACTCTTATTTCAACGACAACAACACGGCCGCAGATAATGAAACGAAATGCTGGATTCCAGTGATTGTTTTTTCAGATATTCGAGCAATTTTTGAGGAATGGTTAAAGGTGGTCGCCAACCATGACCATCCACCAGCCCTTGTCGTCGATATCAAAGAAAAGATTGAGAAGTATGCTGAACCAACTTTGGTAGACGGGGTTTGGGTAGTGAGCTACGAAATTAGCAACAGTCAGTACAACCAACTGACGCTTCAGATTGCAGATGGTGGTCTCGCTGTTGACAACGTGGAGCTCGTCGTTGTCGATATGGAGACTATTCCAGACGAGCTCAAGGATGAATCGTATGTGCGATTGCAAACGTTCCTCAGCCAACTGGCTAGGGAAGCAGCCGGAAACGATCCAGTGCTAGGCCAATCGATTGAAGTCCCCGTCCAACGCAGTGGGACCTATCGACGATGCAAAGCTGGCAGTTGCGAAACAGGCAATCTCTACACAGATGCCATTCGCTGGTATACGAAGTCTGATATTGCATTTCAGGGAAGCGGAGGCTTCCGAGGTAGCGGATGGGCGGCTGGTGGAGTCCAGGTGTCGGACCTTTGGGGTGCCTTGCCGTTCGATAATGACGTCTGCACTGGAGTAATTTCAGGTGCAAACATGTTCCAACTATTCAACCATTCGGTTTTCAAAGCCACCTTTGAAGGCGAAGATACTGAGAATGGAGGCCTTTTACTTCAAGTCTCAGGAATGAGGCTGTCGTACAATCTGGAGTTGCCAGACACATCTCGTATCGTCAAGATGGAAATCTGGAACGAAGAGACAGATACCTACAGCGACGTAGAGCCACAGAAACTGTACAGCTTTGCTTCTGACTCCTATATTTGCTTTTCTGAAGACCTCTATCCAGTCCTTCTTGGAGAGGAGATGTTGGATGGACCTGGTGAAATTCCTGGATTCGTTGGCGATACCCCCATTATCCAGTCGGTTGCTGCAGATTACTTGGCACAATTCCAAGACAAACCCTATGACCCCTATATTCCTGGAAGCCGCCTTGTGAATCGAACAGACATACTTGAGCCTCTAAACTTCATCCAAACGGCCGATGACTGTTTGCCAGACGAGTACTGGGAAGTAAATAACTCAACATGTGCACCATGTCCCAGTGAACCATCAGCGGCGTTCTTGAGTGAACGGGCGGAATTCGATGCCAAAGACAATCTCTATGTTGACATCAAGCTTGTGAATGTTGCGCTGTCAAGTATTGCTGTGACGGTCAAGGCATTGCCAAGTTACGTTGCTATCGAATCTGTCACGAATGAAGCGGGGAATACGACAAAATTTAGCATTTTCCAAAAGTCTATCGGTATGCTCCCAGGGGAAACTCTAACCTTGAATGTTACGGTTGATTTTGACGCTCTGGAACCCGGTACTGCTCAAGGGTCAGTCGCATTTGGTGTGATTGACGGTGGGAGCTTTCCGAAGTGCACCGGACGAGACGCAACTTTTGAAGTGTTCGCTCGTAAGTATCCTTCCGAGCAACTAAATCAGTTGGGAAGTCTCCGATATGTCGGGTTCGCTTTGGCTGCTATTGCGTGTGTCCTAGCACTCGCTGCTACCTTATGGGTTTTCATGTTCCGCGAGAAGCATGTGGTCAAAGTCATGCAACCGAACTTCCTGTGTATGATTTCAATTGGTGTCTTCATTTTGGCACTAGCAATCGTCCCAGCAAGTATTGATGATCAAATCCTATCGGAGGAAGCGGCCGGTATGGCTTGCATGTCAGTTCCCTGGCTGCTAAGCATTGGCTTCACAATATCAATGTCAGCCCTCTTCTCGAAATTGTGGAGAATCCACCGGCTATTTGCTGCCACTCGACGGGGCCGAAGAGTCCAATTGAAAGAAAAGGATGTGATTGCTCCATTTGCTCTAATGTTTTTGTTCAACTTCAGTGTTGTCCTGGCTTGGACCATCTGGGCTCCGCTCAAATTCGAACGAGTAATTGTGGTGGACGAGCCTTGGAATTCCTATGGTAACTGTCAGTCGGAAGACGAGCAACTGGGCAATATTTTGACTGCTGTCGCATTCTTGGTCAATGCAGGTCCCCTTGTGGCTGCTGCCTACATGGCGTATCAAGTTCGCAATGTGAGCGACGAATTCTCAGAGGCCAAACGGGTTGGGCTTGCTCTGTTCATGTGGGTGCAACTATTCCTGGTGGCCGGTCCCATGTATTTTCTAATCAAATCAGACAACCCATCTGGTCGATATTTCTTGGAAATTGGATCCATGTTTGTTATTTCTGTGTCGATGCTTTCGTTGATCTTTGTTCCCATCGTTTGGTCGAAACAGAAGCACTCGATGATGTACTCACGGCGGAACCTTGGTGAAGAATACAATGAGAGTTCAGCAGCAGACGAATCAAAAGTCTCACAAGCAGCCTCTCGGCTAGGTTCAGAGTATCAGGGCTCTCAACAGTACAATAGAGAGAATCGGTTGGAACAGTACTCGTTGCGCAACAAGGGACCAAAAGTGACTGGTGTCCATTGGTCACCAACACCAGCGAATCCTCGACAAGATCCCCACTTTAATAATGAGCCGAAAGAGCAATCACACTCTTCATATGGAACGACAGACATGGATCCTTTGGATGAGAGCGAACACGAAGAGTAGTTGGTGCGTGAACGAGTCTGGGGACGAGATCACACCATATTGCAGAGAGGATGCTCCATCGCGAAGGCTAGGGGGATGACTTTGACTTTGTCAGAATCATAGTCAAAAGAAAATGAAAATACAATATACAAACATAATATATTTACTCAATAAAGTTTGAAATATCTTCATTGTTTCATATCATCAACAGTGATTGGCAGTTCAGCAAGACTGCAGCGCTGTTGTGCAATCCTTAATTTTCAAGCACTGGCCTGAGACCAGTCGAATAAATTTTGTCCAGAAAATGCAAGAGAGTGTCATCCGTTGTAACCATATGCTCTGTTCTACTGTAGTATTTCGGATTATTCTTCGGCAGCTGATGTGTCGATCTTGGCTCAGTTGCTGGCCAACAAAATGGATTTTGGAGTTGCACGTATCAGCAGGAGGCAGCAGCACTGATGAATGTTTGGTTTCAAGGATGTTCGACTAGTGATGTTGCATCGAGAATGGATGAATGATAGTTTGCTGCCGTTGTATTATAGCCGGCATGAAATGGCGATTCGGTCCATTTATTGGCAATATCAATACACCAACCAACAAAAAAGTGACGACATTTGTGTAATACTTCTGTGAAACCAACGGGGAGTAAAAGGGGCACTTTTCATCACAGTTGCGAAGGAAGTTCCCAAATAAACATTTTTCATGTTTACTTCCGTGCGTTTCAAATTCCAATGTTTTTTCATAATTATTATAATGTTTAATCAAATTTAA